GTCGCGCGGTGGTGGAGGTGGAGATCGAGGGCGAGAGTGGCGATCTTGCTCGTCTGGGTAGCGCGGTGCTGCTCGTCGGTCGTCTGCGTCGAGGTAGTCGCGCTCTCGCCGCCTGTCCGAGTGCGAGCGGTCGTCCGAGTCCCGGTCGCGATGTGACGAGCGACGGGGCGACCTCGAGCGCGAACGGTCGTCGCGGTGCGAACGGCGAGACGAGCGGTGTCGGTCATCGTCGTGGTGCCGCCTGTCGGACGCAGACCTCGCCTCCTTTTCCGCCCTGCGCGCCTCCTTCCTCGCCCTCCTTTCCTCCTTCGACTCGCCCTCGCCCGCCCCCTCGCGCCTGACAGACTTGCCACCTCCAAGCAACGCCTCCCTCGCCTCGCGCAACTCGCGCCTCTTGCGCGGGTCCTTCATCATCTTCTCGTACTGGAGTTGCTCCTGCCGCTTGATGGCGAGCATCGGGTCCTCGCGGATCTTGGACGCCGTGTCCCGCGAGGTGTTGGCGTTCTGGAGGGACTGGAACGAGCCGCCGGGGACCTCCTCCGTGGGCTGGGCGAGGAGCTGCGCATGGAGAGCAAGCGAGAGAGAGGTCAACACAGGCCGAACATCGAAAAGCCCGAAGAGAGTCTCTCGAACGCACCTTCTCTTCGTTGCCCTTGAGGAGCTTGTCGACGCGCTTCTTGCCGAGGAGGTACGCCTCGAGCTCGTCCGGGTTGGGCCCGTTCCCCTCTGCGGGCGCCGCGTACATCCAGTCGACCCGCTCATCGCGCTTCTTGCCTCCGGCAGCCTCCTGCAGTCGCTGGAGCTCCTGGACGGCGCGCTCCTGCTCGAGCTCCTTCTGCAGCTGCTGGAGCTTCTTGCGCTCCTCGAGGGCCTCGCGTTCCTTCTTCCACACTCGTTCCTGCGGGCGTGTGCGTGTGTTAGCGAGGTGTGCGGACGGTTCCCTGACGAAGAGGGAGTCACCTGGTTGGCAAACGTCCCCGTGTGCCAGGCTGGGCACGCGCACAGAGTCAGCGAGTGCCTCGAGTGAGTGTGTAGCAGGCTAGCCACGCACACTTCTTCATGTTGAGGTCGCCTCCTCCCATCTTGGCGGCGGTGTCGGGGGTGGTGGGCTGGCGTGGGTGAGAGAGCTGGGTGCGAGTGCGGGGGTTTCAGAGTCCAGCAGCAGTAGCAGAGCCCGTGAACCCAGTCAGCTGCAGCGGGTGGCGAGCGTGTGCGTTGAAGTGGGAAGAGCCAGCGAGCGTGACGAGGCCAAGTTAAAAGTGGCGACGAGCCGAGCAGAGTGGGCAGGTTGCCATTCTAAACAGCAGGTCACGTGAACGGGCACTGGTGGTTTAGTGGTAAAATTGGACATTGCCATGTTGTTGGTTACAGCTCTCGACGTTGTCTAGCCCCGGGTTCGATTCCCGGCCAGTGCATTCCCTCTTTTTGTCCAGGAATCCTTTTGCCAGGACCAAGGCTGGCCACAGTCAGAGATCTCAGGGCGTTTCCCTGGCCTTCCCACCCTGGACACGAAGCGTACAGGCCTTCTCATCTCCAGGGCAGTTGCTGTGGCAGTCTCAAAGGCAGTTCATCCCTGGTTCTCTGTCCCCTCCCTCCGTGTGTGCAATGTGTACTGCAAAATGTTGGCAGCACAACATGGCCTCCATGGCCCAGTGGCAGGGCGTGTCACTCGTACATAGAAAGAAGAGAATCATCTTCCTCCTCCAGTACACTCATCCTCCTCCGCTCTCCACAGTGAGCAGCCGGAACTGGTGATGACAAGATCGGGTGTTCGATCCACCCTGGAGGCATTAAGCTTTTGCAACTAGGCTGGACAAGCATCTGCAGGAGAAACGGGCATGCTTTTTGGAAAGTCGAGGAGAAGGAAAAGAAGGCCGACTTTCTGGGCAGGGATGTAGACGCAGCATGCCTTACAGTCAAGCGTCACTTGGCTACACTGTGGGCCTGTTCCTCCGCCTTCCAGACAAGATGTGCAAGCATTGAACAAGAGAAGGAGGAAAGAGTCGGAGTCAAGCGCTGTTTCCGTTTATAAACGTACTTACGCGTTTTCCCTATAACAGCCCCTATGGCTCAGTGGCAGAGCGTTCGCCTAGTAAGCGAAAGGTCCATAGTTCGATCCTGTGTGGGGGCATTTGCTTTTGCTTTCGGCCAGCTTTTTTGCTGTTGCTCGCTTCCTTTCCAGGAAAAGTAAGGCGCTCTCTGCCCTTTTGTGACTGGAAAGCTTGCTCACAGGGCACTGTGCCTTGAGCTGGCCCCATCTGTCAAATGGTACAGTTGCAGACCAAGGTGCTGGACTGAGTCTGCTGGTGACTATGTCAGCCCGCACCCCGCCCTCCGGAACAGTGCGGCGGGATTTTCCTGACTTTGACTAAACCAGAGAAGACTTGGGGGTTGGGCCTCCCCAATGCCCGCACGGTGCAGCGGGGCAGCGGAATGTGCGGCGCGTTCAGCAATCAGTTGTTCGAGTCTTTGTCTTGCAGAGAGATCTTGAGCGAGGATGGGAAACACATCTTGTAGTTCAGAGAGCACGTCTACACAATGACAACATTGCCACCGTGAGTGCAAGGCAACGGCAAAGGAGGAGGCGAGGAGGTGTTAGCAGATTGGCTGAGTCGCGGCTCTCCTGGATGCTTGAACGTGCTCTCCAGAGCCTGAGAGTGTGCAATGTTTCTTTGCAGACCAATCAATCCAGCGCACAAGGGAGAACTACAACAGAATGCGGCGGCCTTACAAGCGGGAGACAGTTGGCTCGAGGTTGCACGTCGCGTTGCGTGCAGTCAGCACTGAGAGCATGGTTGGGGTTCTGCTGCCCGAACTGCCCACACTGTGCGGCGTTCGTCACGCCCAACCCGCCCCGTACCCAAACAGGCCGGCTGTCAATGTCTGATTGCTGGATGCAGAAAGCTGCAGACCTGGAAGAGACGGCTGAGCGTGACAGCGGGCTCAGCCTGACGTCCGCTGAGGCAACCTATGCAAAAAGGTCCGGTGGCAGACGCCTTCTCTCCGACACCTGTCGACACGCTCTCACGCATTTTTGGGGCGCAGTTGGGACTCAGTGCTGCGTAGACGTGCTGCCACTGCGGAGAAGTTGGAGGAGAAGTTGGAGCGCCGGACCGGATGAATGCGTTGGAGAGTCGGTTCGGTTTCTGCAACACGGCATGCTCGAGGATCATGCTCGAGGAAGGAGCAAAAAGCGGTGCACTGGCCGGGAATCGAACCCGGGGCCAGACAAATTCAAGAGCTGGCAATGTCCAATTTTACCACTAAACCACCAGTGCCTTAGAAAGTCTCGGTCAAAATGTAATGAATGTTACAACGGGAAAGGTTTGATGGCTTGAAGCCCGCCAAACCCATTGAGGCCCTTCAGCCCTGCTGTGGGATGTGTGACAGCGCTCCTGGGGGATGTCCAGCTGGTCAGGGAGCTTCTTGCTTGCTCCTGGTTGCGCTATATAACAGACTTGTCAAGCTGTCACTTGTACCCCTTTCCCCGCTTAGTCGCTACACTGACTGGCTAGTGACATTGCCTACAGCCGAGCAGCGACCGACAAGAAAACACAATTACAGAATTACAATGATGTGGCCTTTCCACCGCCTTTTCTCTCACTCCCCAGCTAACTTTGTCACTTTCCTGCCCTTCCAGATCACCGACTATTCAGCAGGTCACCTAATCGCTCTTACAGACTGCTGGCACTGTTCTTTTCCTTCTTTTGCACACAAGAACTGTACTTGCTGCCAGAAGCTTTCTGAAGGTGGGTCAGGCTGGATTTCCAGATGCAGTCTTGCACTTCAGCTTCTCAAGGAGGCGAGGTTGGGTGAGCTTCCTCAGTCAGATCAGCTTCTCTCGTGCTCCAGTAGTCATCTGCAAGTTTACGATGCAAGGAAGAGAAGCACTGGCGAAAGTGGAGGAGTAGCCAAACATGTGCAGCTTCCTCTGTTTACTTGCCCTCATCTTTCCCTTGAACTGATCATCTTTGTTTGCACTCCCTACAGGCCACAATGGAGCTGGGCTGAGCAGAAACTGGGTAAGCTGTAGCTGTGACTCCTGGACGGAGTCCTGGTCTCACCAAGGGAAGTTGTGAACAAGCAGGCTCAATGCCAGTGCAAGCTGCCTCATTCGGTGACAGTACTTGCTTGGTCGGTGACTCAGTGATGATAGAACAGTGTTGATTGCTGGTTCTCCAGTCAGCGACAGCAACGGACAACCATGAGAAGAGACCACAAAGGTCCAACCCAACACCTCCAGTCACACCACTCTGCCTCATTTCTGTTGTGCGGCCTCCGGCCTACGCTCAAATAGAGGACAGGATACTGCCAATTCAAACTTGACTTTGCTGACCTGCCTTCCCCTCACCGCATCAAGGGCACCCTAAGAATGCAGTGGGTCCAGCTTGCATGGAGACCTCTTCAAGCACCTCCGCCTGCGCAAGAACCCCACCGTCGCAAGAACCCCACCGTCGGCCTTCTGCTCGGAAACCCCCTCTACCGCGACCCACTCCTCGACTTTCTCGACCGCACCGGACGCTTTCCGCGCTTATAGAAGTCGCCAGCGGCGGAGAAGACGGAGAAGGAGTAATGGTGCAGAGGAGAAGCGAAAGGAGCGGCCCAACAACTCCCCAACCTCGCGCCCTTCCCCTCCTCTTGTCCCTTTCCCGCCTTCCCTGCCTCAAAACCCCAGCAAACCGGCTCCAACTCCCACATCTCCCTCACAGCTTTCCTCGCGACCTCTCTACACCAGCTCGATCCGCCTCAACCGCGCCTGGACTCGCTGTCGCGACTCCTCCAGACCAGGACCAAGATACCTCATTTCTCTTTCATTTCGTGACCGATTTGCTTCGTTTTCTGCCCAACCACCTCACCTTGCCCCATCCTCACTCGCCGTCGTTCTATCTCAATTCTTGACCGCCTTTCCCTCTCGCTCACTTCTGACACTCTCCTTTGCGATACCTGCTCACTCTACCGCTCTCACTGTCTCAGTAGTACACCCTTCTCACTGTTTTGAGCTGTGGCAGCCAGACTCTGCCGGTAGCCGGGCTCAGACCCGAATTGACTTGAAACAAGAATATCTATCTATCTCAGAGGGAGTTCAAGAAGAGATGGTGAGCTTGGCCTCCAGTCTGCGCCACCTCACCCATTGGCTTTGCTGATCCGGCAGCTACTGACTGACTGGCAACAGCTACAGCTTGAGCAGAGAGTCATTTATGCAGTGATGCTGGGAGGCTGTGAATGAGCAAGTATGTCAATCAGCGAACTTCTCCCTCTCTCCAGCTGCTTCCTTTGCTCTCTCTGCGTTTCCCAGTCACACTTGGGTCGCCAACATGGAGAGTTGGAAGAGGTAGACTGTTTGAGCTGGTTTGCGGCATTTGAACTGGAGAACAGGCCGAAAGTGCTTGGAAGGAGGACAACAAATGTACTCTTTGAGGCTCGTAGTGCACAGAGACTCAAGGAAGGTCACTTGGGAGAGAAGGGACTGTGTCTCAAAGGATGGAAGTCTGAATTGCAGACAGGGCCCGGGGGGTCACCATCTCATCTATCTGTCATCTGCTTGCTGCTGAGACAGGCCTGTCAGGGCAAGCATAGCTACAGAGTCTCCATCCTCAGCAAGGGCATGGTAAAGGGCGGGAGCAGGAGTCACACACTGCTGCGCTGGAGATCAGCTGCACTCTGCTCTCTCTTTCTGCTCCAAAGCAGGATCAATCATTGGCCTACACAGGCAGGTAGGAGAGCCATACAACATGGCTGAGTCCAAGTTGATTGCTGTGTGTCCAGATTTGCCCCCTCGGATCTGGCCAAGAGGCAGGGGAGAAGGGATTGGACAGACATGCACTACTGTATTGCAATGGCAATTCACATTCCTAAATGTGTAACAACTTCTTGTCAACTGAGTCTGGCCAATTACAGCCTTAGTCAGCTGAGAGTGACTGATTTCAGTGTCTGTCTTGCTTCTCGCTCAGAAGGCTCATGAAGCACAGCCAGGCAGGCCTCTCTCTTGTGAGCAGAACCAAGGCAGTTGAGATGCTCTCCTTAATGCTCAGGCCCCTTCTGGCATCCTCAGCTTGAACGCGCACTTCACCACAGGCAACAAACAGCAGCAGGAGACGGCACTGACGCGCATGTCAGCACGAGCAAGCAGAAGAAGTCATTTGTGGGCAATTTGCAGGCACAGGAGAGACATGGCTGCTCACTGAAACTGAACACTCTGCGTCTGGCAGGACCCCTGTTCACCCAAATGCTGCCTGCCCAATGATAGGATAGGATAGGATAGATTCCGAGATCAGATTACGAGTTTAAAGTTGTTCAGGCCTGGAAAGACCCATGTCAACTTGGGGCCACCTACAAGGGCGAGAAGCCAGTCGCTGCAGGAGCTACAAGCGGGGGACGAGCGTACAACTGTAAGAAACGATGGGAAGACCACAACGGCCAAGTTCTCTCACTGAACGTCTGTCATCCAGCATTCTGCCTTGCCCAAGTCCATGCAGCTCTACGACTGGCCAGCAATCGACGACACAGTCCTTATGCCCAAGGCAGACAAGGTCGGCTTCCTGAAGGAGCCTGACGCGCCGCCCGCTTTCGTCAAGTTCTATGCGCTGTGGTGCAGCCACTGCAAGCAGATTGCGCCGAGTACGTCGCCGTGTCACGCGGGAGTTGGCAAGTGGCCAAGAACTGACGATTGTGCCATGCAGAGTGGAAAGACCTCACTGCCGCCGTCGCGCCCTCAGGCATCCGCATCTACGAGATGGACTGCGACGCGAACGAGAACAAGAAGGCGTGCCGGAAGGAGGGCGTCAAGGCATACCCGACTCTGCAGTTGTGCGTCCCGCAGGTCCGCGACCGTCTTGCTCTGCCAAGCTGACCTGCGTATCCTCTCGCAGCTACAACAAGGGTGCTTCGGTCGAGTACATGGGCAAGCGTTCCGTCGACGCCTTCCGCGACTTCGCGCTTAAGGCGATGTCTGCGTGAGTTTCGGCTCTCTGCCCGGGAAGGCAAACAGGTCTGACGCTTCTCTTGCAGGACAAGCATCAAACCTATCGCGAATGAGTACGAGCTGCGGCGTGCTGCAAAGGAGGACAAGGTTTTCGTGCTGTTCTTGCACGCCTCCGATACGAAGAAGAATAGGATAGGATAGGATAGGATAGATTCCGAGTTTAAAGTCGTTCAGGCCTGGAAAGACCCATGTTCACTTGGGGCCACCTACGAGGGCGAGCCGCCAGGCGCTACGTGAGCTACGAGAGGGAGAGGGGCATACAACTGTGGGAAGCGATAAGAAGCCAGAATAAAACGAAGCACAGGTTGGAAGAAGCGAGGAGAGAAGATCTTGTCCATCTTGAGGTTCGACGAGCCGATTTCGCGCCGGAGCTGCTGGCGCTCGTCCGAATAGAGCGAGCATTCGAGGATGTAGTGCTGGCGGGTCTCCACCGCCTCGCCGCACTCGCAAAGTCCCGTCCCAAGACCCATCCTCGCCTTCGACGATCCCAAATCGTTGAATTTGAGCCGGAATCGCGCGAGAAGGGTGGAGTGAACCCTGTCGAGGGCATGTAGTGCGCGTGCGAAGGGTGGTCCAGGCGGGCGAGCGTCGACAGCACGAAGTCCGGCGCCAGGCGATGAAGAGAGCGATGAGCGACGAGTCCACTCGGCGAGGAGGGCAGCGCAATGAGCCTGCTTGAGCGACGATAGCGATTTCGGCAGTGTCGTGCCTCCTTTGACGAGCCCATCGGGGCCCGCAAGTGTTGAGGAGTCGAGTCGACTGAGGCGAGCGACTTCGCGCTCGAGGCGAGCCGCCCGCTCCTCCTCGTCCTCCTCCCACCCACTCTCGTCCGCTGACGACGAGCTGCTGCTGCCCTGGTCCGGCTTGAACAGCTTAGGACCGCGTCTGCGCTTCCCACGCCCGCCTGCAAGCCGTCCCTTCGACTTCCCCACTTCGTCATCGCCAACTCCCGCCGCCCGCTTCGCCTCCTCGTCCGCCAACTCGTTCCCCGGCGCCGCAAGATGGCCGGCGAGCCACTGCAAGGTGAGTTTGGCTGATGGGTGGTCGTGCTCGAGCGCCAGGGCGAGCGCGCGCAGGGCGAGTCGGGCGGATTGGCCGGCGGTGGGGGATGGGTCGAACGGCGAGCAAACGACGGCCTGGTTGTCGATGAAGAGCGTGGCGGAGGGCGCTGGAGTGGTGCTGAGGGACTGCTGGATACCGTCCAGTGCGAGACGCGCCCCTTCCAGCTCCGCTGCGTACACCGACTGCAGCTGACCCATCGTCCTCGCCTTCTTTCCCCACAGCTCATCCTCGCCCGCACCGAAGCGCACCACCGCCGACGCGCCTGCTCGACCGCCGAGCAGCGAGCCGTCCGAGTACGTAGCCAAGCCGCCTGCATCGTCGAGTGCGAGGACTTCCCGACCGTGCGCCTCGACCGACGCCTCCTTCGACACGTCGACAACCAGCCGGCAGCGCGGCGGGTTCGACCATGGCGCAAGAGGTGAGTAGACGATGTGTTCGACTCGTGTGTGCGGCTGGAGGAGGTCTGGGAAGGAATGAAGCGCGAGGTGGATTGGGGACGGGTGTTTGGCGGGCACGGCGGGGCGGGCGATCCGGAATCGGGCGTGGAGCGCTGAGTCTGAAGGACTCGTGGCTAGGCGGAGGGCGAGGCGGAAGACTTGGTGGGTCAGACGCAGGTCGAGCAGGAGGAGATTTGCCTCGACTTCGAGGGCGGCGAGGGAGGTCGTCCGATATCCGCCCGTGACCGTGCGCGCTGCAGCTTTCTGCACCTGCTCGAGGACTTTACTGACTGACGCTCCTGGCTTGTACCATGCCGCAGCACACCACGTCAGGCGTGGCAGCACCACCGCTTCGACCAGGCGCCGCACAAACTTCGCCTTCAGTCCGCCTCGGCTCCTTGCCAAGAGCCCGACGCCTACCATCGCCTTCGACGCCTTCGACGCGCACGAAGCCATGTGGTGCTTGAAGGTGAGCCGCTCGTCGATCGTGACGCCCAGCATCCCGACCGCTGACGAGTACTCAAGTTCCTCGCCGCAGAGCACGACCTTCGGGTCGTCGATCGAGCGGTCTCGTACGGGTGAGAAGCGAGTGACGAGGGTCTTCGATGGCTCGAAGAGACTGTGGTGCGTAGCCCACCCTTCCTCGAGGCCGGGCACGATCCGCTGGGCTGCGCTGACTGCCTCCTCCACATTTCTTCCCCAGGCGAGAACGTTCAGGTCGTCCACCCAGCCGAAGGACGTCAATGTCGGCGTCTCGCACGCTTCAAGTGCGCCGGAGTTGTAGAGGAGGAATAGGATTGGGCTGAGCGGTGAGCCTTGCGGCAGGCCGCTTCTCCACTCGACCGGATTGCTGCTAACGCCTTCCAACCGCAGCGTGCACGTCCGGCTGGTCATGAAGGACTCGACTCAGCGGCGGAGCGAGCGCGGTAAGCCCTTCTCCTCCATCTCCCGCACGAGGACTTCGGTCCGCACCGATGGAAACGCTTTCGCGACGTCGAGCGCGATGCCGAGTACAACGTTTCCGTTCCGCCACTGATGCCTGATCTCGTCCACGAAACAGACTACCGCGTCCTCGGCGGATCGACCTGGTCGGGCACCGAAGTGATTGGGCGGGATGAGCTTGAGCAAGTCCACGAGGTGCGTGATACGCCTTGCTACAATCGAGTCGAGGAGCTTGCTGATGCATCGCTCGAAGCAGATCAACCGGTACAATTTGGTGAGCGAGTAATCGTCCTTCTTCGGTTTCTTCAAGACGACTCCAGTTGCGTCGCGCCAGTTCGTCGGGAGGTGGCCCAGCCGGAGCAAGGCAGTGAGGAGCGGAACAAGGCGGGCCTTGAGGGCGGGCCAGGCGGCTTGGAGGACGAGGTTGGGCACTCCGTCGGGGCCAGCGGCAGCAAAAGGGCGTGCGAGGCGGAGAGCTGACTCGACTTCGTGCTCCTGCAGGTCCGGCCAGTCGGTCTTGGCGTCGTTGCCATCGCCGGCGTCGTCGACATCGTCTACTCGGCTTCGACTTGGTGCGAGATCTGCGAAGGTGCGTTCGTGCTCACTCGCGTGGCGGTCGTCTGCTGGACTCGTAGCGGGAGGCACAATAAACTCGTAACCTACTTGCAGTCCGCTGACAGTCCTCCCATTCTCCTTGTCCGCAGGTTGCGCCTCGACGATGTGCGGCTCGACCACCGGCAAGAGGATTGGCTGGAGGAGGGCGAGTTTGTCGCCGGGCGACGTCGCGTACGTCCTGTCGTCTTTCCTGAGCGGCGGGGTTGACGCGGCTGCTGACGTTCCCTCCCCCAATCTCCTCTTCACCACCTTCCACAACGACGCCTCATCGACTTCCTCAACTTCCGCCCTCTCCGCCCTCCTCTTCTCTCGCCTGATCACCGCCTTCGCTTTATTTGTCGCCACCCGCGCCTTCCGCACTGCCAGCTCTACCTCCTCTCCCTCCCCCTCCAATCTTCGCGCCTTCATTCGGTACGCTCGAGTGCGTGCTCGCCTCGCTTCGCCGACAACATCGGCGACCTCTGAGCTCCACCATCGGTGCGCGAACCGCGAGCGCGACGGTTTCGCGAGTGGGACGGCTACTGAGACGGTCTCGCGGAGCATCAAGTCGAGTGTCGCCGCTTCGGTGTCTAGGTCGGCTGGCGTGAGAAGAGAGAGAGAGAAGTTCTTGTTTCAAGTCATATCGGGGCTAAGCCCATGTAGACCGGCAGGGGCTGACTGCCACAGCGCATAACGAGTTGAAAGGGGGTATCTACTGACGTGGGGAGGCTATAGTGGTGGTACAGTGGGAGGGTGGGCATAGGTGGAGCGGAAAAGTAGCCGCGAGAGTGAAGAAGTGCGATAACACGAAGGGGAGTGAGAATGGGGAGACGCGGTGTGGTGGGCTGGTAGAGGAGGGTGTGTGGAGCTTGAGAAATGAAAAACGAAACAAAACCATTGAGAAGCCATTGAGAAAATGCCAATCTTGACCTTGACCTTCTTGGACCGCGACGACGACGACGACGACGGCGGGAATGGGGGGTGGGCAAGTCGTGTGGTAGAATGTGGTGCAGGGAGCTCGCCAAGCTTGGAGCGAGGCAAAACGAGGGCAAGTTAGGCGAGCGAGAGTGGAAAAGGAAATTGGGGAGGGGCAAGTCGGTGTGGTTGAGGGCCTTGGACTGTCCTTCTACGTCCCGCTGTTGTCGAATCCTTCCCTTGTATTCTTTTCCCGCTCCTCATCCTTTGCTGGCTCCGTCAGGCGGGCGAAGCGGCCGGTAGTTGTGATGAAGTCGAGAAGAGGCTGGCGAAAGTTGACGTTGCCGAGGAGTAAGCCAACGGTGGGGGTCTGGCGAAGCCGGATGTGCTTGTAGAAGGAGTGTCGAGCCTGCTCGTACAGCGGGCAGAGAATCAGCGTGAGAAGGGCTGCAGGCCACGCGACAGACGTGGCGAGTTTGGCGTAGGCGCGGAGGATGGTTGCTGGGTCGGCTTTGCGGAAGAGGCGGCGGGGGTAGGCCGGCGGGCGGTCTGCTCGTTCGACGGCAAGGACAGTGCGTATCGGGCGGTGGTCCAATCCGTACTCGAGCTTCTCGTCAATGACTGAGCTGACAAGTCGTTCGTCCGCGCGCAGGTTCCCTAGCACCAAGTCGAGCACTCGACTCGATCTCGACAACGACCAAGTTGCCTCGCTCGCCTCATGCAGGTGGACAAGTCCGGCTTCCTCAAAGGTGATTTGGGCCTCCTCTCCTTCGTCGTCAGGCTCGAGGACGGACGCGTTCCAGGCCGGGTGGTGGAGGTTGAAGTCGCCGGCGATGACGAGGGTGGTCTGCGGTGACGAGGATGCGAGGATTGGCGGAAGGGCTTCTCGAACGGAGCGGTTGGGTGGGGAGCGGCCGCCTGCGCACGGGTTGTAGACGCCGACAACTCATACTGATTCCTGCTTGTTGACTCGCAGATCGATACCGACGACGTCTCTCGACGCGACCGGGAGTTGCGAGAAGGCGGAGGGCGGGAAACAAGGGGAGACGAGCGCGGCGGATTGGGGGTGAGTTGGCTTGTCTGTCGTGTATGTGATGGGCGGAGGGAGAACAAGGGACCAGCCGCGGGGTAAAGGATGAAGGGAACGGGGCACTTCTTGGAGGAGGAGGACGTCGACTCGCTGAAGTGCGGGCGAGTTGACGAGTTGCGCCCATACGTCTGGGCTGCGGTGGATGTTGTAGGTGACAACGACGAGCTTGCTCATAAGCGGAGGCTCGTCTTCGTCGTCCTCCTCATCTGCGAAGGCGGCGGCGGCGGGTTGGGGCGGAGGAGCAGCTCGTCCTCCGATGAGGAGACGACGCTGCGAACGCGCAGAGCGCGCCTGGCTGGAGGGATAGAACGAGTGCTGACAGCTCCTTCGGTCTGCAACAGGTTCTTTTCCCTCAGCACCTGCCTCCTCGACTCCCTTCCCTTCGGCAATCCCTCCTCCCTCTCACTCCTCGCCTCGGTCCGCTTTCCCTCCCCTTTCCCCTCGATCTCGCTCCTGTGCACCGCGCCCAGATCCGCCAAGTCGTCCGCCGCCGTCGCAACCTCCTCCCTCTCCGACTCGCTCTTCTCTTCTCGCTCGACCTCTTCTTCTTCCGCATCAACCGACCAATCCGCCACCGGCTCAGGTCGCAGGTCATCGACGGTTGGCGTCGGTGAGCGCGGGAGCGGGATTAGGGATGCGCGAGACGACGTCTCGAGGAAGGCAGACGGCCCGTCACCTGACGACTCGTCAACCAGCATCCTCAACGAAAGGTTTGCCGCACTCGCGCTTGCCGTCGTACCAAGGTAACCTGTTGCCATTGTTCCATGCGGTCCCGCCGAGCGGGGCGGCGTCTGTGGCGGAGACTTGATCGTCGTGTCGGGCGAAGGGAGGGGAGCAGCGGAGTTGTGGGCTGGGGTGGACGTGCGGGTGTTTGGTTCGAGCGGTGCGTGGGCTTTGTCCATCTGCTTCCTCGCTTCCGCTCTCCTCTCCGCCACCGATTTGGCCCTCTCCATCTCCACCCACACTCCCGGCCTGAGTTGGCGGACCGCCTCACGTAAGATTACGCTGACGTCCTCCGCATTGCACAACTCCACGAACCACAATCCGTACGACTTATCCGCCTGCCGCGACAGCCACTTGGCTCCGACAACCTTTCCTTCACCGCCGACCCACTCTTCCACCTTCTCTCGCACTTCCACCTCGTCCGCATCGACCGGCACCCAGTGCATCACCAACGACGTTGCCTCGACCGGCATCTTCACCACGATCTCGGCCGAGTAGGCGGAGAGGGCGCGGTGGAGGAGGTCGGCGGCAGAAGGTCCGCGGGTGACGAGTCGTACGTCCCCCCTGTCCATGCGTCGGGCATAGACAAGGGTCGAGGGGTCGAGGGACGAGCTGACCATCATCTTGCGCACGCAGGGGAGGATCCGGTGCTCGGGGAGAGCGCGGAGGAAGTGCGTCTCGGGGAGGTCCGCGGTGCCGGCGATGAGGGACGTGCGGGGCGCGGGTTTCGAGGGGGCGGAAGCGCGGGGCGCTGCTGGCGGTTCGGGAGGCGCATTTGGGCGAGCTGCGGCTGCTGCAGCGGCGTAGGAACGCACTGCAGGCGCCGGCGGAGGGGGAGGGTCCGTGGCGTCTCGCTGGAGGATTGCAAAGCGGTTGCTCAATTCCCAGGTGTTCATGCGCGTGTGGAGAGAGTCCACAACGTCTGTAAGCTTCTGTACGCTGGTGGAGAGCGCTGCGAGAGGTCCACTGACCGCCACCCCTTCCGGGGGTGGGGAGTCAAGCGGGTCACACGGCTTGTTGAGGGCGTTTGGCGGGTTGGCGGGCGGCGTACTGGCAGCCGTGTGACTCAACTTGCCCCCCATACTGTTGCTTCCCCCCTCAGCCACCTGCGGATGCAAGTCTGGCGAGGAGGGTGGGACCGGGGAGGTGGGGGTCGCGCTGGATCTCAGCGACGAGGGGTTCTGGCGGGTTGCAGCTGCGGGTATGGCGAGCTGGAAGGGTTTGGACGGCGTCGTTTTGCCGGCGTCGCGTTTGAGCTTGAGGAAAGCGAGTACTCGCTCAATGTCGCCACGGGCCCGAGAGTTCATCTCCGGGCCTATCGTACCCTCCAGCAACGCTTTGCGGGCGCGCTGGAGGTGGCCAATAGCCTCAGCAGTACAGCTAGAAGGCTGTAGCATGCAGCAGATAGCCAGGGGTGTGAGCGATGAGGGGATGGAGCACGAACGGCCCGAAGAGGGAGTGAGGGCGGGACCTTCTAGGTCGCACTTTGCCCTCGCAGACACAGACTCTGCATCCGCAGCATGTAACCACGACACGTTGGACTCATTCTCACCAGATTCTCGCGGGCTCTCTCCACGACGATCTCTCGCCGCGGTCTCTGCTCCTCTCCGCCTACCTTGTCTGCGCCCCTGCAAGAGAAAGATTGTCAGGCGATCCCTTCTGTAATAACGGGCTCGACAAGCCGGATTCTTGGAGACAACCTTGGACTTTCCTGCACGAGGAGAGCTCTCGCGAGGTTGGCACGCCGCTGTCTCTGCCGACCGCTCTTGCTGAACTTGCTGCACATGCTGAACCGCTCTGCAGACTGATCACACTCGCTTGACATCCTTACCAGCCCGCCAGCGCTCGCCGTCGACTGGCCGTGCATCGTTGAACCTCCACACTCCCGACTCTCGCTTCCCACGGTCTTGCACACTCGCACACGCACGATTCAAGCGGCCAATACGTGCTGCAGGGCGCCGGAGAGCCCAGAGTGCGTACAGCCATCTCACTCGTCCATCTCGAGGCGTTGTCGCCGGGCCGCAACTCACTCTGTCCGCAGAAGCTGATCTCGCTTCTCTCGCAGCCCGCCCATAGTGCCAGACGTTGCGCAGTTGCCCAAGCCAGTGCAGCGTGCGCCACGCTCGCCGTTCAGCAAATTTGGCGGGCAAAAGCACCACTTGTCTCGCTCCGTCTCCGACCCATTCGGCGGTCCTCCCCATCCTTCCGCCGCTTTACACCGCCGAAGCTCCTTCACAAACGCCTCCACGACACGCAAAGAAGAGCTCGACTCTGCCATCGCTCCGGTCGCTCAAGACTCGCTTCCAGTCTCTAGGCTTTGGCAGTTTCGGAGGCGGCAGCGGCAGCAAGGGACCGAAGATCCTGCGTGGCGAGGAGGCAAAGGCGGCGGGAACATCGGCGCCGCAGAGCGTGGTCGCACGGACGGGCGGCGGACTGAAGGGGTTCAGCGGGCCAGCGGGATCTGGCATCGGGAGAAGTGTCTCCCATCCTGCCAAGTTGCAGGATGCAGGCAAATCGCGCGAGGCGGAGGCTCCGACGCTTCCGCAACTGCGTTTCAGCGGCGAGGAGGGCGAGTACGGCGGCATGCATTTCGACAGCGGGTCGAAGCGCAGCGTCGACGAGGTCCTGTGGGCAGGCCTAGCATCGTCAACTTCGCCTCGCTCTGTCCTCTCGCCGCACCATGGGGAAAGAAGGCGAGGGCCTTGGGTCAGCTCCAGTCGGTCTACGCGGTGGAACTCGAAGGTGTCCGCCTCGCGCTTGACGGCATCCTCCAGTCCCTCAGCAGCTCCACCGTACCCTCTACCACCCTCTTCATCGACAACCAGTCGGTCGTTCGCTCGCCTTTTGACCCATCCGCCACCGCCGGACAATCCGCCCGACTCGCTCTGCGCGCGCTCGCCCTGGCGCTCAAGCACGTCCACCCAGCAGTCCGACTCACCCTTCAGTGGCTCGCCGGCCATCTTGAGGTGCCAGGAAATGAGTTGGCGGACGCAGAAACGAAGCGGGAGACGGGAGTTGGAGATGACGAGGTGGGGAATTTGAAGGGAGGGCTTGCGGGCGGGCGCGGTGGGCGCAGGCGCGATCCTAAGATGTTCAGGCCAAGCCAGGGCAGCAGCAGCTCGTCGTCAGCGGACGAGAGCGGGTGGGAGGGGGACGAGGAGGAGCGGGCGACTCGCCTCGAGCGCGAAGTCGCTTGCCTCGGACGCCTCGGCTCGTCGACGCGTGCGGAGCCCATCGGGGCCCGTCCTAGGAGGCACTCTGATGCCGAAATTGCTTTCATCGCTCAAGCAGGCTCACCGCGCCGCTCTCCTCGCCGAGTGGACTCGTCGCTCGTCGCTCTCTTCATCGCCTGGCGCCGGACTTCGTGCTGTCGACGCTCGCCCGCCTGGACCACCCTTCGCACGCGCACTACATGCCCTCAACAGGGTTCACTCCACCCTTCTCGCGCGATTCCGGCTCGAATTCAACGATTTGGGATCGTCGAAGGCGAGGATGGGTCTTGGGACGGGACTTTGCGAGTGCGGCGAGGCGGTGGAGACCCGCCAGCACTACATCTTTGAGTGCTCGCTCTACACAGACGAGCGCCAGCAGCTCCGGCGCGAGATCAGCTCATCGACCCTCAAGATGGACAGGATCTTCTCTCCTCGCTTCTTCCGCCCTTTGCTTTGTTTTATTCTGGCTTCCTATCGCTTCCCACAATTGTACGCACCTCTCCCGCTTGTAGCTCCTGCAGCGTCTGGCGGCTCGCCCTTGTAGGCGGCCCCAAGTCGACATGGGTCTTTCCAGGCCTGAACGACTCTAAACTCGGAATTTATCCTATCCTATCCTATCCTAGCTCTCGCCCATCGCAGGGAGCAATGCCTCACCGTCGATGTGTCTGCCAGCCCGAGAAGTGGCGAGTCCTCGCTCCACCGGACGACCCATCTTCATTGCGCCGAAGCAACGAAGTCCTTCATCTCCCCTGCCGCCAGACTCGACGTCTCTCGCCGTAGCGCCTCCGCACGACTCGCCTTCACCTCGCACCTCGGTCTACTTGCCCGCCGAAGCGACCCTCACTCCCGCTCCCTTTTCTGCTCCCCTCGACTCGGCAGCGGGCGTCTTTCCCGGTCCTCCACCCATTCCCTCACGTCATCTCCTCGGTCGTATCTCGCAAGACTTCGCTCGTCCGCCCAGCGAAACGCCTCTCTCCATCCTTTGCGCCCAGCAAGCCGCCGAGCAGGATACGAAGACCCGCTCAGCTTCGCGCCAGAGTAACCGCAACTCGCGCATCTTGCCAGGCGCGACGCTTCTGAGCGACTGGGAGAGCCAGACGTTGACGAGGAGCAAGAGCGCGGGCGCAATGTCCTCGGAGTGCAGAAGCAGGTTCCGGTTCAACCAGCTCACTCCGCCAGTCCCGAGACTCTCCTCGCCGAGCTCGGATGACGCAATGGCAGGGACGCTGCGACAACGACACTTGGTCAGCCCGGTCGTGACGCCGAAACTGGGCAGTCCGGAGGCGGAGCAGATCGAGGCGCCAAGCAGTCCGCCGGTCGACTCGACGAAGAAGGAAGAGCATCGAGGAAGGTCGTTGAGCGCTCTACTTGGACAGGCAAGAGCCAGCTTTGGGCTGCGAGGATCGGTGTCGTCGATGGAGGGTGCGGCAGGACAGCGGCGTCGGTCGAAGCTGTTCCCGCCGCAGTTCGAGGAGGTGCCAATCACGCATGCCAGGACGTCCGCCCAACCTCGAAGCAGCTACCCAATCTCGCCCTCCTCGCCGAACACCCCTCCTCTCGGCTTCGACAGCTTCTCTTCCGCGGACTCAGCCGCGCCGCTCAGTCAGGATCGACCAGAGTTGTTCAGCTTTGCCAACTACACCCTCTCGCCTGTTCCGCCACTCCATCCTCGTCCAAGCGATGCCTCAATGCGGTCCAACTCGTCCTATGCCACGGCCGGTCGCGCCGAACACTCTGCGGCTCCTCAGCCTCGACGACCCTCAACTACCGTCTTTGCCGATCCTTGCCCACCTTCACTCCACGATCCTTTCGCCAGCTTGCGGAAGAGCAAGTCTGTCGGCTCGCTTGTCTCGCCGCAGCCTCGCGTCTCGTCCTTGCAGGCAACGGCGACACCTATCGGCGAGGGCTCGCCTCATGTCTACGATGAATCTGAGCAGAGCGATGACCGACCTGTCGGAAGTCCGCTGGGCGACCTCATTGAGGAGCTGCGAGCGCGGCAGGCGGAGATGATGTCAGAAAGGGTGGCGTCGCCAAGTTGTCTGCAACAGCAGCTTGCGCATGAGGAGGACGAAGATGACGACAAGGATGAGCGAGACGTGGACTCGCCCGTCGTCGGCCGACACGACTCGCACGACCGCTCGCTGCGCGAGTTCTCTTTCAGCAGTTCGCCCGGCAGCGAGCATCCCTTCTCCTTGCACAGCTACCTCGACGGCAGTGCCATCTCCCCGGCTCCGTTGTCTCTCGCTCCTTCACCTCTCCCCGGTTGCAAGTCGTCGGGCGACCCTTTCCTCCAGTCTTGACCTTTGTTCCCGCCCACGCCTGTACCTCTCCCGCTCACCGCCTCGGTCAAATACTTCGATTTGACAGCATACACCAGCAACCTCTCGTCTCTGCCGACCTTTGCCCTTTTGAGCGCGCTGCCGCCCAGACTCGGCTCGGAACACCCTCTCACCTTTGAGCGGATGGAGAGCGAAATCGCTCGCATGGAGGCAGAGCTCGTCGCATCCGGCCGTTCTTTCTTCGCTCGTTGCCAGCCCATCGTCTTGAGGCGGCTTCGCCACGCCCGTTAAGAGCTCGTCAGTTCCCGCTCAAGCAGATCCGCCCTCGCCCTCTCCGGGCTTGCTCCGCGCGCCGAGTCCCACCGCCGCATTTTCTCCCAGCGCGGCCTCCAAGGATACTGTCACGCCACGAACGGCGCGCAAGTGGAGCATCTTTGAGATGGAGAAGGCGTACGAACGGATGAAGCGGCTGCTGAGCCTCTCCTCCGCCTCCGGTCCGACACCCGCTTACGCGCCGAGCGAAGCTGGCAGCACGCTTGAGGACGGCGCGTCGACATGGACACGGCGCTCAACAACGCGCTGGAGCAGGCGCGAGGACTCGTTGGCGAAGAGGAGGACGAGGACGCGCAAGAGATCCTTGCCGGCGAGGACAATGAGCAGACGATCGAATTCGAGTGAGTGCGCGCTTTACGGTTGTTAGGATCAGTATGCTGACCTCCTCTCGTTGCAGATCCTCCTCCCCGACTCTCGTCGTTCCTTCACCTCGTCGCGCCTCTGCCGAATCGACAGCGTCGACTATCACCGACAAGCCTCTACCCGGCCTTCCGCCTCCGACTCCATCGCGGACGTCCGACTCGACGCGCAACACCGTCACGAAGCGCCCGACAGGCGACTTGGATGTCCACCTCGACACGACGAACAGCGGTGCTGAGACCGACAATCCGCAGATCGGTCCACCGCAGGTCAACGAGGACTTCCCAACGGGCTCATCAAATGTCGCTCAGGTCGAGGAGAACGAGCCGACGGACGCGGACGGTCCAGCCGACGAAGCCGTTGAGGCCACCACGCCGGACGGCGAAGCGGCGGCTGAGGGTGAGATGGCTATTGTCTCGGAGTATGAGCAAGACAATGAGGGAAAGCCGGAGGCGCAGGGTGATGTTGAGCAAGACGAGGCGGAAGAGACGTTGCCTGCGTCCCAGGACGAGCAGGTCTCAGCGCTGTCGACTTCAACCGCGTCAGCCGACCAGCCATTACCGCCGGCTACGCCTTCGTTGGTGGCGCACCCAATCTCGCCCTCCTTCGTGCCAACCTCACCTTCGTCGGCGCGCCAACGGACGGACAGCAATGCGAGCAGTACGACCGGCATGCGCCCGCTCGTCCTCCCTATCACGACTCGCTTGCGACATTGAGACACGCGCGACAGCATCATTTCGCTAACAAGCATCCACGACGCCGCAAGCGAGACCGGCAGCATCGACGAGCCAGTCTTGACCGAGAACGGCCTCGCCGGCTTCGCGACTCCGCCCACATCGCCACGCAACTCGCAATTTGCGCAGCGCAGTCCTCGTGCGACCCGGTACCTCCTCCACGGACTCAGAAGCGGCGCTGGACGCGACTTGCGGCGACAAATTTCGGATGCCGGCAGGGAAGGCTCAGGCGAATAGCAATTCACCCGCTCCCTTTCTTTCCATCAATCACCCACCAACACCGCCGAACCTACTCTTGAGCAACCAACTCGTCGATCTCTTCCTCGCTCATCCACCGGCGACGCTTTGTCGTGGTATCCCGTCACTTCCGAACGAGGAGCGGCTCGCTTCTACCGCTCCGAGATGCGGCGGCATTCGCGCACGGGTGACGAGCTCATCAACGAAGACGACGAGCAAAGCGCGGCGACAAATGACATCACTAGCATCCGCAATATGGACAAGCTCAAAGTCTTCTTCAAGTGCGTTTCTTCCACCTCCTTCCCGTCACAACCACTCATCAATTTCTCCGCAGGTATACGGCTGTCAAGGCTGAGCTCGACAAAGCCGAGCTTGAGCGGGATGCTCTCCTAGATGCGCTCTGCGAGACTCGTTCGACCCTCTCAGACGTCCGGTCTCAGCGAGACAATCTCGATGCGGAGCTAAAGCGGGAGAGACAACTCACAGCCCTCGTCAAGCAGGTGAGTTGGCTTCCAAGTGTTGCGAGAACGCAGAGGACTGACGCTTGCCAGACAGCACCTCGGCGGACATCCAGACCATGTGCAGGAGAAGCTTGCGGATCTGGTCGCGACTCGCCAGGAATGGGAGATGCGGACGAGGTCGGCGGAAGAAGAGCTCAACGTGTTGCGGCGTGAACTCGCCGAAGTGCGTGAGCGGGAAGAGCTGCTCGAGCGGGAGAACGTGATGATGGGGGCACACCTCGCCCCTGCCGAGATGGCTCGGGACGGTTTGGCGGGCCTCGAACGCATTGACACAAACAAGTGGCAGTGTGACTGCTGGACGACTGCCACCGATGGGTCACTCCCGCCGTCCGTCTCGCAGCTCGACGCAGCACAGCAAATCTCCTCAACTCGGCAACGGCCTTCCTGTCGCCGCTTCTTCCGCTTCCGTCCGCTCTCAGCACTCGAGCTCCGATGCCAGTCATCGACGCCGCAAATCCTCCCTCCTCGCCTCGCCAACCCTCACGATGAGCCGCACGACTTCCGTCAACACAGCCCGCCCATACGAGCATTTGCCCTCGCTGCCGTTCGACGCATCTCGTCGTACATTCAAAGAGTCGTCGACTCGTCGGCGAGCGAGATGGAACCCGCCGCTCTCGGACTTGGCGATATTGGCTCGCCCTTGATGAACCAGACTTTGCAGTCCTTCGGCGGACCCAAGTCCAGCTACGGGTTGGCGCCAGCCCACTCAAGAACCGCTCACCATCCTCGCATCCCTACGACCCGAGCGTCCCGCCGTCTCTACCCTTCGCGGCGCGCGACCTTCGTAGGTCGAAGATGTCGAGCGACTCGACTCAGACGGACGAGTACAGCGAGTACGCGGATCAGTCGTTCGATTTGTCGACGGGCGTCAAAGGACTGGCAAGGCTGAAGAGGGCCGACGCGGCGTTCTTATCGGACTTGACGAGCGAGATCGAGCTGTCGCCGGAGGATGCGAGGGGTCGCAAGGCCGGCGAGTAATCTTATCTTGCGGGTTCTGTTGTAGCGATTAGTCCTGCATTGCGTATAGCTCTTTGTGAAGACGCCTTCACACGACGAGAGCAGCAGCGAGAACGCGCGCGAGTGAGCGTTGATGGCTAGGCAGCGTTTCTCGCGCTCTCAATGAAGGCAGACCGACGCTGAAGATGCTGTTGCAGTAAATCTACGAGCTGCGCATGCTCCTCAGTTGGGCCATCATGCGCTTGAAGTCATTCTTAGTGAGGATGGCGGCAAGGATCAAGTTGAAGAGTGCCTCCTCCGCCTTGATGAGGTCCCGATGGGCTTGATTGAGCATAATGTAGAGTCCGCACAGTTGCTTGGGCGTGTCGGAATGCTGGAAATTGTATGCGGCGAGAAGGTTGTGGGTACTGCCCAAGAGCGTCTGCACCAGCTGCGCAAGCTGCTTGGTGCTTTCAGCTGGGGCAAGGGAGTCAACAGCCAATTCACTGGCCCAAGACCTGTCCGTCCCATCTCCAATGAGGGGTCAGAGACACTTTGCCACTTCCTTGCGAACTTCCTACGTCAGTGTTGACCACAGCGATGGCATCGCAGCAGCAATCTTGCTGTTCCGAAACCCAGTCAACAAGTAATGCAGAGCCTGGAGCAGCTTCTTGGCTGTGGCGCCGCCCAGCCAATGTGCCAATTGGTACCAAATCTGCACACCTTGTAAGCGGAAGCCCGGGTGGTCCTGCATTGGCCGAGTCGACATGCGCAAGAAATATTTGTCAAGCTCACTCTGAGTGGCCTGTCTGATTGCAGAGACCACTTCCAAACATGCAGCAAGCGAAAGGGTGGTAGCAGTGGCAAGCGCGTCCGTCATGGCGCGCAAGTGAGCTGTCAGCACATGAGCACCTCCTGCAGACCTGCACCTCTGGCTGTGCACTGGCAACCAGTTGTGCCAGCCAAATCTGCTTTCATTGCCTTGAGTACGTGTGTCCGGTCTGTGTAGTGTAGAGAGGCAGAAAAATGTGCGAGATCATTGAGTTGAAGTCGGCTTGTTTGCCAGGCTTGTTTGCCAAATGTCGTTCTACATCCAGGACTGTCAGCGGACAGACTTGTGACAGCTCAGGAGAAGGGACTGACCCAAAAAGTCAGCTGAGAAGTTGGGAAAGCCCGCTGAGAAGTTGGGAAAAGCTCAGCGTGAGGTTGGAAGGTCAGAGACATTTGAGAACGGCGCAGAAGATATTGAGGACGTGCTGGCAAACCGCAACCTTCGCCAGCCTGAACGCTGTGGGCAAAAGCTGTTGGCAGCGTGTCGCAGCCCTGGGACTCTTGACCTGGTGGAGAGGAGCGTAAGACAACAATTGCCAAGCTATATGTGAATTGCTAGCAAACCTGGTGGAGCAGAGAGTAAGACCACAATGAAGGAGAGAGCGAGAGAGATCCGGAGAGTCCTCGGAGGTGAAGTCCGCGCATACAACAAGTGGTAGCGAAGAGAGACTATTGAAATGGGTCCCAACCTGTCACAGAGTTGCTCCTGAGCAATCCACCGTGCCAACTTATCCTTCTTCCGCTGCTTCAAGCAGGTCAAATGCAACTGTGAGCACGAGTCTTATGGGCCACAAGCGCACATGTCCCTCTGCTCCCGCAAACATGTCCCGCACACAGGCTTCGGCAATCTGGACAGATGTTGGCAGGTCACTTTGAGTGGAGTATGATGCCAATGAGTGGTGTGCAGGAATGAGGAGGGACAGAGCAAAGCAGCGTTCTAGATATAAGCGCAACCTACGGCACAAGTTGCCCAGTAAATTGAGTGCGGGCGGAGGCTCATCCTTCTCACACATTCCCCTCTGTTCGAGGGCAGGCCGGGGACAGCTGAATGGGCAGATGCTACGCATGCAGGTACACTTGATTGCCTACATTTAGCCCTTTCTTTGTGCACCAGGTAGGATGCACGCGCTTTGTCCTTTGTCTGTACTCTCCCTCCCGCTTTGAGTTTTGCTGACTGACTTGTCAAATGTGTGCAGCTGTCCGGCTAGAGGCTCGACGCCTAGCCTGCTGAACTGTTGCTTCATGCTCAGAGAGTGACTTTGTTTGGCTCGTCTACCCAACAGGCTGCTTGCATGACCCTCTCTTGTTGCTTTATCTGTTGGGGCCTGTTCTCTGTCGAGCACCAACTTGTACACCTCTGGACACTCCCATTGTCTGCTACATACACAGGCAGCTTGGACAGCTGGCAACAAGCGCAGGAGGCTGTCAATGACTCGTCTTGCAACGCAAGTCTAGAGACAGAGCTACAACACACCTGGCAACGAGCACCAGAGACTGTAAGCGAATGGTACATAGAGATCAAGCCACTCGAGTCTCTTCTCTTTAGCGCTCACATCCCCTCTCGCTCTCGCAACAGTGCCCGAATGGAAGTCGCCTCGTTCGGCGACAACACTCGCTCGGGCCGATAGAGATGGAACAGCGTAGATTGCTGGTTCTCCAGTCAGCGAGAGCGATGGAGAACCAAGAGAGAGAACGAACGTCCGACCCAACTCCTCCGCTCGCACCGCTCTGTCTCATCTCCGTCGTGAGGCATCCGCCTTACACCGAATCAGATTCAGTATCACTCGGTCTCCGCACAGTTGCCCGACTTTGACTTGTGCCAGCCGCCTGTCCTTGCATTGCGCTCAGGACGGTGCATCTTGCACTTCCACTCCACTGCAACATCTGAGCGTTCACTTCCATTCCGTGCCAGGCTCCTGTCGGGCAGCTACGCTCTCCCTTGCTTGCCTTCCAGGTGAGCACTTTTGATCCAAATGTCAATCTCACGCCTGCTCAATGTTGACCTCAGCCTTCGGTTGATTGAAGCCCAGCCCAGTTCAAGATAACTTGCTATGACCATGTGCAAGTGCTAACGACAATACCGGCAGGCTACCTAGCCTGCCAAGGTCAGGACCGTCAGCCAGCCCCTGTGTCGGCAGGCTTGCAGCCCCTTTAACAATCCAACAGCTGCGGACCTACCTATGTACTACCTAGGTGCTGCCCGACAAACTGCTGCAATATGCAAGACCCAAGGGCTGCCGAACAGCAAGCAAGCAGTATGGCATTGCAGCTGAGAGAAACAGCCAACCATGTACAGGCAACTCCAGGCTCTCAGGGTGCTGCAACAAAAAGGCTGGCGCATCAGTGGGCTGCCTAGAGCCATGTAGCAGACACTTTAAAAAAAGCTAGGCCCGTTGCCGGATTTGAACCGGCGGCCACCACAAGATCTTGACCTGCTAAGCAGGCTGGCATAAGAAACGCCCGAATGTGGTATCATACCCCTAGACCAAACGGGCTAGTGGTGTGTTCGAACAAATTTTACATACATACTGGGAACAACGTCCGCTGAATGGTGTTTCTCTTCCAGTTGGTGGACTCGCGGAATTGCTTCGTCTGCGACAAATGGGTTCTGGCTGCCACCAATGCAAGCTCATAAGCCAGCCTGCCAGGTCACAGTAGCCCTGGCGCCGGCAGGCGTTCCACCCGCTATGTACCGAGACTGCAATTGGGCGGGTCCGCCGACAATGGGGATATATACGTAAAGTCTGGCGGCCGTCTCAAGGCACTGGTGGTTTAGTGGTAAAATTGGACATTGCCAGCTTATCTCGCTTGAATTTGTCTAGCCCCGGGTTCGATTCCCGGCCAGTGCATCGGTTTTTGCTGCGTTTCTCGAGCATACTCTTTCCTTTTGCTCCAACTCACGGCTCTCTGTACACATGCTTGAAATGATCTCGAAGCCTGACGCTCCCTTCGATGCTCGCCTTGTCGTAGAAACCGAACCAACTCTCTCCAACGCCGGTTTCGGCGCTCCAACTTCTCCGCATTGGCAGCACGTCTACGCAGCACCAAGCCCCAATCGAGCCCCAAAGATGCTTGAGAGCGCCTCCACAGGTGTCGGAGAGAAGGCATCCGCCGCCGGACCATCTCCTCGCTCCCGAGATTGCGCCTGACCCGCCGATTCCGCTCCTTCCGCCGGACCAATCCCTCCTGACCGCTCGCCCTCCGAACCCTTTGCAGCAGACGCCACTCCGACAGCCATCAGCTCGCGCCAAAGCAGCCGCACAGGCGGGAGCGAGTGCGCGGGCGTTTCGAGCAGGATCGCAGCGGGCGATTTGGACGAGTCCTTCGCGTCCGGCACCCCTTCGACCGCACGAGCCTTGCCCTTCCCCTTTGCAGACGACGCAGCGAGGTCCTCCGAGCCAAAGATCTCGTCAAAGAGGCGGGTCGTGCCCTGGATCGCGGTGGGCAGACGAGTTGGGGCGATAGACCCGCCTGCGCGGGCTGCAGCGCCGACGAGCGCGACGTCGCCGCTTGTTGAGGCGACTGCGAGGGAGATGTCCGAGGCGGAAGAGGACGCGCTGGCTGAGGTCGAGGGAAGGGGGAGGATCTGGCGAGCCGGAACGGGGAGAGGGCGAGTGACGGGCCCAGCGGAGGACGAGGGGTCGAGGATGTAGAGGAGAGAGGCGTCGGAGGAGGATGCAGTGTCTTCGACGGCGATGAGGCCGTTCTTCTTGGGCTGACGCGCGATCGAGGAGAAGTTGACGGTCGAAGAGAAGGTCTCTGCACACGGGAAAGCGGAATCAGCGGCCGGCGGAAAACGAAGGAAGGAAGCCTGTGCGCACCCTCGAGGGTCAAGAGATCCCAGCACAAACTTCCCGCACTTCCCGTCACCATCAACGCCGTCCCCTCCTCATTCACAAACTCGACCTGCCTAGGCCTTCCCACGTTCGTCGCAGGGAACGAATGGATGAGCTCTCCCGTCTTGGCCAAGCTCCAGAGCGAGACAGAGCGCAGATGCGCAACGGCAAACATCGAGCCGTCTGCGGACCAGGCGGAAGCGACGGGCGCAGAGTTGCGGTGGAGGAGAGAGGCGCGGCAGCGCCATGAGCCGTCGGGAGTGTGGGACCAGACTTTGAGGCGCCCGTCGGTCGAGGTGGTGAGGAGGAGAGGGGAGGTCGGGGAGGGGGAGAAGGAGAGCGAGGTGATGGGCGTGTCGTGCGGGCGGTCGACGCGGGTCGAAAGGACAAAGCTGCGCAACAGAAGAACGATACTCGTCAGCAAAGATCCGCTTCAGAATGCTCGAATCGCCCGTGCACGCACCTCGCCCCATCAACCTTCTTCCTCCAAATCTTAAGCTGCCTAACCGGCGCAAACCCATCATGTTCCCACGAATCCACCGTGGCCATCCAATACTCGCCCCTCCGATCCGGCATCGAGAACGCTACCCTCTCTACGCGGGTCGGCTCAACAGGCTTGTTGGAGGTCGCGCTCGAAACGCGGTTTGAGGGCGAGATCTCGAGTTCGAGGAGTTGCGAGTCGGAGGTGAGGGAGTAGAATTGGAGGGAGGAGGGGTGGCCGGCGGGGAGGACGAGGGAGGAGGTGGAGGGGTCGAGGGCGAGGGGAATGGGTGCGTCGGGCCGAGCGGGGGCGAAGGTGGCGCGAGAGGCGGCGTCTGCGACAGAGAGTACTGAGTGAGCAAGAAAGACAGCCGTAGAGAGTGCAGGAGGGCCGACGCACCCGCCTTGAGCCCGGAAATGGTCTTGGCGATCCTCAACTTCTGACTCCCGATAAACACGACACTCCCATCCCTCAACCTCGCCGCAACCTGCTGCTCACCCGAGTCGCTCGTCCCGTCAAGCACCGAGAGCGTCGCGATCGGCGCACCGAGACGCGGGACGTATTCCTGGTGTCCTGTGTGCAGTTGCCACAGAACGAGGACGGCTTCCTGCCCGCCGGAGAGGAGGTAGGCGCCGTTCGGGGTGAAGGCGAGCGAGGAGACGGCGTGGGCGTGCCAGTGGAGGACAGAGGTCGAGGTTGCGGAGTCGGCGGCGGAGGGAGCGGAGAGGGCGACGTCGCCGTCCGTGTCGACCTGGGATGCGGGCGACGAGAGGACGTTGTACCACAGCCGGATCTGGCCCTTGCGGTTGCCGGTCGCGAAATAGTTCTCGGTCGGGTGGAAGGCGATAGTCGTGAGGGACTCGTTGTCCGCCTGAACCGTCTGCGTGAACCCGCGGCTGTACTCGCTCGTGCGGCAGAGATTGATCGCATGCGGGTTGACGCTCGCGAGGACGCTGCCGTCGGGTGAGAGTGCGAGTGCGCGAACGACGCGCGGGACGGCGAGGCGGACTCGACGAGCGGGAGGGACGGGGAGCGAAGAGTCCGCTTTCGTAGGGACGCCATCGGAAGTCGTGCGTGCCGCGCGGAGACTGACGAGGTAGACGCCCGCTTTGGGCTCATCTTCGACGAGGGGAACCTTCTCCCGCTTCGCCATCCGCTTCACGGGCGCCTCGGCGACCATTGCCTCGCCGGGCGCCTCGAGCGCGACGTAGAGCTGGTCGGGAAGGTTGGCGTTGGCCGTGGCGTGCACGACGGGCGCACCCATCTCGAGCGTGCGCAAGAGGCGGCCCTCGAGGTAGTCCCACAAGCGGACTTTGCCGTCGGTCGAGGCGACGACGAGCTGGCGCGGGTTCGAGGGGGAGAGGAGGACGGCCGAGACCGTTGCGCGCTGGAGGGACGAGGGGGAGGTCGAGGACGAGGTGTAGGGACGGATCGAGAGGGTCGACATGAGCTGCGTCGTCCGGACCGAGTAGATCTTGACCGCCGAGCCGGACGCTATGAAGCAGTAGCTGTGGACGTGCACTTGAACGGTTAGACTGGACCCCACGAAGCGCGTTGTCTGGCTGTACGCACCTGCCATCTGGGCTGAAGACGACGGGGCAGGTTGCGGCGGCGGTGTCTGCGAGCGGGAGCCACTCCAACGCATCCGAGTCCCGCTTGTGTCCGTCTGCTGCTGCGTGACCCTTGACTGCGCCCGAGGTTGTGCCATCTGCCGCTGTCGCCTGCTGGTGCTGCTGAGCTGCGAGCCCTGCGCGGATTTGCTTCCGCTCTGACCTGTTTGGGCGTTGTCGGTGTTGCTTTGCTGCGAGTGCAGCTGTGGCAGGTGCGACTGTGGCCATGCTCGAGCCCGTTCAGCGAGAGTGAGCGAGTCGACGAGGATGAGGGCGAGGACGAGCTCGAGGCGGACGAGCACAGCATGCACTCGCCCAGCTTACTCTCGCTTACACTGGGTGGCTAACTGGCTATACAACTGGCATACTGGCTGAGTCGAGGGCATGGCTGACCCGCGCCCGCCGCCGTCGCTGCCCGACTTTGTGCGCCCGCTCAGCTCCCCACATCCCGCCGCACTCGAACCTCACCCTCGCTTGCAACGCACGCAGAAACTCGCAGAGAAACTCGGACAGGGCGCATTCGGGAGCGTGTACAAGGTGCGCCACCTCCGAGTCTAGGAAGGAGAGGCGCCGCTGACTTGGTGGTCGTTCGTCCGTCGCTCAACAGGCCCTCAACTGTCCGTCCACCCGCATCGTAGACCCCTTGGGCAGGACGAGCTGACTTGTATACTTGCTGGCAACAGGGACGACCGGGGAAACATGCGCCGTCAAGCAGGTCAGTCTCGCGCGGACGTCCTCGCCTCGTCGACCGGAGCTGCCGGCGACACATGCTGGCGGCGCTATCGTGCGCCTTCTGCGAAAGCAGCTGACACTGAATTATTGCACGCAGATCGACCTGTCGCACATCCCGGAAAGCGAGCTGCCGGACATCATGGTGCGCACCCGACAGTCGAGGCGGACAAGGAGCTTGTAGAGCTGACTCTGTCCCGCTCCTCCAGTCCGAGATCGACTTGCTCAAGAACCTACATCGTGAGCACGAGCAGCGGGAACGGCGGCGGAACTCGTCTCCACGCAGGACGCTGACGTCTTACCACCGATCTCACTCACAGACCCGAACATTGTCCAGTACCGCGGCTACGCGCGCACCTCGACTTCCCTCTACATCATCCTCGAATACTGCGAGAACGGTTCGCTCTCGGCCATCATTAAAAAGTTCGGCAGGATCCCCGAGTCGCTCGTCGGGCTGTACACGCTCCAGGTCTTGCAGGGGTTGCAGTACCTCCATGATCAGGGCGTCATACATCGCGATATCAAGGGGAGCAACATACTCGCTACCAAGGAGGGCAGCATCAAGCGTGAGTTGGGGGGCGGGAGCCGGTCGAGGGAGGAAGGAACGAAGGGAGCTGACCTGCGCTCGTGTGCCCGCTCGTAGTCGCCGACTTTGGTGTCGCCACCCGCGTAGGCGGACCGATCGACTCGGCGGTCGTCGGCTCGCCCTACTGGATGGCACCTGAAGTAGTCGACCAAACCGGCGCGACTCCCGCATCCGACATCTGGTCCCTCGGCGCTCTGGTCGTCGAGCTCATCACCGGCAAACCACCGTACCACTTTCTCGACCCGATGCCTGCGCTCTTCCGAATCGTCAACGACGACTGCCCTCCGCTCCCCGACGGCGCAAGCGCAGTAGTCCGCGACTTTCTCGGGCAGTGTTTCCAGAAAGACGCGAACCTGCGCGTCGGGGCGAGAAAGTTGCTTCGACACCCGTGGATGGTAGCGGCGAAGAGGCAGGCGGATCAGCAGAGGAAGGTGTCCGAGGCGAGGGAGGCGGTTGTCCGTGGGGCGGAGGGGCAGGGGGTGAGAAGGGCGCCCGGGGCGAGGGCGAGACCGACGACGGTGTATGAGGAGGAGGTACAGAAGGTCCGGGAGTGGAACGAGGCGCTCAAGGGTGCGTGTGCGCGCCGCGCTTCCAGCTGCGCTCGAGGCTAACCCGTCTGCGTCTACAGCTGCTCCAACGGCCCTCCGCGCCGCGCGCTCTTCCGCACCCGCGACAAGCGGCGACGAGAATCGCCGCCCGACGCACCTCCGCACCCTCTCGCAAGTCGTCCGCCGGCCCTCCGCCGAACTCGCCTCCACGCTTTCCTCCGCCCCCGCTCCTTTGCCCAAACTCTCCGACCCTCCGCTCGCCTCGACTTCGCGGCGCAACTCGATCCCGTTGTCGGTCATCCAGCCTGTCACCGCCGCTCGAGCAGTCGACACGCACGCGAGGGAGGAACAGCTGGACGATAACTGGGACAGCGACTTTGAGGACGGGATTTCGATCTCGAAGATCGCGGCGCTCGAGGGGTTGTCTTCGTCTGCGTCCGAGTCGGAGGGCGAAGGGGGAAAGAAGGGCGAGCAGGAGGAGGAGGAGGAAGTTGAGGGCGGTGGCTCAGTCACGATCCGACCTGGTCGGCTGAGTGCGGCGACCATTCGCGCGGGCAGATCTGGGGGAGCGAAGAAGGTGGGTCAGGCCATGCCGCCTATCGTCGAGGACTACTCGGACTTGGTCGGCGATGACGAGGCGGATGCGCTCGATCTCGGAGTGAGCAGGTTTAAGGTGCGCTCCTTCGCTTCTCTCGATTACTCGTCGCTGATACTCGTCACGCAGGCGAAGAACAAACCTGCGATCCAGCTGCTCCGACCAAGCGACATCGCCAACTTCTCCATCCGCGCTCCCTCGACTCCTCCCAGTCCTCGCAAGCCTTCGACACCGACACACTCCGGCTTCCAGCCCAGCACGCTGAGTGCGAGCGAATCGTCGATCTTTGACAAGTACGGCGAGCAGGACGTGGACGACTATTCGGATCTGTTCGGAAGGACGGCTGCTGGGGACAATCGTGAGTCGCCCGTGGTCCCGAAGCTGCACGCGTGAGCTTACGATCAGTCCGCAGAGACTTCTCTCGGCTCGCTCAAGCTCAACACGCGTCTCTCGAACAAGTCTTGGGTGCGTGCTTTTGCTTTTTAGAGCAAAAACCTGCGCTGACCTGCCTCTCACAGCTCGGAGAAGAAGACTCGGACGAGGAAGACCCCTTCGCAGCCGTCGAAGCGGAAGAGCTTGACCCGCACGGCACGATCGCTTTCCTCGACGACTCGGAAGCCGACCTCGCGGCCAACCTCGCTCGGGACCAATTCGCACGACAATGTGCGCTGGTCGAGGAGCTCGTGGATGTCGTCGCGTCGGCAGAACATCCCGACGACTTTGAGACTCGCGAGGCGGCCTTGCAGCTCGTGCGCACCCTCCTTTTCCTCATCGCAACTCATCGATGCTAACTTTCTTGGCCTCCAGACGGGCTTGCTCGAAGAGTCGTCTGACGCCTGCACGCACTTCGTTAAGTCTCACGGGATGCTGGTCGTCCTAGAGGCCCTGCGAATCGCCCGCTCGCGCGACGTCCTTTCGATCCTCCTCCGAATCGTCAACCTCATCGTTGGGTCGGACCCAGGCATGCTCGAGAAGATCGCGGTACGTTGAGATGCTTGTGAGCTGGGCAGGCGCGCTGACCTCGCCTACGTCGCAGCTCGTCGGCGGCTGCCCTGTCGCGATGGCCTTTTCCTCAAAGCGCTACTCTCGCGAGATCCGCCTTGAGGCCGCGCTCTTCATCGGCGCCATGTGTCGGACGTCGCTGCTTACGGTGCGTGCACCGTCAGAACCCACGGAGCAGTCGCGCTGACCTTACGGCTCCGCAGCTCCAAATGTTCGTCTCATGTCAAGGCTTGCGCTCGCTAGTCGAGATGCTCGACGAGAACTGTATGTGCTCTCTTTTGCTGACGGAGGGACGGCCTGACCTTTCCGCTCGTGCAGACCAGGAAGGGAAGGACCTCATCTGGATGGCTGTGGACGGCATCAGCCGAGTCTTCGAGATGCAGGTGCGCTGCTACGGGCACTCTATGCTCCACACTCCTGACGCTGTGCACGAGCAGGGACCGATCCCGCGCAACGACTTCTGCCGCATCTTGACGCAAGAAGCGGTTCTCGAGCCTCTGTCGAATGCCTTGCTCAGCGTCTGCGGCGACACCGACGACCTTGCCGAGAGCGCCAAAGCGAAGATCGTCCACATTCTGCTCCTCTTTGCGCAGTCGGATCATAAGGTCAAAGAGGCGATTGCGAAGCGCGGCGTTCTCCTACGTGAGTCGGTTAACCTCTGCATATTTTTAAACTCGTCTGATGCTTTATCACCGCAGGCCTCGTCCGTGCAGCCGACTTGCTCGAGCCTGAGCTCCTCGCGGTCCTGCTCAAGACGGTCAAGAACGTCTCGATGCTTCCTTCCGCACTCGAGGTTCTCCAGAACGCCGGAGCGATCGAGATGCTTGTCAGCATGCTAGCCAAGACGTATCGCGGGCGCGTGGGTGCAGTAAGTCCTGTCACTTCGCGGCACTCGAACAGCGTTGACCGATCTCGCCTCGCAGGAGATTCAAAACCACGCCGTCAACGCGCTCTTTAACCTATGCCACCTCAGCAAGTCTCGACAGGAAGAAGCTGCTCGCGCCGGCGCCATCCCGCTCCTCCAGGCCATCGTCCGCAACAACTCGCCCCTCAAGCAGTTTGCCTTGCCGATTCTCTGCGACTTTGCCCACGCTGGAAAGGCGTGCCGTCACCTGTGAGTACCTAGCATTAGCTCGCCGGGCTCACCAATGACGATCGTGCCCTGCAGTCTGTGGAAGCACGACGGCGTCAGCTTCTACCTGCAGCTGCTCAAGGATACCTTCTGGGTCAACTCGGCTCTCGAGGCGCTTCTAGTCTGGTGGGTCGCGCTTCCAGCGCCGAGAAACCGCAGGCTGACATCGCTCAACGCTCGCAGGCTGCAAGACGAGTTGGTCCGCGTGGAAGCATGCCTGCTTGAGCAATCCTCGCTCGACGCTCTGGTCCGCCTCTTCTGCAAGGAGAAGGGCACGACGTTCGAAAACTTGCTCGAGCCGCTGCACAAGGTACGCCCACAGCTCAATCTCTCTTTGGTGTAAGCATTCGGCTGACCTTCGCGACGCGTAGATGCTGCGAGCCTCTTCGACCCTTGCCTCCCGCCTCGCCGTTCAGTCAGGCTTCCTCAAGCGCACTGTCGAGCGACTCGAGCGAGCCAGCAAGGCAGTCGTCCGCCTCAACCTCCTCCGCATCATCAAGACCGTGTTCGACTCCCTCGCCGACCGCCGCGACCGCGACAAGGCGATCCAGATCCTCGCCGCGCCCATCAGTCGGTTGGCTCAGGAAGACAAGGCAGTCTTGTCGCGCCAACTCGCCAAGACGCTTGCCGCAGACTTTGCCAACACGAAGGAGGAGTCGAAGCGGAGTCTAGCCCAGCGAGCGATGCGACGCGCGGCATCAGAAGGCGGAGGAAGTCTGTCAGCGATGCCAGACACCGGCTCGCGTCGATACCGCCCCGCTCTCTCCTCCGCCAACTACAGCTCGCCTGCAATCTCAGGCCGTGATTCGCCTACTCCCGCCTCGCCACGCACCTCTTCCGCCCGGCAGGCACCCGTCCTGCCGTCTTCTCTGGCAAATCCGCCGGCCCGACGTTCGTCCGTCAGGCGGTAGCGCGCAGACCTTCCCCGCCGGCCCTTAGATTCCCATCCGTCGCTTTCCCATCGCATTCGCAGCAGAATCCATACCCTCTCGTTTTTACCCTTTCGCATTTCAGAAGCCACCCAACTTTCGTGTTGTCTGCCCGCAGTCACCCCATTGCATCTCGCATTGCTCGCAACACTCGTTCGTTCGCCTCGTCCAGGCAAGTCATCGGCTTCGTGATCCTGTTGCATCCGCTACGACTCTCCCTTCTCCGGCGTCGTGACCCCGGACACAGGCTCGGAGCTCACGCTGTCCGCTAGCTTGAGCGCCTGCAGCCTCTCCTCCTCGAGCCTCTTCGCCAACTCCATCGCCTCCGCCTTGATCTTCAGATTGACCTCTCTCGTCTTGTCCGCCGCCTCCTGGTTGTCCTTCCTGCGCTGCATCTTCTGCGCGCCCCGACCCTGCGCCCAACGCGCGTTGATCACGTCGGGCGTCTCGCCGCGCTTGCGTTCGAGGACGGGCGTGTAGGAGGTCGTGCGGGCGACTTTGCCTGCGCCGACGGGAGTAAAGAGGGTTTGTTCGGCGCGAAGGGAGAGGGGGCGGCGGGGAGGAGAGGCGGGGCGAAGGCGGGAAGGGGGCGCGTCGCTGCTGGATTCGGGCATGGGCGAGGCAGGGCGAGATGGAGGAGCAATGGGCGGAGCATGGAAGGCGAATGAGGCGAGATGGTGCTTGAGCACGATAGCCTTGAGCCGATACTCGGTGTACGTCTCGTTCATCTCGAGGAAGAGCTTGCGGAAATTGTCAGCCTGGTCAACAGGCTGCTTCTCCCGCCCGTTGTGGTCGAGATACGACGTCGTCGACTCGTTGACGTCGCCTGGTCGAGGAGCGTTATCGGTACGCCAGTCGAATTCGGTCGAGTTGAAACCGCATTGCCAGAGGATGAGGGGGAGGTCCTCCGCCATCTGGTACGACGGCTTCTGGTCGAGAATAGCGTGGTCGGGCTCGCCGGGACTAGGGGAATTCTGCGAGACGGTATGAGGCGTTCGGTCGGAGGTCCAGAGGAGCTTGTCGATAAGGGAGGGGTGTTCGAGGCGGGCGCCGACCAGGAAGAGGATGGCGACGATGTGTCGAACCTGGTTGTAGAGCTGCGTGAATCCGAGTCAGTGACGAACATCGAAAGGAGCGCGAGTTGAGCGCAGTTCCGACTCACAAAAGCCCCGCCTCGCAAGTTTAGCACAAACATGTCGCCCCCCTCTCCCTCGAGCGGATCGATACTCGCACTGTTGACCGTCCGGATATGCAGCTTGAGCTGTTTCGGCGGGTCGATTTTGCACAAGTTGCGAAAGTCGTGTTCGCCGACGAGCCGCTTGACGGCGTCTCGCATCAAGTCGACGTCGAGCTGCAGACCATTCCAGTCGACTCTTCGGAGGCGTTCCTGCCATTCCGCCGCATGTTCAGGCAGCGCGCCCGCCGCTTTGTACGCAGCGCCAAAGTCGAAGCGAGAGGCGAGGAGAGAGGAGATTGGCGAGGTCGAGAAGAAGTACTTGTAGTGCCGCCAGATGCATGAGTAGCGGGAGGAAAAGGTAGCCGAGACGGGGGACCAGGCGTGCATGCGGATAGAAGGAGGGAGGTGCTTGTTGAGGAGGGTAACGTAGGGGATCTCGACGTCCGACGGGGCTTTTCGCTTGCCCGCGCCATAGACCGAGTCGGAAGAGGAAGACGAGGCGGAGCTGGAAGAGCGAGGGCGTGACGGTGACCCTGACCGCGCGAATCTCCGTCCTTCAGGCGACTCCGGGTCGATTTCCCTCCCGTTCAGCTTCATCGGATCCTCCAAGTCGCTCCGCACCCACAAGTTGATGACCTGCGCCGACGAGCTGACACCGGCGTCGGTCCTGCCACACCGCTCAAAGCCGCAGCCGAACCCTTCGCTCTCCGTGATGGGCTCAATCAGGCGAGCCTTCTCGAGGGCGTCGAGGATGCAGCCTTCGACGGTCGGCAGAGGGGTGTAGACGCCCTTGGGCTGATATGCGAGGCCGGAATGAGCCCATCCTTCGTAGCTATTGACCAAGAATTGGGAAGGTCAGCCTGGAAGGAGCGAGTCGAGGGAAGCGGACTGACGAGAAGAGGAGGGCGATGTGCCGCTTTGGCGCGTTGGCGAGGGAAGGTGGGAGCGGTCCCGTCGCAGCCTGCGCCTTCCTCGCCCGCTTGCCCGTCAGCGGTGCAGGCGGTTTCGGCGAGTTGGCTTTCGAAGTCGAGGCGAGTCCATTCGCGGGAGTCGGCGTTTCGCTCGGGCTGGACGGCGGGTCTCCGTTATCGAGTTTGGCGAGTCTGTGCTGCAAGTTCTGGATCTGCTGGACGAGGAGCGCGCGTTCCGAGTTGTGTGGAAGCGGCATCGAGGCGGGGCGGAATGGGCGGACGAGGCAGCGCGCGATCCGGTCGGTGAAGCGTGCCAGCGTGCTCGTACGAGTGCAGCAGTGCACTTATCACCAGTCCCAGCGCAACCAGTCGAGCTTGTCGCTGTTCAACCTTCGTTCCCTGAGCTCGACTTCATCTTGATCAGCCACAACTCAGCTTGCTCTCTTTGCCCTCTCGCTAGAGCACTCGAGACTAGGCTTGCACGCTAACACACTCTGCCAGATCGCACCATGGCACCCTCTCTCTGGCGCAGGCCGGGCACAAAGACCTTTCAGCTCGTTCACCGCTCCCAGCGCGACCCGCTCATTAACGACCCCTCGGCATCCGACCGCGTGCTCAAGCTCGTAGACAGGTCCCAAAAGGTGTGTTCGTGCTCTCAACGGGGCGAGCAGGTCCAGGGAAAGGTTGCTGACCCATTGGCACCGCCTCCCGCAGAAGCACCGCGGCGATGGAGCCACTTCGTACGCCGCTTCCGAGTTTGCCGGTGTCGAGGACGACGAGGAGGATGCCAAGCTTGCGGCTGGGGATGCCGCAGCTTACGGTATCTTCTACGACGACGCCGACGAATACGACTACCTCCAGCACTTGCGAAGCGTTGGCGGCGGTGGCGAGAGCTACCTGATCGAGGCGCCCTCTCAACAGGACTCGAAGCACAAGGGCAAGGGGAAGGCGAAAGAGCTGGGCGGATTCGAGCTGTCGGAGGAGGCGCTTCGGAGGCAGGACGCCCAGCAGAGCGGCGCGCCTGCACCCTTCGAGATGCCCGAGGACGTCTTGCCGTCCCACCCGCTCGACGAGGTCTCGTACGACAAGATCATGGCGTCCAAGGCCCCCGAGCGCGGGCTGATGCCCGACCTCGACCCGAGCATTCGTGAGGTTCTCGAGGCGCTCGACGATGAGGCGTATGCTGCCGACGACGGGGCGGGGACGGACGACGAGGACGAGTTCTGGAACGGCGTGCTCGAGGGTGGAGAGGTGCAGGACAAGAGCGAGCAGGTTTGGGAGGATGACGAGGCGGAAGGGGTCGCCGAGGGCGTCGAGAAGCTCGCGCTGGATGGGGAGGAGGGAGCGGGAGGCGCAGACGACCAGTGGGCGGCGCTCAAGCGGTTCAAGGCGGCGGGCGGAGCGGGCGCCGCCGCGTCGGACGACGAGGACGACGAGGACTACGGTTCGGAGGGCGGCGACACCATCGCCGACTTGCGCGCGACGCTCGCCACGGCGAAGCGACCATCTCGCAAGAGCGGAATGAGCGCCGCGGGCTCGGCGTTCTCCATGTCCAGCTCGGCCATGTTCCGCAACGAGCAGCTGCGAACGCTCGACGACCGCTTCGACCAGGTCCGTCTTCTCTGACTGCCGTGTTTCTCCCTCGGACTGACCCATTCTGTTTTGCAGATCGAGAAGCTGTACGATGAGGAGTCGGACGACTCGTGGGGCGAAGGCTCAGACGACGACGAAGGACCCGACCCCTCCATCCTCCCTCAAGGTGCCGCCCGCGACGACCTCGAGCGCATCATGGACGACTTCCTGGCGAAGTACGAAGTCATCGGCGGCAAGTACCGACCGGCGCTTGAGCCTCTCGCGGGCGGCGGCGCAGGAGACGACTCGATCGCTGCGAACACCTCGCGGTTGGACCGATTGCGGGCGGAGTTGGCGAAGCTGGATTTGGGTGAGGAGGAAGAGGGAGAGGATCCCGAGGTGACGGCGCGGCGACGAGAGAAAGAGCGGATTTTGGCGATTGTTGAGCGGCAGCAGCTGGAGGAGTCGAGCAGGAAGAAGAAGGACCGGCTGCCGATGGTCACCATCATTGAAGACCAGCAGAAGGAGCGATGGGACTGCGAGACGGTGCTCAGTGCGTTCGGGAATCTGTCTTGCGGCGGAGGAAGCAACGTTGACCATCTCTTTCTTCGCAGGCACCTACTCGAACCTCTCGAACCACCCTCGCATGCTCCGCCTTCGCGACTCACGGGGTCCCCAGCCTGCACAGATCAAGATTGACCCGAAGACTGGATTCCCTACGGTCAACGGCGAGACTGTCTTTGACGGTCGACCAAGCGCGAAGAAGGACGGAGACACGATCATGGAGGAGGACGAGCCGGAAGAGGACGAGGAAGAGGAGGAGGAGTATGGTGCGTTCCGCGTGCTCGCTCGTTCTTACCGCAGTCGCTGATCCGATGAACACTCGCAGTCATCCGCGAGACTGTCAAGCGACCACGAGCCGAGACCGCCGACGACAAGAAGGCTCGCAAGGCAGCAGTGAAGGCGGAGCGAGCAGCACGGCGGCAGGAGAAGAAGGGTACGAAGGAGGCGTTCGAGAGCGAGACGAAGCGGCAGAAGCGGATTCAGGGGCGGAGGGTCGCGGAGGGAGGTGCGGCGGACATCCGGTCCGGACAAGTTGGTGTGCGCAGGCTTGCTTAGATCAGTGTCGAGTTGTTCTGGAACTCGGATCTTTGCGAGGTCGTCCCAATACTTGCTTCGACTCACTGGCTGGGAGAGGACTGGCAATGCACGACTGCTTACTGCTTCTTGACCTCGAACACAAACAGACTGAACGCGGTGTACCTGCGGATTTGCGATCGTCAGCAATCCGTTCCTTTAGAGGGTACAGCGAGACGCACAGGAGGCCGACCGGGTATGCCACGAGGAACCGCTGATGCGAGAGATGCAGGACAGATGCGAAGATGGAGGATGCCGAGTAGGAGCACCAGATGACGATCAGAGAGGAGATGATGTAGCCGAGCATGCCGCTGCAAACGAGGAAAGCGGTGAGCTTCCTGGTCTTCGAATGTGGGTGGGATGCGCACAACGTACTCAAGGCTCAGGACGACCGAAAGCATGCTGAGAAGGACGAGCGGGAGGATGCAGTAGCCGAGGACCGATGCGGTGCGGTATGCGTCGATGCCGCTCTCCGACATGAGATTGAGAAGGGCGTACATCGAGACGGACCCGATCAGGGCGACGCCGTAGATGTACGAGAACTGCGGCTTGCCGGACTGCGCGAATGCAGCAGGATCAGCGTCACGGTACGCGCACAAGGGGAGAGGAGAACTCACAAGGAGGAGGAAGGAGGCAAAGACGAAGCAGAAGACGAGCGGTCCTGCGAGGTCGGCGTCGTCCATGATGTGAGGGTCGACTGATCGCAAAGGGTTGAGCACAGTCAGGGATTTCTGGAGGATGTGGTCGAAATTGATCCCGAGTTCTGGAGGAGCAACGGATCAGTGAGCAGGACGCGATCAGTGGGAACGGACACGAGCCCACCTTCAAGCAGCGGCGGCTCTCCCTCCATCCCCGTCCAAGGCGTGAACGCATTCCACCAGTTCTGCACGACAATCTGCCCGCCGAACGCAGCACCACCCGCCGCACCGCCCGCTCCTCCAACCCCTCCGCCAATCGCGCCTGAGACGTCTGGTCGTGTGTCCGGGTCGAGCGACGGTCGGTTCGAGTAGAAGGATGGCTGCCCGCCCGAGTAAAATGCGAGGTTCGGGTCGAGTGATGAGCTGGAGGAGGGTTGAGGTTGGCCGTACTGGGACGAGTAGTAGCTCATCGTGGGCGGCAGGAGACAGCTCGTAAGGCGTGTTGGTAGCTAGTAGTGTGCAGCAGATGGTGCCTGGGGCCGTCTGATGCCCGGAAGTCGAAGCGAGCGAGATGACGGAGCGAGAGAGATTGTTGAAGGTCTTCGTCGGTACAGTACTCGAGCTCTGCGCCGTTCTCTGTTGTACAGCGATTTGCAAGACAGTTGATTGAGCAGAGCACTGCGGTTGGAACAGTGTGCGGCGACGCAGGAGAGCCGAGAAAAGGAGACCAAATGCATAAGTGGACAACAAAGCGAGTGTACGGAGGGAGAGATGCCAAGATGCTGGAGGAGTATGCAAGAGAGAGAGAGAAGGAAGGGATGGGAGGAGTCGGCGAGGAAAGGAGCGAGAGAGGGCGGACGGCGGAAGCCGTTCCGTTCACTTCTCTGCCTCGCGCTTCTCCCAGAACATCTCGCCGGAGACGTGGAACATGCGACCGCGGCAAAGACGCTTACCGCCTGCGGACGAGCGCGAGGGAGGACAGGTGTCAACGCGACTAAACGAGGAGAGGCGAGCGAGCGAACGTACAGTAGCAGCGATGAGCTGCGGGCGCCTCTGCGCGTTGCTTGTTGGCCGCGATGACCCACTCGGCGTCCGTCATGCCGTACTCTTGCGGATTGGGCTCGCTCTCGCCGAAGTACGATATGTTGATCTCCTCGCCGGGCTATTGGGAGCAAAGGTCAGCGTGGGCGAGCAAGGAGCGGAGACAACTGACGCACGAGGATGTGCTTGCTCGCGAAGTAGACCCAGAGTGGCCGCGTGACATCACCCTCATCGACGTAGACCGGACGCGGCACGACGTTGAAACCCTCGCAGACGTGGTTGGCGAAGCGGGTCCACTGGGCAGGCCCGACGATTAGCCGACTGTCCATCACGACTTCAGCGCAGAATACGCACGTTGCCGTAGTTATACGCGTCTATCGAGTAGAAGGACGAGAACCCCTCGATGTCGAAGGGCAAGTTGGCGCTCACAGGCAGGTCGTCAGCGCTCTTCCCCTTGACCTTGGTCTTGCCCGGAGAGGTGATCTTGTGTGAAGCTTCGGGTGCGGCGATAGCGAGCTTCTTGGTGATGGCAGCAGGCGCGTGAGCCTTGATCTCCTCGCCGACTGCGTATCGAGGGAATCAGCCAACGAGGACAAGCGGGGACCGCTGTGGACAGCGGGACGCACTGGTCCAATGGTCGAGGTCATAGATATAGTTCCGCTCGATGTAGGAATACACGAGACTGTAACAAGCGCGGCTTTCGTCAACGGGGGGTCGTCGGCGACAAGGGAGAAATGACCGACTCGTCTCGAGCGTATGCTTCGGGCGACCGCATCAGCTCGCCTATGCGTACAATCGGTAAGCGGTATATCAGGTCGAAGGGAGGGAAGAAGTGGCGGACCGGCGTAGACAGCGAGAGGCGCACCCCGCTTGACCCTTGAGCTGAGGTGGCTCCCGTTGACGAGATCGCCCTCGTAGTCCTTCGAGAGACGAACGCCTGCGTGCAACAGATCATAAGCTAGTTGCCGAGTCGGCAAGAGCGTTCGACGCACCCCAACCAGCGATCCCCGTCCAGAAGATGTCGACGCTTATACCCTTGCGTTGACCGACAACCTGCGTACCGATTTAGGTCAGCCTACATTACGGGTCACAGCGAGGAAGCTGACGGACTCGGTTGATGCACTCAGGTCCGCAGCCGCATTGCGAGTTGCACTCGCTGTGAGACGTGCGCGCGTTAGCGAGGAACCCCGAAGAAAGCGGACGAGGTCTGTGAGCGCACATAATGGGATCTTGCAAGCTCAAGACATCGTCGAAGAGGCACGAATCGCGGTCGTACGCGAAGTCTTGCCGGTCCGAACGTTTACTCCCGCCGACCCTCGTTTTCGACGCCGCGATCTGCCGGTGCAGGCAGCTGCAAGACTTGCGATTCTCCGACTCTCCGCAGCTACCGGTGCAGCCGCAACCGGGCGCTTGGACGGGGACGATATCGGCATCGTAGACGATTCTAAGGGTGAGGAGGAAAGGGTGAGCCAGACAGCGGGCGCCAAAGGACGTGTTACAATACGCACCGGTTCGTGTAGACGAACTCGAAAGGCGGGCTGGACCATGCTTCGGGCGGCGCGTCGGCAGGCCCGCAAACGCGGATCTTCGGACGAGCGCCCGGCGCCGTCGGCGGATATTCCTTGCTGTTGGCCTCGAGGATCATCTGCTCAAACATCTCCTTGTACTGGACGCGGACTGGAAGCTCGTCAGGATGCAGTTCGGCGAAGCGTCTCTCCCGGCGGTTGACGGCGTCCTGAATGTCGGTGCTGAACTCGTCGAGACGGTCGTAAGACGGTCCTGCGATGACGCGGTTCCACGGTTGCTCAAATTGTTGTCGACGAACGAACTGGATAGCGAAAGAAGCGATGAATGACGGACGCTCGGCTCGAGACGATCACACGGGAACGCACCTCCTCGGCTCGCATTTGCATATCCGCTCGACTGGTAGCTTGCAGCATCTCGTTGGTCTGTTTACCGGCGTCGTCTCCGGCAATGGCGATAGGCCCCAGGACTTGCGCGACGGAAGATGCCGCCGTAGTTTCCGCCCGTTGGCGAGGCGTCTTGCGAGCCTTCTGAGCGCTTTTCCCGTTCGCGGCATCTGCTGCTGCGGCCGCAGCCCGTCGAGGTCGCTTCGACCGGTTCGCTGCATCGGACGCATCAGACGGTGGCCCTTCGGCGACCCTTTTCGACGAGGACGGGGCAGGCGCCGGTTTCAGTGGTGCAGGAGTCGCTGGCTGTGGTCGCGTCAGGACAGCCGACTTTTTCGCAACTCCTGGTCGAGGCGCTGACTGAACGGGCCGAGCTTGCTCCTTGACAACCAACTGTGCTGGAGGTGCTGGCTGCGCCGGTGATGAACCGTCGGTGGGTTCGTCAACTTGCGCGGGCTTGTCCGTCGCTGAGGCAGGCAAGCCTTGCAAGTGATCCTCGTCGGCCTGCACTGGGGCTGGGATGGTCGACTGCGGCCGGCTAAGGGTTGTGGACTTGCGAGCGGTGAAGCCGCCTGACATGGCGCGGGCGACTTGATGCGACCGACGAGGCGCCTTGATAGAGGACCCACTATTTGCGTTCCCGACGAGCGAGACGTTCAAGCGGGGTGCGGCGGGCAGCTGGCCGAGCACTGGCGCGGAGGGTCCGGCGGCTTCCTCGTCCGAATCGGGAACGACGCGACTGTACTGACGCCGCAGAGGCACCCCGTCGCGCTTATCCTGCTCGTCCTCGTTGTCTTCCTCGTCAGCGAGGAGGCCAGCCTGGACCTCGAGCTGGTCGCCCACTTGTCCTGTTCCTGGGCTCGAACTGCCGGCGAAGCCGAGATTCCGCTCGTGACGCGGAACAGGGGTAGGCGACCGTGAGCTATCGGGCTCAGCGGCTCGTTGCGGTATAGGCGATCTTGAAGAGACGCTCCCGGCCAAACCTTGCGAAGCGGGTGCGGCGTTCCCGACGGCGGCGATAGCAGGCACTTCCGAGAGGATCTCGATGTCGGAGTCGTCGCCCGTGTCTTTCGCTCGTGCAGGCGCTCCTGCAACGCCAGCTTGAGACGCCGTTGCAGACTGCCGGTTTTCAAGATCGGGCCGACCGTTGAGAGGAAGCTGATCGTCATTCGCCTGGCGCGCATCGTTCCGAGCGGCGCCAGAAAGTGCTGGAGCCGCAGACGAGGAGGAAGCGGCGGGTTGCTGTCGAGGTGCTTGCCGAGGTGCGGAGTGATCCTCGGGAGGGCGGTTGAAGGCTGAACGCGGAGCTGGAAGGATCGGTTTCGGCTTGACAATCCGGCTCGTCGAAGGCGCAGCTGCGCTTGTGGGCGAGACACTCGAAGCGAGGTTGTTGGTTGTCAAAGGGGGCGAGCGTCCGTTAAGAGCCGCTCCGTTCGGCGACGACTGGCCAAGCGCTTTTCGCAATGCTGCAGGCATTCGATAATTCGGCGAAGCTGACGAACTAGGTGGTACTGCCGGAAACGCCGCGCTGGACGTCGACATGAATTTCCGCCGGTCGGATGCGGGAGGATTCTGCCTCGACGGTCCCGGTTGAGCTGGCGCATCAGCCCTCGAAGTCGAAGGTCCAGCGCGAGGCGTCGCGTCGGTCGCTTGTCTCGACACTGCGCCCGCTGACGCAGTCTGCTTCGAAGCGTCGGACCATCTTCGTGTCGGGTTTGACGAGTGTGCCGATGTCGAGCCGGGGTTCGGGCCAATGTCAGACGTTGTCGCTCGGCCTGCACCGTCCGGAGGTCGCGAAGCACGCTTCGCTGCGGTAGCGGCTGCGTCGGCGCCGTTTGTATGGATCGCGGGAGCGGCAGGGGCCGATTGACGAGGACGCTTCAGAAGGTGCGAAGGCCGGCGAGCCGATGCAGGACGGATCGCGAGTTCGTCCTCGCTCGAAGCAGCCTGTTGACGATCCGCCCGCTCAAGACGGGAAGACGAGCAATGTGCCGTCGCAACGTTGCCGTTCGCCAAGGGCGTAGCTGCCTGCTGTCGACGTCCGTTCGCGACCTGTCGGGGAGCGTCAGCACAATCTTTGTTGGGAAGGATAGGTTGAGAGCGTACCCGGTCTCGCCCTGCTGCTGTCGCCTCGCCTGCCGACTCGTCCGAAGTATCGCTCAGGGAGATAACATGCGTCGCCCGCTTCTTAAAGCCGTTGGAGACGTTGGCAGTCGCAACCGCACCACCTGTCTGGGGCTGCTCATTCGCACCGCCCGTAGACTGTCTGCGCCGCTGACCTTGCGCTTGAACGCTGCCGCTCCCTCCGACGTCCCTCCCTCGTTGACTCCCGCTCGGTCCCGCTCGAGGTTGGCTGTTCGACGGCGTTGCCCAAGCTCCGACTGTAGTAGGTTTTCGCGCAGTCGACGAGGACGGAGGAGCCGCTGATTTGGATCCGTTCGACGAAGAGGTGGGGAGGGTGCTCCGTGGCAGAACGACTTCGCCTGTGACCGGGTCACGGAACTCGAACTCTTCGTCCGAGCTGTCAGACGAGTCTGCCATCCCCGCCGAGCTCCCCTTGCCGACTGGCCGTCCGTTCAGCTTGTCGAGGCAGGGTTCGAGCGATGAAGAAGTTCGAGCGAGATTGGCGAGATGCGGATTGGCGGGACGGACTGATCCGGCGAGAGATCAAGCGCACAGATCTATCTCAGCAGCAAGCGAGCCAGCAGACGAGAGCAAGCGAAGTTGTATCGGGCTGACTTCCCGCAACCTGGCCGGGACGAAGAGAAGACAGCCAAAGGTGGGTGAAATGCAATGCTTGCGAGTGATATAGCAACAAGAGGATACGCTCGAGCGCCTTGCGACTTTCTACATAAGAACGGCGGAGTCTCCCTCCTCGTCCAGCTCGTTCTGGAGGTTGGCGATCTCGTCGAGGATGACCCGCAGCGACTTGCCGCCCTTCACGAGCCACTGGTCAATCGGGCCGTCTTCGCAGAGCGCCCTCTGCACATCGAGGTCGCTCGAGAGGCCTGTCAAAGCGATGATTTTGCAGCGGCGCCAGTGTCGTTCCGCTTCGAGCCGTCGGATCTCGTGCGAGGCCGCGATACCGTCAAGTCGAGGCATCTGGACGTCGGCGAGGAAGAGCGTGAAGGAGCCGTCGCCGGCGGCGAACAATTCGACGGCTTCCTGACCATCCTGGGCAGCGGCGAAAGGGATATTCTGGGTATGTGGTATCAGCGAGATGCTTGTTGCAAGAGGAACAGCGCGAATGCACCTTCCCGTTCAGCAACTTGACGAGGATGTTGCGGCCGATCGGGTTGTCCTCTGCGACGAGAACCTTGACCTGCCGCCCTCTACCCTGCTTGGCTGTGCTGGGCTGCATCTCGCCTACAGGCTGCAAGCCCGGCACAGGGGTAGACTCAAACGACAGACCGGCTGTCGCGCTCGACAGACTCAGCTTGGCGGCATCGCCGACGAGGTCTTCGGGACCCTCTTTCGCGCCGAGAGGCGGTGGCGGAGCAGAATCGGTAGGCAGAGGGTAGGGGAAAGTGGCGGCTGTAGCGGCAACTGCCGCGTCAAAGTCGACCGTGGCGAGCGCGGGCGTTGCTGGAAGTGGCGACAGCGACAGCGCAGTCCCGTCGAGCGGCAGCGAAAGGGAAGCGGCGCGTGACCGGGTCGTCGAGCGGGACGCAAGGAGACTCGAGGGACCATGTTGGAGGACGTGGCGAAGCTCGGCAGAGATATTGCGGGTGCGTAGTCGAGGAAGGGATGAGTCGGTAGGAGGCGAGTTCGGGGTAGGGACGAAATCGAGCGGAATGGTAATGCGCATCAAGGTGCCGACGCCGAGCTGCGAAGAGACGTCGAGCTTCCCGCCCATCCGCTTCAAGATTGTGTCGACGACTGCGAGGCGGACGAGGGTCAGCTGTGCGAGCCAACCTCCGAACATGGAGCGACGTACTGGATAATCCGAGTCCAGCGCCGGTGCTGTCAGGAGAATCGTCAGCACGGCGAGAGCACTGGACTGGAGACGCAGACGCACACGAAAGGGTCGGCCTGTCGGAAGGGCAGAAGGTACGAGGCGTTTCGCACGAAGTCGTCCGACATGCCGATACCGGTGTCGCGCACTTCAAGCAGAACGAGGCGATGTTCCGTCCGATCACCGTCGTCCGAAGCGGTCGAGGAAGGAGAGGGAACGGTGCCGAGGTCTTGCAGGACGATCCTGACTTCACCCTTCCGGGTGAACTTGAGAGCGTTCCCGACAATGTTGAAGAGCACGCTGCTCGGAGAAGTCGGGTCAGCGAGACGATGCGCCGCAGAGGCGTGCTGGACTCACCGCTTGAGGCCGCCCACGTCGACCAGGGCCCGCCAGCCACTGCTCCGCTCCTTCACTTCGAGCAGCAAGTCCACCTGACCCTTCTCAGCCGACTTCCCATCCGGCTCACCCTTTGCCAGATCCTCGCTCACGAGATCGACCCGCTGCTTCCTGACCCACGTACTCTTGGCCACGCCCTCGACCAAGGCCGCCAAGTCCGTCTGTACGAGTGCTGGCCGGTGCATCTCTGCAATGTCGCGCGGAGAGGCGACGGCTGCTGCGTGATCCAGCTTGGAGAAGTCGAGGACGTCGTTGAGGACGTCTGAGAGCGATTCGAGGCAGACGTCGGCAGCGTCGAGGAGAGGGGCGAGTTTGCGGAGCTCGAGCGGTGACGCGAACTGCTCGTGAGGGCCATCAGATGAGAAGCGTTCAAACGAAAGGGATGCAACGCACCTCGCGCATGAGCTCGAGCTGCGAGTTGCAGCCGTGCAGCGGGGTTCGCAACTCGTGGCTGACTTGCGAGACGAAGTGCAGCTTGGCTTTGTCCGCTTCGAGCGCTCGCTGCCGCAAGAGTGAGCCGACGACAATGGCGCCCACTGATGCGGCGAACTGGCGATCGGTCGGTTCCTGCGCATGTGCACGAGGTAAGGCGCATCCGGCATGAGGAGGAAAGCGGAGACACGCACAAAGGAGAACCACTTCTCGCCGCTCGTTACAATCAGGAGGATGACTGGGCTGCCGTCCGAGTCGAAGACGGGAACGACGAACGACGCGCCCGCGGACGCCCCAGGGATAACGCCCAGTCGAATAAACGCTTCGGCATCGATGCCGGACGCTTCGGGCGAATCAGTCGCTTCCTGAAAGTCCCGAAGTGTCAGACGAGGGAGCGGAAGTAAGCCAGAGGCTTGGAAACGCACCTCGTAGTAAGCCTCCAATGTCTCCTCCACCGCCTGCAACAACTTCTCCTCCATCTCGCGCGAGCCGAGCGCCTCGGTCCAGTTAACGTCGCCGTTATAGCCCATCAGCGCAACACTGCCTCTAGTCTGGCTCTTCGATCCCTCGGTCTGTCCGCCCATCTGCGGAGGCGGTTGAAGCGGGAGTGAGGTTGGCTGGCCGTCGACAGGGAGAGGCGGGCTAGAGGCCGGACTGGCAGGGACTGAGACGAAGTGTTGCTGGCCACTCCGCTCTTTCGGGTGGTGAAGAGGGCGAGGACTAGCTGAAGAAGGCCGGAAGGAGCGAAGGTCGAGGATGGCGGAGGATTCGGCATGCGTGAGCGTACGGAGTTGGCGCGCTGCGACGGCGAAAAGCGATTCGGCGGGAGAGTCGCTGGTGGAGTCGGCGGGAGTAGTTGAAGGAGATGCTGTTTCGGATGAACTGCTGGGGCGAGGTCGACTGCGCCGAGATACCCTATTGCCCTTCGAGGCGGCATCATGCGACGACGGGAGCGACGAGTCCGGCTGGCAAGGCAAGACGAGTGCCTCGCGCAAGAACCGCCCGACGAAAGCCGTCTGTTCCGCCTCGACCTCCCTCCTCCGCTGCTCAAACCCAAGCTGAAACTCGCGACTGATCATCTCTGCAAAGTCGGTCAAGACCTGGCGTTCTTCGGTCGAGAACGTCTCGGCTGCCCGAGGTGTTGGGTCGATGAGGCAGAGCGCGCCGGACGCGAGAGTCGGCGGTAGACCCTGGTCTCGCTTCGAAGACGAGACGGGGAGGTGTACGTTCGCCGCAGCGTAGAACGAGAGACCTCCGCCATTCTTGACATTGTAAGGGTTGCCTTTGAAGCGCCAGTCTTGGTCGGCGTCAGGGACGATGAAGACTGCATGCGGGTCGCGGTACGAGGCGAGCATAGCGTGGGTGCAGAAAGCTGGCGGGAGCTCGAGAGGACGAGGAGGAGAGTCGAAAGCGGGTTCTTCGGGTCCGAAGCCTCGCTCGGCGCCGAGAACCTGGTAGTCGTCGAAGGTCCTGCGAATCCTCGGTCGTCAGCACGAGTAGAACAACAACGTCAAAGTGTCACAGCTTGATACGCACAAGCTGATCACGACGGACGAGGTCTTGAAGTACGCCTTTGCCAGGCCGCAGATCCGGTCGATTGCTTTCCGCCGCGACGGTTGGTCGAGGCCGTACTTGTGCGCAAGTCGCAAACGCTCCTCCTCGTACGGGCCAGGCGGAGCAGGGAAGTGTCCCTTCTGGCGGTAGAACTCGAGCAGGGTTTCGGCGGTGACGGAGTTGAGGGAGGGGAGGGACGAGGTGGATGTGATTGAGGCGGTGGATGTGGCAGACGGTTGCTGGACAAGTGACGGTCGACGCGAGGATGTCGAGGCTACTCCGCCGCCGTCTAGGCTACCCCGTCCCTCGAGTATGGCGCGAATGGCGGGCGGAGGAGCGGGCGTCTCGTCGCTTGGTCCGGCTCGTCCAACGCGATACCTCGACAGCCACTCTGCGAACGATTCTTCCTCCGCTTCGCCAGCTGTGAAATCCTTGGCGACCCCATCGACGACCGCCGCCGATCCTTTCGCCTCTGTTCGCTGCGTCTGTGAGCCGTTCTGTACAGTCCCAACGGCGTTTCCTGCATCGTGCGGAGGTTGCACACCGTCCGAGGCATGCGCGGCGCCGTTCGCGGGCGTCGTAGGTCCTGCCGGTGCCGTCCTCGCGCCGTCAGACTCGTCTCGAGACGCCCTCCTCGACGCGGGAGCCGAGTACCGCTCGTCGGCCTGTGCACCAAGCGCGACCGAGACCTGCATGTCGTGTATGATGCAGGGAGCGTCGGTGTGCGGGCGCAGCGAGTCGTGCGATGCGGTGGGGGAGGAGGACGAGGAGGCAAGGGCGGACGAGGGTTCGGTGACGAAGCGATGAAGCTGAGACATCACGCATCACGTGCAGTGAATTTACCCAGTCTGAATCGAAAGAAGCGGAAAGTGACCAGGACGGGAGGACGAGCGCATCACACTGACACTGTCTGCTGTCGACGAGAGGGAGACACCACTGGATCGTGAACCGCCAGTAAAGCCGCCAGCACCGCCGTCCCCGCCCGCTCATTTGTTTGTCGCGCGTCTCAGGTCGCGACGCCTTCGTCCTCCGCCTCGCTCGCGTCCTCTCCTCACTCCCACACGTCGCTTCACTCGCTCAACAGGTCCGCACAGGATGCAGACTGTCCGATTGGTGCCAGGGAACGAGTCACCCGCCGCAACGAAGGCCCTCGACGCGCTCGCCCTCGCCGTCGCCAAGGGGAAGAGGACGGTCTTGCTCGTCGGCGCAGGGATCAGTACGAATGCTGGCATTCCCGTGCGTGCACTCCAGCGTCGCTACAAGGTCATAGCTGACGCGACCGCGCACTGCAGGACTTTCGCTCGTCTGGAACTGGCCTCTACTCGTCCGGGTCCTCCTCCTCGCCGTCACCTCTCCCTCCGACTACGCTGAAAGGCCCCGACCTCTTCTCCGCTTCCGTCTACTCTTCGCCTGACACGACGTCTGAACACCTTCGCTTCATCGCCCACTTCAAGCGGTCACTCGACGACATCGAGCAGAGGTGCTCCTCCTCCTCCTCCGCCGCGTCCACTTCCTCTCCGTCCGGCACGGCATCTACTCGCCCCGCAACCGCAACGCACGACTTCATGCGCCTCCTCAAGAAGCGCGGCAAACTCCAACGCGTCTACACGCAAAACATCGACGGGCTCGAAGGAGTCGGGACGGGGCTCGTCCCCGTCGCGCTCGAGGGTATCACGCCCTCCGCGTCTCTGCCCGAAGGGAAGGGTAAAGGGAAGCCCAAGATTGAGGGAGACTATGTCCAGCTGCATGGGAGCGTTCATGCGGTCCGGTGCACGAGTTGCGCGTTCGTGAGGAGGTGGACAGAGGAGGACGTCAAGGCTTTTGAGGCGGGACATGTCGGCGCTTGTCCCGAGTGCGAAGGGAAAGGTGCGTTCACCGCCGCCCTTCTTCCGCCTGACTTCGAAACTGACGGTCACACGCACCTCACCCAGCCGCCCTCCGTTCCGCCCGAGGCCAACGCACCCTAACCTCCCTTTCGCGCGCCTACCTCCGGCCCTCAATCGTGCTCTACTCCGAGCCTCCGCCCCTCTCCTCCTCACTCACGATCGGCTCGCTCTCCCTCTCCGACCTCTCTTCCTCCCCCGGTCCAGACGTGATGCTCGTAATGGGCACGTCTTTGCGCATTCCGGGGTTCAAGAAACTCGTGAAGGAGTTCTCGAAGAGTGTTGGGAGTAGAGGGGGTGTGAGGGTGTTGGTTAATCGGGAGGAGATTGGTGGGCGGAGCGAGTGGAAGGGCGTGTTTGATTACGAGAGTGCGCTCTTTCTCTCTAACCCGTCCAAGACTCGTCACTGACGGAAGGTGTGTACGTGTAGTCATAGCCGACACAGACTCGTTCGTCACGCGGCTCATCGAAGGTTGGAAGCGTCTCCGGCCGCACGACTGGACTGGTCGACAGACGACGCTGGGCGAAGTATTTGGTCCGGCTGCGAATGTGAAGAAGGGTGTTTTGACCGGTACGTCCCCTCTCGCCTTTCCCACCGCTCTGAGGGGGACTGACGGGGTTCGTGTGATGCGCAGAATCGGTCAAGAAACGCCAACCTCTTGCTCCTCTCGCACTCAACTCGCTCCCCACTCTCCCCTCCGCTCTTCCTACTATCCCTCCCTCCACCACCGCGCTCGTTCAGACGCCACGCAAACGCTCCCTCGGCACTTCCTCACTCCCAACTCCCTCTCCGACTCCGACAAAACGCCCTCGCACCTCTTCTCCTTCCAGCTCGACGTCTCAGCCGACGAAGAGTTTGTCAAGAACGCCATCGAGCAGCTCGCTCCCCCGCACGCCCTCCAGCTCGAAGCGTACGACTCGTACTTCCCTCCGCGCTGCCTCCGCCTCCTCCGCTCCGGGCCTTCAACTTGCTACGCCTCCTGCGTCGACAAGGAAGACGGAGTGCGTTTCTCAAGTCGCTGGGGAGGAAAGCGCGAAGGAGAGTCGGACGAGGGAGCTCGTCGATGCGAGCGAGTCAGAGGAGGAAGAATCAGAGGCGGAGATCTCGCTCATCTCGACTTCGCCCACGAAGAGGAGAAGAACCACAGCGGAGAGGTACGCGACGCCGCCTACTACGCCTTTACGGGCGAAGGTGGAGCGGAAGAAGGCGGTGATTATCTCGCCTGAGCTCTGAAGGGTTGTAGACATGTGAAACGCTTAGTGTAAGCTCGTGCTAGAGCGTGTTGATATTAAAGGCTGTTGCGTAACGTGGGTTCGAGCGCGAAGAGGGAAGGAGAGGTAGGAGAGTGAGGAACTGCGAAGGTCCCGCAAAAGGTTCCTTCCGCCTCGCTGCGCTGACGCACACCGACCTCGCACAAGACAGTATATACTGCACGTCAACAACACTCACAACCCAGCCCTATCTACACTCCCCCCCTGCCGCTCTCACCGCCCCAACTCGCCCCTCAACTTCCTCGAATCCTCCGCCTCCCCGCTCTCTCCCTCCTTCGCCTGCACCACCTCCTCCCACCCCCCCTTCCCCTCTTCGCGCTGCACCAACCCCTCAAACAACCTCTCCCGCCTCTCATCACCCTTGAACCGAGCCCACCACCCCGCAAACCCACCTTCCATTACTCGGACGTCGATATGAGCAGGGAGGGAAGGGGAGCGGGAGAGGAGTTGGGCGGCGTAGGGACCACGGGTTTGCGAGCGCATGCAGTGGAGGATTAGGAGGTGGAGGGAGGGGCGCGGGAGGATGTGTGTGCGGATTAGGCGGGTGCTGCACAGACGACATTAGTGGGAGGTGAGTGTGAGAGTTTCTGGAGCTTGGTCGGGACGAAAGAGACGGAGGAGAAGAGGAAACGCACAGGGACTGCTCGTCGCGGAACTCGCGAGTCGTGATGTTCACTGCGCCGGGCAAGTTCCCGCCAGGAAAGTCGGTCGAGCGGACGTCTGTGATCGCCACAATCCGCTCTTCAGCTCTGTCCTCCTCGTTCTAAGCGAGTAAAGAGGGGAGCGCGGAGGGACTGGGTGCGCACCGATGATGAGGAAGTCGTCTCTCTTCGGCTCGGCGAGTATGAGTTCCGCCACCTCGTCTGGCGAGATGTACTTGACTCGCTCGTTCCCTGAGTGCGTCCGTGGCATGCTTGAGTGCGAGTTGGTCGAGTGATGACGGGTGAGGAGCTGGTGGAGTGGGGAGAGGATGGATCGGAGTCGGGTCAAGGCGAGCGGTGCCAGTGTGGGCTGCAGAGTGTTGTTGTATGAATGGCACTGATTACAACTGAATACAAGCGTGTGTTGAGCGAGAGCGAGTGAAGGTGATGAGGATGCGAGGCGGTGCATCGAGCGAGCTTGCTCCCCTCGCTCGTCCTCATCCTCTCACTCTCACTCGCGCTTACTCTCGAGCTGTTCAAGCTCACTAACAAGGCTAACACGGTCCACAATGACCGACGAGCTCGTCCTCAACTTCTCCCCTCCCTCGGCCTCACCATCCTCAGCTCCCACTCGCTCAACCAGCTCAGGCGGACGCAAAGGCGGGCGATGGACCGACCGCGCAAAGGAGCGGAAGAGGAGTCAGATTGAGGCGCGGAAGGCGAGTCGCGGGACTGGGACGCGCGAGGGCGGGGGACTGGGACAGGGCGTGAAGCGGAGTAGAGAGGACGAGGGCGCAGACGATGCAGCGGGCGCAAAGAGGGAGCGTACGGCGGGAGGAGGAGGAGGAGGAGCACATGTATCACAGGGAGGGAAGCGCCGACTCGACATGGCTGTCGGACCGTCGGGCAAGAAGCAGTACATCTCGTCGCTCTTCACCGCCGAAGGACTCCCTACCGCCGCCGACTCTTCCACTTCCTCTTCCGCACCTATCCTCCCTTCCAAACCATCCAACGCGCCTCTCACGTCCGTACCCTCGACCGCAACGGACGCCTTGGAAAGCGGAGGCGAAGCAGAGGAGGGACCCGACCCAGCGCCGGAACTCTCGAAACTCGGATTGATGCGCGAACTCGTCACCGGACTCGCTGGGAAACTGGGCATTACCGGTCCGACAGCCTGTCAAGCCGGTGCGATCCCTCGACTCGTCCCTCCCTCCTCCGCCTTCGCATCGACGGGTAAGGGTAAAGGGCGCGCGTCGGGGGCGGATTTCGCGCATGATGCGATCCTCCGCGCGCAGACGGGGTCCGGAAAGACCCTTACGTTCCTCCTCCCGATGCTTCAGGACCTCCTCACCCTCCCTCCCTCCTCGCTTTCCACGCCTCCTCCCTCCTCCGCCAAGACCGGTCCTGACCGCTCAATCGGGACCCTTGCGCTCATCCTCGCTCCAACACGCGAACTCGCCTCCCAAATCCACACGGTCCTCTCCTCCCTCCTCTCCTCCCTCCCTTCCTCTTCCCCGAACCCCAACAAGCCCTTTACGATCTCCCCTCGCGCTCTCACCGCCGGCTTACTCGTAGGCGGCGCGAACCGCACGCACGAGAAGCGGCGCCTGCGAAAAGGGTGTCCGATCGTGGTTGCTACGCCAGGTCGGCTGCTCGACCACTTGAAGACGACCGAGGCGTTCCGGCTGGCGGGTGAGGCGCCTAAGCTGAAAGATGGCGCGCCGAAAGGAAGGCCGGGCAACCCTAATACTGTCGCTCTCGGGACCCGCGGAGGAGGATCAGGGGGCGAAGGGAAGGTTGGGTTGAGGTGGTTGATTGTGGACGAATGCGATCGGTTGATGGACCTCGGTTTCGAGGAACAGATGAAGGGGATCTTGGAGGAACTTGCGCGGCGCTCTTCCCCGTCGGCCCCGACGAATGGAGCGGCGGGCTCGTTGAGACGGAGGACGATCCTTTGTTCGGCGACTGCGAGCGAGGGAGTTGATCGGCTTGCTGGGATGGCTATCTCGGACCGGGCTGCGGACGAGGGCGGGAAGGGGATGGTTGTGGTTGGAGCGAGGGAGGACGTGAGGGTCAAGGAACCGGAGCGGAGGGACTTGACGCAGGGTGCGAAGAGGGGTGCGGAGGCAGTCGAGGACGAGGACCGCGCGGAGGACGACGAGGACGAGCGCGAGGAAGAGCAAGACGAGGACGCCAAGGCCGAATCAGCGGCCCTCGCCCTTCCCTCCGGCTTCACCCCGCCCTCGCAACTCCAACACAACTACATTGTGGTCCCGCCCAAGTTGCGGTTCGTCACCCTCGTCGCACTCCTACGCAAGTTGCTCGTCAAAGCTTCCTCGGCGAACGGCGGGCGGGGGATGAAGGTCCTGGTGTTCATGAGTTGTACGGACGCGGTGGACTTTTGGTGGAAGGCTCTGGGAAAGATGAAGATGGGTACTTCGTCGACGGACGATGCAGACGACGAGGAGGAAGAGGAAGAGGAGGACGAGAAGGCGGAGTCGGCTCGTCTCGTCTCGCTCCACCCTCTCCTTCCCAGCACGCCCATCTACCGCCTGCACGGCTCGCTCCCTCTCCAAACTCGTCTCTCGTCCCTCTCGGCCTTCTCGAGTCCGTACACCGTCGAGGACGGCAAGCGCAAGGGATCGCAGACGGACGCAGGGGTGTTGTTGTGCACGAGTGTCGCGGCGCGTGGGTTGGACGTCAAAAATGTTGGGTGTGTCGTGCAGGTTGATGCGCCGACCGAGGTGCGTCCCACAACCTCCCTTTCTCGCATCTAGCTGAGCTGACTTCGGGTCTGCAGGGCGGCGTGACGGAGTACGTCCACCGAGTGGGTCGGACAGCCCGCGCCGGCGCACAAGGCACAGCCTACTCGTTCATCCTCCCTTCCGAGTCGGCCTACACCTCCTTCCTCGAAGACGGGATCAACTCGTCTTCCGCTTCTGCGAAGGGCAAGAAGGTCCGGATGCGCGAGGTGGGCGTCGAGCAGGTGTTGAGGGAGGGGTATGGAGGGGAGGGGAGGGAGTACGAGACGAGGGCCACGGATGTGCAGATGGGCTTTGAGCGCTGGGTTAACGCGTCTGAAGAGGTGTGTCCGGGCGTTTCACCGTCTCCTCGATTGGTCGTCTTACTGACTCTCTTACCGCTCGCAGACCGCCTCGCTCGCTCGAAAAGCCTTCCAAGCGCACATCCGAGCCTACGCGACCCACCCCTCCTCCGAGAAGCACATCTTCAACACCAAAGCCCTGCACCTCGGCCACCTCGCCAAATCGTTCGGTATGCGCGAAGCACCCGGGTCGCACACCGGCTCGTCGAGCAAGAAGGGCGGGTCGAACAAGAAGGCGCGGGTGTCGGTTGGCGGTGCGAGGGCGAGGGCGAGGGACGACGAGGGCGGGTTCGAGGTTGGACCGAGGAAGAGGAAGGCGATGGATGCGGAGCAGAGGATGAAGAAGCTCATGCGTGGACCGCAGGCGCTGGGGGCGTCCGAGTTCCATATCGCCGGGAACGATGTGCTCGAGAGCGTGGTCAGGCGGAAGTAGGGCGTCCGGTCCTGTAGTTCGCCCTGCATGTTTAGCACAACTGAGCATTCTACTAGTGCTATCAGGGGCTCGGAGAGAGACTGCCGCCATGTCGACGTCTCGCTCGCTCGCAAATCGCTCTTCGCTCTTCCTCCTCCCGCTCACTCGCACCTCGCACACCGCTCGTGCAGGCTTGCGCGCTTGCTCAGACTGCTGCTACACCTGTATTGAGAGCTCGTAGAACCGCCACTAGCCTCGCGATCGCTTCCCTCGACAGTCGCCCGCTTCATCTCCTTCTGCTCGCCGGATCCGCCTACTCGGTGAGCACGCATCCAGACCGCTTGCTGAGTGTTGACCAGGCAAAATGACGCGTATCTTGAAGCCTGTCGCAGTCGCCTCCCTGTTGCGCCTCGCTCGTCTCGCGCTCGACCTTCACTTCTCCTCGAACCCCTCTGCGCTCGACACATTCACGATCGTACTTCCGTCCGCCATGTCGCCCAACTTCTCGGACTCTCAGCCGACTTTCACGCCTCGCGCTTGCCTCGACAGCCTGCCGACCGAAGTCAAGTCGCGCATCGCCGAGTTGTGCTGGCTTCAGGACGAGTGGTGGCGTGAGTACGACAAGCATATCCGGACGCAGTTCGCCAGCGCGGGTGCTCCTGAAGTGGCGAGATTTCGCCAACTGCACGAAGTGGAGGGCAAGCGGTATGGACGCAGCTTGATGTTGCTCGCGAGGACTTCTAGGGCTTGGGCGGAACTGACGGCGCCGTTGCGCTTTCGTGTGAGTCTCACCGGTCATTACCCGTCTTCCGACGGCCACTTACACACATCATAAGGGCAGGTTGTGAAGGTCTCGAAGGCGAATCGGCCGGTCTTCCGTCAGCTCATCGTGAGGCGACATGCTCAACACTGCCATGAGTTGCACTTCGACGAGGTCGATGTCGAAAAATTCGTCGTGTTCCTCGCCTTCCTACCAGCATTCATCGCCGTCAAGAAGCTCGTCATCGACAATAAGCTGAGCGCCGAGTTCTGCGGTAAGGTGCTCGAGCCGTGGTGTCACTATCTCGACGACGCCGCGGTGCTTTCTCGCTCGGACATCGCCCACCTCATCAAGCGCGTCGAGTCATTGACGTACAGCGTGCCATGGCACAGGTTGCCCCCGACGTTGAAGGCCGCAGAGACCCTCACCTCCTTCTCCTTCCGCATCGAGGACGCCACGAATGCTGTGACCACCCTTACGACCATTCTCTCGGCTGCACCTGGTCTCCATTCTCTCTCTGTCGACGCCACCGACTGCCAAGTCGATTTCAGCGGTCTTCCCTCGTCATCACGATCCACCTGGCCTACCTTGACATCCCTCGCCTTGAAAGCCGAACGCATAGATCCCTCGTTCAGCGCTTTCCTCTCACACCATCAAGCCTCCCTCCGTCATTTGCGCCTCGAATGGACCGAAGGACCGTCCGAGTCCGACGATGGCACCTTCGCCTTTCTTCCTCCCGCAACGTTCCCTGCACTCGACACGCTCGACATCATCGAATGCGGCATCTCGCCTCTCGTCCCTCTCCTGACCTCCATCAAGCCTGCGAGTCTACCAAACCTGCGGAACCTCACCGTTGTCCCTGCCTTCGGCGAAGATGACGAGTTTGGCTTCGGCGACAGCGGGATGGACGTTTGCCTCGATTCGATCGCCCTTCAATACCAGCCGCGACTGTTGTTCGTGCGATACTACGAGTCGGAACGTTGCCTGTGGCCGCATTGCGCGTTCGTCGCCAGCAATATCCCTTCCGATCACAACATCCGCCTCGATATGACTCCCGTTTCACCGTACCCCCGACCTGTCTTTTACGTCCCGGATGATTCTGCCGAACTCGAGGACCTCGACTTGTTCGAGCGGTCGATCTCGAACACCATGGACTTCCTCGTCTCGTGGCATGCGCGCGTCAAGCAGTCGAAGGACACGTACCAATACGGTCATCTGGCATCCGCTCTCAAATTGATTGAGCTTGAGCGAGTGGCGCAGACGGCTTAAGGTGCGTTGACCTGTCATCGGCATCTCTCCAGCCTGGCTGATTCCGTTGCTCTCCCCAGACCCAGTCGCTGCGGGTACGGTCGTCTTCCTCGTGAGTCCAGAAAACGACATCGTGACAGAATAGCGCTGACTTGCCTGAAGCGGCCTCGACGTAGGTATGCAACCCTACCTCTTCCTTATCTCCCGCTCCGCCGCCAACTTTCTCCAGCAAGTCGACCCTCTTTCAGCCCAAGTTACAGATGAATGCTACAGATTGCGTCACCTGCGGCGCGCTGGCTCTTGCCGAAGACTTTCGTCAGGAAGGGCGAGGAGAGCAGAGGAGCGACTTGCTTTACAACGCTCGCGCGGCCGGCGAAGCCAGTTGCTGTAGCTGTTGCTTGCGAGAGCTACGTGCAAGATAACTACGCCTCCACGCTAGCCTGACAGCCGCCAGCAGCTTTCGCTTGCTCGCCTCTCCTTCGCGCGAAACGCTCTCGCTCCTCCCGTTCACTCGCACCTCGCACACCGCTCGTGCAGGCTTGCGCGCTTGCTCAGACTGCTGCTACACCTGTTTTGAGAGCTCGTAGAACCGCCACTAGCTTCGCGATCGCTTCCCTCGACGCTCGCCCGCTTCATCTCCTTCTGCTCGCCGGATCCGCCCACTCGGTGAGCACGCCCCAGAGCGGTTCAGTGAGTACGCAGGATGCATACTGACGGTTACATCGTGCCCTGTCGCAGACATCTCCCCCTCGCGCCTCCTCTTCCCGCCCGCGACCGTTCCCTCCCCTCGAACCCTCTCTTCGTCTCCCCCTCTCAGCCCGCTCCTTCGTCCGTCATGTCGCCCGACTCCCCGGACTCTCAGCCGATTCTCACGCCTCGCGTCTGCCTCAACAGCCTTCCGAACGAAGTCAAGTCGCGCATCGCCGAGTTGTGCTGGCTTCAGGACGAGTGGTGGCGTGAGTACTCCGCGTACGTGGAAAAGCAACTTGATGGGACAGGTTATACCGAGCTGGAGCGGTTCGCTCGCGAAACGCGTGAAGAAGGAGACCGGTTTGGGGCTAGCCTGGGATCGCTCGCGCTCGTCTCGCAGGCTTGGGCTGAACTGACAGCTCCGTTCCGCTTCCTAGTGCGTCTGAACTTGTGCCTGTCATGAACAACCTCGTTGATCGTCTTCCCTGCAGGTTGTCAGAGTCGCCAAGTCGAACCGGCCGATCTTTCGCCAACGCATCGCCTGGCGGCACCTCCATCACGTGCGCGAGCTACACCTCGACGACTCCGACATGGCCAACTTTCACCAATTCCTCGGCTATCTTCCTGCCTTCCCCAATGTGAAGAAAGTGGTCATCAAGAACCCAACGATCGCCGAGTTTTGTCGACGCAGTCTCTTCCCGTCGCACTGGGGACTTGCCGACGAAGAATTGCTCGCCCGCATCGACCTGAGGCATTTGTTCGAGCGGATTGAATCGCTTGCGTACACGATCGAGCCAAAACATCCCACGCACGTCCTCAGCGCTACGGCTCTGAACCTCACCTCCTTCGCGTTGCGCTTCGCGGACGCCACGAATGGGACGGCTATCCTATCTACCGTCCTCAGTACCGCGCCACATCTCAGTTGTCTGGCCATCGACGCTCACGGTCTCGACTTGGACTTCGCTGCGCTCCGCCCAGCAGCAGGAACTAGCTGGCCGACTTTGACGTCCTTGTCTCTTGAGGCCGAGCGGTTCAACCCATCTCTCGAGGCGTTCATTTTGCATCTGACAGCGTCTCTGCGCCATCTCCGCCTCGAATGGACCGAAGAACCGGCGGGATCGGACGACACAAACTTCGCCTTTCCGGTCTCTCCCGCTTTTCCTGCATTGCGGGTTCTCGAACTCGTCGAATGCGGGACATTGCCTTTACTGCCGATCATCGGATCGGTCAAGCCGAGCAGCCTACCGTCGCTGGGCGAGCTTACGGTCGTACCGCATTTCGACGACGAAGAAGACGCCGGATTTGCCCATAGCGGAATCAGCACAGCCCTATGCGCCTTACTTAAGCGCTTTGGCTCACAGGGGCCAACTCTGCGATACTATCAGTCCCGCGAACCGCTGTCGCCGTGGTGCATGGTGACCGCCCGAGACGACTTTCGCGAGTACGACGACCGTCTCACCATGCGCCCGACCACTCCGTTCCCGCATTTTGCCTACTACTGGCCACAATACACCCGGGATTGCAATGATTGCACCCTTTTTGGGGAGCCCATTGCCAAGACCATGGACTTTCTCGCGTCGTGGGTGCAGCGCGTCGAATCATGCGACTCGCCGGAGGAGTACGCCCACCTTGCCTCTGCACTGAGGTTTGTCGAGCTCGAGCGAGTTGCGCAAACATCGTAGGTAGGCGGATGTAAGTCGGGACACTTCCGTTCTGCCCATCGCTCCTTCTAAACAGCCAGATTCCCCGCAGACTCGTAACGCTTCTTCTGTCCTAAGTCTACACCGTCTTCTCGCGCTCTCTCGAGCATCGCCACTTGACACCGTCCACGACTCTTCGACCCTTCGGCCCTCTTTCCGTCCTCCTTCCGCTTGTCCGCCCTCCATCGCCTGCGTACTTTCGCCCTCCTGCCCGCATACATGCACGTGGTATCGAACATGATCGAGGACCTTGGGCGGCGAGGGACCTCTCGTGCGAGAAGCTTTCGCGGGAGGAAGTCGGACTCGCAGTCTTTCGTGGCAGCACGCTTAATGTTGGCTTCTTCGGGAAAGGACGGCACTACAGCGTCACTCTGCCACGACTCGCTGCTCTCGTAACCGAAAAGACTCACTCGCAAGCGAAAGTCGCCCGCCTTGTCCTCGACGAAGGCCTCTCACTCCTCCTTCTGCTTCACACTCTCGCACCCAGCTGAAGGGTCGGCGCTTGGTCTTCAGCTGCTTATCTACCTTGTCCCAGCGCACCATCCGAGCTTTCACCTATTCCCATCCTCCGTTCTCCCTCCCCCTCCACCTCGGCAGACCTCCGACCTACCCGCCTCAGGCGACTCTCGTGAACACCAGACAGCTCGCTGGGAGACGTCATAGCGAGTGTATTTGACCATGCGGCAGTGGACGACCCTCCTGGCGCTCGCCACCTCCGCCCTGCTTTCATCAGCTGCCCCGATCTCGACTGTGGGAGACTCGCTCACGGAGGAGACGTGGGACACGAACGTCGGCAAGGGCACTTGGTGAGCCCCATTCAGTCTGTCCGGCGCGCAGAGCGCATCTCGATGCCGGCAGACGCGGTCCTGGACCGCTCGCGCCTCCTTCTCGGAAGACCAAACGGAAGCTGACCTGCTTTCTGTCCGTTCATAGGCTCGTTGAGCATTACTCGTGCGTTTTCAAGCGCTGGCGATTCTTCAGGATGATGAAGCTGACCTCGCCGTCCCCCTTGCAGCCCCTACTGCTCGCACTGCAAGGCATTCGCGCCGAAATGGCAGGAGCGTGCGTCTCAGTAGCGCGCTGACCTGTATGCGACGTGCCCACTGACCTTGAGCTGCACTTGCAGTCGTCGACACCTTCGGAGACGCCGCCGCCTCGCACGACTTCCACTTCGCCCAAGTCGACTGCGCCGCTAACGGCGACCTCTGCCACTCGCACGACGTCAAGTATTACCCGTCGATCTACCTGTACGAAGGCGGAACGTTCAAGCAGGAATACGAGGGTCGGCGGACGCTGGAAGAGCTAGCCAAGTTCGTCGAGGAGCATTACCCGGTCAAGGCGGAGAAGCTGGCGAAAGAGAAGGAGGAGCAGGAGCAGAGTGCGAAAGAAGGAACGGTCGAGGAGAAGTGGGACAAGGAGGAGGCGGAACTCGATGCGCAGGTCGGAATGGGCGAGCGGAAGAAGCCTTTGTCGGGCGAGCGGCGAGTCGCGGGCGCAGGAAAGGCGCGTCTGCCGACTGAGGAAGAGGAACAGAAGGCTGGCGGTCGGCCACCTCTCCCCGTGATGCGGATTGCTGGCGATACAAAGGAGCAGGAGGAGGCCGAGGACTTGACGACGCAGGCTGAAGACCTCAAGCCTTTGCTCGAGGAGGCCGAGGCAGACGAGGCTGAGTACCGACCACCTCTGCTCGTCACCTCCGACGATCCCGCCGACGCCGTCCCGACCCCTACCACCTCGACCCAAACTCCGCCCGCCTCGACCACGACAGCCGCCAAGTTCTCTCCTCCCGCCTTCGTTGCTCAGCGTCCCGCCTCGCCCGAGTCCAAGCGGAGCTACGACTGGCCGGCGATCGACGGCACGGTTCTTACGCTCAAGGCGGACGAGGTCGGCTTCCTGAAGGAGCCTGACGCGCCGCCCGCTTTCGTCAAGTTCTACGCGCCGTGGTGCAGTCACTGCAAGCAGATTGCGCCGAGTACGTTGCCGTGTCGCGCGGGAGTCGGCAAATGGCCCAGAACTGACGATTGTACCGCGCAGAGTGGAAAGACCTCGCCGCCGCCGTCGCACCCTCAGGTATCCGCATCTACGAGATGGACTGCGACGCAAACGAGAACAAGAAGGCGTGCCGGAAGGAGGGCGTCAAGGCATACCCGACTCTGCAATTGTGCGTTCCGCAGGTTCAAGACCGTCTTGCCCTGCTCAGCTGACCTGCATACCCTCTCGCAGCTACAACAAAGGTGCTTCGGTCGAGTACATGGGCAAGCGTTCCGTCGACGCCTTCCGCGACTTTGCGCTCAAGGCGATGTCTGCGTGAGTTTCGGCTCGCTGCCTGGGAAGGCGAACAAGTCTGACGCTTCTCTTGCAGGACGAGCATCAAGCCTATCGCGAACGAGTACGAGCTGCGGCGTGCTGCGAAGGAGGACGAAGTTTTCGTGCTGTTCTTGCACGCCTCCGACACGAAGAAGGATGACATGGTGCGCTTGCTTGACCCGCCCGTCTTCGCTGTAGTTTGCTGATCCTTCCGTCTCCAGGACGTCGCGCTCGGTGCCGCCAAGTCACTCATGGGCACTTCGCCTGTCTACAGCTCGACATCGCCCGACCTCTTCTCCCTCTACTCCGTCCCGCACGACCAGCCGACCTTCATCTCCTTCAAGGACCACTCGACCGAACCCTACGACACCTTCTCGCTTCCTCTCTCGACTCCATCGCGCCCCCTACCCATCCGCAAGCGCCTCGACATGACGCGCTTCTGGCTTCGAGCGGCCAAACTTCCGACCGTCTCGGAGCTCAACGCCGCGACATTCAATGACCTCCTCCCAACCGATGGCAACCCACCGCTCGTCGCGCTCGCCGTTCTCAGCAAGAAAGGCCTCGGCGACGATTTTGACGCGACACTCCGGTCATTCGAGCGAGTCGCGAAAGGCTGGGCGGAACGTAGGCGGAGTTTGTCGGCGGAAAAGAAAGGGAGGGATGTCTTGTGGGCTTGGGTGGATGGGGACAAGTGGGCTGGATGGGTGAGGAGCATGTATGATGTCAAGATGGGTGCGAAGGATGGACCGAGGCTAGTCGTGACCGATCCCAAGGTGCGTCCGACAGTCATCCCGTTGCCCATGCTCTCCTTTGAGCCCTGTACTGACTTTGCAACCGTGGCTCATGCAGGCGCTCAACTACTGGTCGACTACGCTCGCCGGCGAGCCGCTCGGCGTCGATAGCTCGGCGGTGTACGAGCTGATCGAGCGCGGCATCTACACGGGTCGCGCCAAGGCAAACTCGTCTCGCCAGTTCCTCGAGCGCTTCGCTTTCGTGCGTTAGCTTCTTCCCTCTCACCCGAAAGCCTCGCTGATTCTGCGCCCCGCAGTCGACCGTCGACCGTTTCACCTCGTTCTACAACTGGTCGACTTCGCATCCTCTTCTCGCCCTCCTCGCCGTCGCCGCATCATTTGTCGTCATCTGGCAGCTGCTCAAGAAGGCGATCACGCCGCCGCCCGTCCCTTCGGTCCCAGGACCCGCGAGGGGATGGAGCGCGAACGGGCCGAAGAGGGAGTGAAGGCGGGACCTTCTGGGTCACCCTTTGCCCTCGCAGATACAGACACTGCATACTCAGCATGTAACCGTGATGCCTTTGGACCGTTCTCACCAGATTCTCACGGACTTCCTCGCGACGATCCCTTGCCGAGGTCTTTGCTCGTCTCCGGCTACCTCGTCTACGCTGCTGCAAGAGAAAGATTGTCAGGCGATCCCTTTTGTAAATAACGGGCTCGACAAGCCGGGTTTTTGGAGACGACCTTGGACTTTCCTGCTCGAGGACAGCTCTCGCGAGGTTGGCACGCCGCTGTCTCCGCCCACCGCTCTCGCTGGACTGGCTGCACATGCTGAACCGCTCTACAGACTGATCACACTCGCTTGATATCCTTACCAGCCCGCCAGAGCTCGCCGTCGACTGCCCATTCATCGTTGAACCTCCACACTCCCGACTCTCGCTTCCCACGGTCTCACACTCTCGCACACGCACGATACCAGCGGTCAATCCGTGTTGCAGGGCGCCGCAGAGCCCAGAGTGCGTACGATCATCTCACTCGTCCTTCTCGAGGCGTTGTTGCCGGCCCGCAACTCGCTCTGTCCGCGGAAGCTGATCTCGCTTTTCTCGCAGCCCGTCCATGGTGCCAGACGTTGCGCGGTCGCCCGAGCCAGTGCAGCGGGCGCCACGCTCGCCATTCAGCAAGTTCGGCGGGCGAAAGCACCACTCGTCTCGCTCCGTCTCCGACCCATTTGGCGGTCCTCCCCCTCCTTCCGCCGCCTTACAGGGCCGAAGCTCCTTCACGTCCTCTCCCGAGCTCCAACAAACGCCTCCACGACACGCGAAGAAGAGCTCGACCCTCCCCTCCATCCGGTCGCTCAAAACTCGCTTCCAGTCTCTAGGCTTTGGCAGTTTCGGCGGCGGAAGCGGCAGCAAGGGTCCAAAGATCCTGCGTGGCGAGGATGCGAAAGCGGCGGGGATCTCGGCGCCGCAGAGCGTGGTTGCGCGGACGGGCGGCGGACTGAAGGGCTTCTGCGGGCCAGCGGGATCTGGAATCGGGAGAAGCGTCTCGCATCCTGCCAAGTTGCAGGATGCTGGCAGGTCGTCCAAGGCGGAGGTTCCGACGCTCCCGCAACTGCGGTTCAGCGGCGATGAGGGCGAGTATGGCGGCATGCATTTCGACAGCGGGACGAAGCGCAGCGTCGACGAGGTCCTGTCGGCAGGCCTTGCGTCGCCGACTTCGCCTCGCTCCGTCCTCTCGCCGCACCAGCTCTCGCCTATCGCAGGAAGCGATGCGTCGCCCTCTATGCGTCTGCCAGCTCGAGAAGTGGCGAGTCCTCGCTCCGCCGGACGACCCATCTTCATCGCACCGAAGCGACGAAGTCCTACATCTCCCCTGCCGCCAGACTCAACTTCTCTCACCGTCCCGCTTCCGCACGACTCGCCCTCTCCTCGGACCTCCGTCTACTCGCCCGCCGAGTCGACCGTCATTCCCGCTCCCTTTTCTGCTCCCCTCGACTCGACAGCGGGCGTCTTTCCCGGTCCTCCGCCCATTCCCTCTCGTCGCCTGCTCGGCCGCATCTCGCAAGACTTCGCTCGCCCACCCAGCGAAACGCCCCTCTCCATCCTTCGCGCCCAGCAAGCCGCCGATCAGGATACGAAGACCCGCTCAGCTTCGCGTCAGAGTAACCGCAACTCGCGCATTTTGCCAGGCGCGACGCTTCCGAGCGACTGGGAGAGTCAGACCTTGACGAGGAGCAAGAGTGCGGGCGCAACGTCCTCGGAGTGCAGGAGCAGGTACTGGTCCGACCAGCTCGCTCCGCCAGTCCCCGCCTTCTCTTCGCCTAGCTCGGATGGCGCGACGGCAGGAACATTGCGACGACGACACTCGGTCAGCCCGGTCGTTACGCCTAAGCTGGGCGGGCCCGAGGCGGAGCAGGTCGAGGCGCCAAGCAGCCCGCCGGTCGATCCTGCGAAGAAGGAGGAGCATCGGGGGCGGTCGCTGAGCGCTCTGCTTGGACAGGCAAGAGCCAGCTTTGGGCTGCGAGGGTCGGTGTCGTCGGTGGAGGGTGCGGCAGGACAGCGGCGTCCATCGAAGCCGTTCCCGCCGCAATTTGAAGAAGTGCCCATCACGCATGCCAGGACGTCCGCCCAACCTCGAAGCAGCTACCCCATTTCGCCCTCCTCGCCGAACACCCCTCCTCTCGGCTTCGACAGCTTCCCTTCCGTCGACTCAGCCGCGCCGCTCAGTCAGGATCGACCAGAGTCGTTCAGCTTCGCCGAATACACCCTCTCGCCTGTTCCGCCACTCCATCCTCGTCCTAGCGATGCCTCAATGCGATCCGGCTTATCGTATGCGACGGCCGGTCCCGCCGAACACTCTGCCGCTCCTCCGCCTCGACGACCCTCAACTACCGGCTTCGCAGATCTTCGTCCACCGTCGCTCCACGACCCCTTCGCCGGCCTGCGGAAGAGCAAGTCTGTCGGCTCGCTCGTCTCGCCGCAGCCTCGCGTCTCGTCATTGCAGGCGACGGCGGCACCTATCGGCGAAGGCTCGCCTAGCGTGTACGATGAATTTGGGCAGAGCGATGAACGACCTGTCGGAAGTCCGCTGGGCGACCTCATCGAGGAGCTGCGAGCGCGGCAGGCAGAGATGGAGACGGAAGGGGTGGCCTCGCCGCCAAGTCGTCCGCAACAGCAGCTGGCACATGAGGAGGACGAAGACGACGACGAGGATGAGCGAGACGTGGACTCACCTGTGGTCGGCCGACACGACTCGCACGACCGCTCGCTGCGCGAGTTCTCCTTCAGCAGTTCGCCGGGCGGCGAGCATCCCTTCTCCTTGCACAGCTACCTCGACGGTAACGCCATCTCCCCGGCGCCGTCGCCTCTCGCTCCTTCGCCTCTCGCCGGTCGCAAGTCCTCGGGCGACCCTTTCCTCCAATCTCGACCTTCGTTCCCGCCCCCGCCTGTACCTCTCCCGCTCACCGCCTCGGTCAAAGACTTCGATCCAACGGCTTACACTAGCAACCGCTCGTCCTTGCCTACCTTCGCCCTTTCGAGCCCGCCGCCGCCCAGATTCGGCGACTCGGAAGACCCTCTCACCTTCGAGCAGATGGAGAGCGAGATCGCCCGCATGGAGGCCGAGCTCGTCGCATCCGGCCGCTCTTCGCTCGTTGCCAGCCCATCGTCACGAGGCGGCTTCGACACGCCCATTAAGAGCTCGTCAGTTCCCGCTCAAGCAGATCCGCCGTCGCCCTCTCCAGGCTCGCTTGGTGCGCCCAGTCCCGCCGCGGCTCTCTCTCCCAGCGCGACCTCCGAGGATACTGTCACGCCACGAACGGCGCGCAAATGGAGCATTTTCGAGATGGAGAAGGCGTACGAACGGATGAAGCGGCTGCTCAGCTTGTCCTCCGCTTCCGGTCCGACGCCGGCGTACGCGCCAAGCGAGGCTGGCAGCACGCTCGAGGACGGCGCAAGCTTCTCCGGCGTCGACATGGACACGGCGCTCAACAACGCGCTTGAGCAGGCGCGAGGACTCGTTGGCGAAGAGGAGGACGAGGACGCGCAAGAGGTTCTCGCAGGCGTGGGAGAAGATCCGACAGTCGAGGTTGCGTGAGTGCGCGCTTCACGGTCGTTAGGATTAGTTTGCTAAACTCCTCTCTTTGCAGTTCCTCCTCACCGACGCTTGTCGCTCCTTCGCCTCGTCGCGCCTCTGCCGAATCGACAGCTTCGACTATCGCCGACAAGCCTCTACCCGGACTTCCGCCTCCGACCCCATCGCCGACATCTGACTCGGCGCGCAACGCGGACACGAAGCGCTCGACAGTCGACTCGGATGTACACCTCGACCCGACGAACAGCAATGCTGAAACAGACAAGCCGCAAGTCCATCAGCCGCAGATTAGCGACGAGGACTTGCCGACGGCTTCATCGACTGTCGCTCAGGTCGAGGAGAACGAGTCGAAGGACGTGGACAGTCCAGCTGTCAAAGCCCTGGAGGCGACTACTCCGGACGGCGAAGCGGCGGCGGAGGGTGAGATGGCTATTGTCTCGGAGTATGAGACAGACGATGAGGAGAAGCCGGAGGCGCAGAATGTTGAGCAGGACGAGGTGGAACAGAAGCTGCCTGCATCTCAGGACGAGCAGGTCGCAGCGCTGTCGACTTCGACCGCGTCAGCCGACCCGCCATTACCGCCGGCTACGCCTTCGTCAGTTGCACACCCAATCTCTCCCTCGTTCGTGCCGACCTCACCTTCGTTGGCGCGCCGACGGACGGACAGCGATGCGAGCAGTACGACCGGCATGCGCCCGCTCGTCCTCCCCATCACGACTCGCTTGCGACACCGAGGCACCCGCGACAGCATCATATCGCTTACGAGCATCAACGACGCCGCAAGCGAGACCGGCAGCATCGACGAGCCAGTCTTGACCGAGAACGGCCTCGCCGGCTTTGCGACTCCGCCCACATCACCGCGCAACTCGCAATTCGCGCAGCCCAGCCCTCGCGCGACCCGGTACCTCCTCCACGGACTCAGAAGCGGTGCTGGACGCGACTTGCGGCGACAGATCTCGGATGCCGGCGGGGAAGGCTCAGGCGAACAGCAATCCGCCCGCTCTATTTCAATCGCTCAACTGCCCGGTAACGCCGGCGATTCTGTGCTCGAGCAGCCAACTCGTCGATCTCTACCTCGCTCATCCACCGGCGACGCTTCGTCCTGGTATCCCGTTACTCCCGAACGAGGCGCAGCTCGCTTCTACCGCTCCGAGATGCGGCGGCGTTCGCGCACGGGTGACGAGCTCGTCACTGAAGACGATGAGCGCAGCGTTGCGGCAGACGACATCACGAGCATCCGCAATATGGACAAGCTCGAAGTCTTCTTCAAGTGCGTTTCTTTCGCTTTCTTCCCGTCGCGACCGCTCATCAATTTCTCCGCAGGTATACGGCTGTCAAGGCTGAGCTCGACAAAGCCGAGCTGGAGCGGGATGCTCTCCTAGATGCGCTTCGCGAGACTCGTTCGACCCTCTCAGACGTCCGGTCCCAGCGAGACAATCTCGATGCGGAATTGAAGCGGGAGCGCCAGCTCACGGCGCTCGTCAAGCAGGTAAGCTCGCCTCCACGCATTATAAGAGCGAGAAAAAACTGACGCTCGTCGAACAGCACCTCGGCGGACATCCAGAGCGCATGCAGGAGAAGCTTGCGGATCTGGTCCTGGCTCGCCAGGAATGGGAGATGCGGACGAGGTCGGCGGAAGAAGAGCTCGACGTATTGCGGCGCGAACTCGCCGAAGCGCGTGAGCGGGGAGAGCTGCTCGAGCGGGAGAACGTGATGATGGGGGCACGCCTCGCCTCTGCCGAGATGGCTCGGGACGGTTTGGCGGGCTCGAGCGCATCGATACGGACAAGTGGCAGTATGACTGCTGGACAACTGCCACCGATGGGTCACTCCCGCCATCCGTCTCGCAGCTCGACGCAGCACAGCAAATCTCCTCAACTCGGCCGCGCCATTCCCGTCGCCGCTTCTTCCCCTTCTGTCCACTCTCAGCACTCGAGCTCCGACGCCAGTCATCGACGCCGCGAATCCTCCCTCCTCGCCTCGCCAACCCTCACGATGAGCCGCACGACTTCCGTCAACACAGCCCGCCCATACGAGCATTCGCCCTCGCTGCAGTTCGACGCATCTCGTCGTACACTCAAGGAGTCGTTCGGCTCGTCGGCGAGCGAGATGGAACCCGCCGCTCTCGGACTTGGCGACATCGGCTCGCCCTTGATGAACCAGACTTTGCAGTCCTTCGGCGGACCCAAGTCCAGCTACGGGTCGGACGCCAGCCCACTGAAGAACCGCTCACCACCCTCGCATCACTACGACCCGAGCGTCCCGCCGTCTCTACCATTCGCCACCCTCGACCTTCGCGGGTCGAAGATGTCGAGCGACTCGACTCAGACGGACGAGTACAGCGAGTACGCGGATCAGTCGTTCGATTCGTCGACGGGCGTCGAAGGACTGGCGAGGCTGAAGAGGGCGGACGCGGCGTTCTTATCGGACTTGACGAGCGAGATCGAGCTGTCGCCGGAGGATGCGAGGGGTCGCAAGGCCGGCGAGTAATCTTATCTTGCGGGGTGTGTTGTAGCGTTTAGTCCTGCATTGCGTATAGCCAATTGTTAAGACGCCTTCGCACGACGTGAGCAGCATCGAGAGAACGCGCGAGAGAGCGTTGACGGCTATCATAGGCAGCGTTTCTCGCGCTCTCGATGAAGGCGGGCCGACACTGAAGATGCCGTTGCAGGAAACCTACGAGCTGCGCGCGCTCTTCCATTCGGTCATCGTCCGCTTGAAATCCTTGCGAGTGAGAATGGCGGCGAGGATCGAGTTAAAGAGCGCCTCCTCGGCCTTGATGACATCCAGCTGGGCTTTGTGGAGCGCCATATACCCTCCGCAGAACGACGCAAGCGAGGGGTGCCACCAAGGCTGCGTCGGGGGTACGGAAGCGATCGCGGTGAGGCTGTCCAACGCCATGTCAGTCATCTTTGCGGTGTAATCGGTGGAGCCGTCGGCACACTCGTCGTCCCGGTCGGCGTAGATGGCGGCGTTGAAGCGTTGACCATGTTCGGCGAGGAGATACTGGTTAAAGAGGTTGACGCTGGGTGGGTGAGTCGCGCCGAAGGCCAGGATTCGGTGAATCACGTAGCCAAGTTTGAGGCTCAGATACTCGATCTGGCGGCAGAGTTTGGTCTGCTCTATCCTGAGTCGGGCTGCGTCGTACAGACAGATCATCGCCTGGAACAGGAGCATCCGCAAACGAAAGCTGTAATCGCGCTCCTCTGCCTGCGCCCCATTCATCATAGGAGCGCGCTCGGATTCAGCTTCGAAGCGGAGGGTCGAGGCCATCTGCGACTGCCGCTCGTGAGAAAGCGCGCTGACTGCCGACACTGCAGCGGCGAAATCTTCCATATTGCCGAGCACGTCGTCATGGGCATCGGCGCTGTAGTTCGTTTGAAGCTCGACAAACCGAAGGTGCTTGTGCTGCTCGAGCTTGCGGTCCTTGCGCGTGTAGCAGTCGAGCGACGAGAGGACCTTCGAGATGGCCGAGTCAAGGCGTCCCTGCTCGACGAAGAGTGGTCTACAGCGATGTCTTGCGTCAGTGGGAGGCTATGTGTGAATCATCGGGAGAAGGAAACACACCCGAAAAGGCGCTCGCCGAGTTGAGTGGCACTCAGCTTGCGAATCGAAGGGCAGAAGGTCGTGACGGCGGACGAGAAGACGGCGAGGGCGAAGTCAAACTCGGTGAGCCTCCAAAGCTTGTACACTGGGGACCGGATTGAGGTCAGTCGGATCGCTCGCACATGCGCGAACGAGAGACGCACCGCAGTACGGCAAAACGGCGAGCAGAAAAAGATAGTCGATCAGGCGCAGGACGACAGACAGGACGAAGGAGAGAGGCTTCAGGAGTGCATACTCCTCAAGGCGCGCGATCCCACGGCGTACTTGACGTTCGATAGCCCAGACAGGTTGAGGCAGATCGAGGAGCGCGGAAGTCGGGGCGGCGAGACGGTCTGCTACGCTGGGCTGCATGGTCGGAGCTTATCTAGAGCGATCGCCTGTCGAGCGAGCAGTCTCAGCGTTGTGCGAGCCAGCAGTGTGAAGTGCGGGAGGGTGAAATGCGACGAGCGGTTCGAGCAGGGCACGAGCAGCTTCGTGATGCTCGCGGGGAGCTTCCTTGCGTTGTTAAGTCCTTTCTTATCATCTAGACTTTACCTGGTATCGCGAAGGACGTTGTGTTGGAGGTAAAAGGCTCAAATCGCCTCGCTGCGCTTCAAGATCCGCTTCTCGAGGGTCGCAACGGTTCAATGCACGTGTCCAGACTGCTGCTAGTCCATGACCAGCCTCGCCTCCGTCCTGAGCTGGTCGCGAGCGATGACGGCGGCAAGAACAGCGTCGAGAAGCCTTTCCTCGGCGACGACGAACCTCCGCTGCGCTTGGTAGAGGTCGAAGTAGAGCATGCACAAGGCGACAATGTCGGCCTTGATGAGAGGATCCATCGTGATGAGCGACTCGACCTGCTCGATGAGCGCAAGAAGGACCTGCTCGTTGAGGCTAAGCGTCAATGCAGCGCCAGAGCCGAAGCGCAAGTCGCCAGTCGCAGATTCGACGTGGAAAGCGCGCTGGAAGTACTGCAAGACCGTCCGAGTCTCCTGCAGACCGTGCTTCTGGCTGAAGGCGAGTACGCGGGCAACGGTGTACGTGCAGAAGACGTTACGCGCAGTTCCGGCCAACTTCTGGCGCACAAACTGGATGTCGTACTCGGTAGGCTTGCCAAGCAAGTCGGTACCGCCCAACAGGATGTTGAGATAGAGGAACAGGTTGTTGCGACGGTTGATGCGCTTCAGCTCGTCCAGCGTGGCGGTCGAAAGGCTCGCCCGCATCTGCTCACCTACCCTTTCCGCATACTTGAGGATGGAAACGCGGATTAGAAGGACGTCTTTGTCGGGCCGCGAGACGGCGGTAGCAAGAAGGTCGAAAAGGGTGCCGAGGTTCGACTCGACCGCGCTGCAGGTGGGCGAGTAGTCTGCTTGGTGCAGATTCACGGCGACGAAGGCGCACTGCAGCTCCTTGAGGTAGTCGAGTCGGAACCGCTCGAACTCGCGCTCGGCGTATTCGTACGTCCCAGAGGCGGCATGAAGGTCGACAAAGTTGTCGGCAAGCGGGAGTGCAGGTCCGTCTCTGTGCGCACACCTCGTCAATAGACAGTTCCGAGCGTCATAAAGTGGCGACTCACCCGTCGCGTCCTTCGAAGCAGTCGCTATCAGGCTTCAAGGCGAAGCGGAACGAGAAGAGACCTGCGAAAACGAGAGCCAAGGCGAAGCGCCATCCTGTCGCTCGGGCGAGGAGTATGCCTGTCGCAGTTAGGCATATCGATGTCAGCACCCGCGCGCGTCGCCATGTGAGCGAGGTCTGGCAGGCGCACCCTGGACGACGAAGAAGACGAGCCGAAGCCACATCCTCGCCAACTGCAGCGCCAGCCAGGCGGTCCAGTACGCGGGCTGAAGGAGTGTATGTGCTTGTACGCCGTCTGATGGCGGACTGGCGCGCACAGATGCCTCGATCAGTGTGAAGAGGGTGTCTGTGAGCGACCCGAGCCAGGTCTCGCCGGCTGATCCGAAGGCGCTCATCGCGCTGAAGAGCGTGTCAAGCGACTGGAGCAGGAAGCGAGCGTGTCTGAGCTGTGCGAAGCGGTGAGAGTGAATTGAGGGAGAGAGAGCGAGGAGGAGGAAGATGAGGAACGGGTCTTTGCTTCGTAGGGCTCGCTACCACGTTCTTAGCACTTAAAGAGGCTCGTGAAATCCCAACAAAGGCTCCGCAGACTTCCCGACGGCGAAGTTGAAGCGATGAAGACTTGTTCCTCCGCAGAACGCTGAAAACGACTCGCTCGACTCGTCTCCATCGTCAATCGACTCCTCATGTACACAGTCAGTCCCACCACGTGCTCCTACGCCCCAACAACCCCCCTCCTCTCCCTCACCGCCCTCCTCAAGTTCCTCCTCGCAACCACAAACGCCACAATCGCCTCCCACAACTCTCCCTCAACTCTCGCAAGCCTCTTGTGCGCCTCGTACGCGTCGTAGAAGAGCATACAGAGGGATGTGAGGTCGACTTTGTCGAGTGCTGGGTCGAGGACGAGCGTTTCGAGGAGGTCGAGGAGCGGTTTGGCTGGGTCGGCGAGGCGGAGAGGCGATTGGAAGCGAGGTGTACGCGCGCGAGGAATGTCAATGTAGACGATTCGTTGGACGAGCTGGAGGACCCGCTTGATGGGAAACAGCTCTGTCCATTCAGCGTCCCCATCGCGTTTGCGGTCGAGCAGTTTCGCCACTGCGCAATCCCACTCGACTGCGGGGTGGACGTTCTCGAGCCTATAGCGGAGTTTGAGGGAGGTGGAATCGCTTGGATCGGCGAGGAAGTTCCAGAGGTAGACGATGAGGTGGATGCGTTGAGCGAGTCGGGTCCGGTCAACTTCGGTCAGATCAGGCTTGGAGAGTTCGTCAGAGCGGACAAGCCAGCTGCGGCGAGGTCCGCAATTGCTTGTTGACGCGAGTCGGAAGGTTGCGCAAGGACAGCGTCGAGCACCTGAAAGAGACGCTGGATCGTGAGGCTAATCGCCTCGGCCGTTTTGAACGGCAAGGACGGCTTGCGATCCGCTGAAAGACGCGCGATGTAGGCTTCGAGGCGCTCAATGTAGCGGATGAAAGCTGGGTCGTGGTTGTCGAGCGCGGCACGCATGGCGAAGATCGTATCGTCGACTGCAGCGTCTTCGGCAAGAGTTCTGGCTCTGAACGATGTCAGCGAGGGGTCCGGGTCATGGGTCAAGCGGTGGAGGGGGTAGCACACCTCGTTTGCGGCGCGATTGGGCGGTACCACCCCGGCTGTCGCTTGAAGCGGGTCGCAAGCGCGACACTCCCGACGAGCCATGCGCAGCCGAGACGAAACCCTCCACACACGAAGCACGCCGTATCTGCGGTGAGATTAATCACGGTCAGCACTCACTGCGCGACCGCTCGAAGAAGACGTGGTCCGACTGACTCCAGAGTGAGAATCGAGCGGCGAGGAGGTACGGCTCGAGACTCAGAGACAAGCTGTCACGCGCCTTTATCCCCTCGGGTTGCGGAGACAGGGAGCAGTACTCGCGCAAAGCATCGCGGAAGAGCTCGAGCCCTTGACGCTCGACGGTGACAAGTCGTGCGTTGGCGAGGAGGTACGAAGTGAAATGCGTGAGGGTCTCTTCGACCCCGACTTCGACTGGAGAGATGAGAGGCGTGGGATTGAGTGGCAAGGTTGCGCTCAGAAGAGTGACTTGGTTTGGCAGCATGGCGACGAGTCTCGGTTCTGGAAGCGTGTTTCGACGAGGAGGAAGAAGTTCGCCACGACTCGGCGAGGGCGGGTACTTTGCGATCTATCCGTGTTCTGCCTGATGAAAAGGCGTTTGCTAACCCTTCCGGCCACCGTCTCGCTGTACAGGATGAGGCAATGATGAGGAGGGCGAAAGAGAGTGTCCGTTCGACGCCACAACGCCGCGGGAGGACTGGGAGCCAGCACTGGGGTCCTTCGAGAATCTGTACGAGAGCGTAGCACAGCAGCAGGACCCAGCCGAGCGAGCGAGTGCTGTGGCCGCCGTCCATCCTCGTCCTGCTCATTGGCCTCGCTCTCTTGTGCTCGCACACATCGCACACGATGCAGCTGGCGCGCCCGATCTTCGCTGCAGCGACTCGCGTCGGTGGACGACGCTTCGCCACGCCCGCGGCGGTCCAGCACACGGCGCGACGAGCGTACGCCGCCGTCCAGGACGCTGCCGCCAACCCGGTCAAGCGCCACGGCGGCCTGCGCGACCAGGACCGCATCTTTACGAATGCGTACAGGCAGGGAGACCACGGACTCAAGGGCGCAATGGTCAGTCCCGTCCCCGCAGCCCGCTCTCTCGCTCTCCACCCACCTCGACCTGTGTCCATTGGGAATCGCTGACCGTCTGCTCGCTCGCGATGGACAGGCGCGCGGAGACTGGCACCGCACGAAGGACATTGTCCTCAAGGGAGACTCGTGGATCATCCAGCAGATCAAGGACTCGGGTCTCCGTGGCCGTGGCGGCGCTGGCTTCCCCTCGGGCCTCAAGTGGTCCTTCATGAACAAGCCCGGGTGGGAGAAGGACGGTCGCCCGCGTTACTTGGTCGTCAACGCCGACGAGGGAGAGCCCGGCACTTGGTGCGTTCCGTTTCCGCCCCCTCGACACCGCGATGAGCAGGCGTTTCCCCCTCGACGACCCTTCGGGCAGAGGTCACTCGGAGATCTCGCTTCTCCTGGTGGCCCACAGCTGCTCAGAACGTTACTGCGACGTCTTGCGACCGAGGCTGACCCGCTTCTGCGCCTCCCTCGTGCAGCAAGGACCGCGAGATTCTTCGCGGCGACCCCCACAAGCTCATCGAGGGATGCCTTGTCGCCGGCCGTGCCATGAACGCCAACGCCGGTGCGCTCGATCCCACCCTAGTGTGCACAGGGACCGCACGCTGACATCTCGCGACTTTCCACTCGCCTCCGAACCCCTCTCCGTCAACTTTCCCGCTTCCAACTACTGCGCCCGCACCCCGTAGCCTACATCTACATCCGCGGCGAGTTCTACATGGAGTCGGACCACGTCGAGCAGGCGATCCAGGAGGCGTACAAGGCCGGCCTGATCGGCAAGAACGCGTGCGGCTCGGGCTACGACTTTGACGTCTACCTTCACCGCGGTGCCGGCGCCTACATCTGCGGCGAGGAGACTGCGCTCATCGAGTCGATCGAGGGCAAGCAGGGCAAGCCGCGTCTCAAGCCGCCCTTCCCCGCCGACACCGGTCTCTTCGGTTGCCCGACCACGGTCGCCAATGTCGAGACGGTCGCTGTCGCCCCTACGATCATCCGCCGCGGCGCGTCGTGGTTCAACAGTTTCGGCCGCGAGCGCAACTCGGGCACCAAGCTCTTCTGCATCTCGGGTCACGTCAACACCCCTTGCGTCGTCGAGGAGGAGATGTCGATCCCGTTGCAGGAGCTCATCGAGAAGCACTGCGGCGGCGTCCGTGGCGGATGGGACAACCTCCTCGGCATCGTTCCCGGCGGTTCATCCGTCCCGATCCTCCCGAAGAACCACTGCGAGGAGGCCCTGATGGACTTTGACTCGCTCCGCGACCTCCAGTCCGGACTCGGCACGGGCGCCGTCATCGTCATGAACAAAGAGACGGACGTGATCCGCGCCATCGCCCGCTTCGCAAAGTTCTACAAGCACGAGTCGTGCGGACAGTGCACGCCTTGCCGCGAGGGAACGACTTGGCTCGAGAAGATGATGGACCGGATGGTGGTTGGGCGCGCGCACGAGCGCGAGATCGAGATGTTGTGGGAGTTGACGAAGCAGATCGAGGGCCACACGATTTGCGCGCTCGGTGACGCCGCGGCGTGGCCCGTCCAGGGTCTCCTGAGGCACTTCCGTGAGTCGGCCGTTCGCTCTGATGCCGGCAATGGGCGCATTGGCGTCTGTCATTGTCTACTGAGAGCAGGAAGAAGCTGACTTTATCGCCCTCGCAGGCCCCGAGGTCGAGAAGCGCATTCACGACTTCAAGCAGCGAGAGGGCCAGGTTCTCTTCGGTGGGCACGTGCGTCCGGTCTCTCTTCTGCCTTCTCGTACTGCTGCTGACGCTGGCTGCCCGCTGCGACAGTTGCTGAAGGATCAGAACCCGGACATTGTGCGTCTCCCTTCACATCCCGCTTCTTCGCCCCCTAGCTGACACTCTCGCGCCTCGCAGGCCCTTCCCGACAACATTGGCATCTCGCTTCCGGGCGTCGCACCCGGCGCAGGCAACTCGCCCAACGTCTCGCCTTGAAAAGCCGGCCGTCTAGACGCACCATCATATTCTCTTTCTCTCCTCGTATTCTGATCCAAGCTTCTGCCGTTCTGAGCTTCTTGTAAAATGCCGTCATCGATGAAGCGGTTGTCTGGCGAGGAGAGCGAGAATGGGGGAGAAGCGCTTGCGAGTGGACAGCGGACAGTTGGCACTTCCCATGATGTCGCGTCGCGCTAGGATTGAGAGCATGTACAGAATGCATCGAGAGAGCTCTACAAGCGAAGCTACCCTGCGAGCGGAAGAGAGGACCGTGAGTCGGGGTCAGCGGGTCAGTCTTCCGCTGGGAGATCGAAGGAGAGAACGCACAGAATCGGTACCACACAAATACGAAGAAGAACAGGCCGAGCACTCCGATCGGCGCCCACTTGCGAATCATGGCGTCAACGTTGATCTTGCGCGCGGCCTTGCGGTACTTGAGCGACTCGTCGCGGAGCGACGACGACATGGTCGACATGCGGTCAAGCGAGTCGCCTCGCCACAACAAGTCCTCCATGTTCTTCGTCATGATGCGCGTGACGTCCTGCAAGTCCTCGTTCAACCTGTCCAACCCGCTCGCAGTCGGCCCGCCCTTCCCACTCGCCTCTGCTCCTCGCGGATCGAGGTACAACCGCTTTGTTCGCTGGATGAACGTGTCAAACTTGACAAAGGCGTATGGTCGCAGGCCGGGTTTGAGCGACATTTCGGGCGGGTAGGAGCGCGAGAATTCGGTGGCGAGTTCGGCGAGGTAGGAGAAGGCGAGTTTGCGGGGGTACGAGCGGTCGGCGATGACGAGGTAGACGATCGAGTCGGCGATGAGGTAGCTGTGCAACGCACGTTGTCAGCCGTCCGACCCATACAGCATCCGAGCGAACGAGCTGTCTTGCTCGCCTGCCGGAAGGCTCTGAACGGCGGCCGACTCACTGCAAGGTGCAAGCGCCGCTCTCGATCGAACATCTCGGCTCGGATTGAGGCGTCAGTCGTCGGAAGATGAGCTTGGCTTGCTGCTTGTACTCGGGCAACTTCGCATCGTTCTGCGGGTGGAAGGAAAGACGGCAGGTCAGCGCGATCAGTCGGCCTCGCTGTCTGGTCTCATGTCCTCCGTCAGGCGTGAGAGAGCCATCACTATCCTGCCCCGGCGCTGTAACACCCGGAGAAGAAGCACGAGTCGCCATGGAGTATCGCCGACTCGCCCTCATCCGCCAGCAGGCACTGCCGCCGCCTGTCAGTCCTCCTAGCGCCTTGAGAAAGCTCGCCGTGCCCTCCGCACCGATCCACAGTCCTTCGTCACCCGCCGCCCCACCCACCTCGTCCACATTCCAACTGTCCGCTCGTCCAGCACGTCCTACTTCCGCGAGACGAGCCTCACCTGCTCGTCATCGTCGTTTGAAGCAGCCAGCGGCAAGCCTGTCAGTCCAAGCGGGTCGGGAGAGCAGCGGTTCGAGGGTTCGTGAGTGTCGAGTTGGACGAAGCGATGAAGTCGGCGTCAGCTCGATACGGCGGCTTTGAACGAAAAAGAAGGGTATGCACCGTCTGTAGCGCGTGCAATGATGGTGCTGCGAACCATGGCGAGGCTAGCGGAGCGTGGAGGTGAAGTGCTTCCGCTCAAGAAGCGGAGCGAGGAGGTAGACGCCTCTTCAACCGCGTAATACCGCTTGTAGCGGGTTCGCGAGGCTGGCAGTCCACCGAGCGATAGCTAAAGAAGACTCCCGGACAAACGCGAAGTCGCACGAAGACATGGATGTGTTGCCCCACTCTCAAGTTGCAAGGGAGGTGAAGTGTCGAAGAACTGTATGGTGACAGCAGATCGGCTAGGAGATGCGCGTACAGACTCATGCCGACGGCGCAACGGGAGCATCGACCTCCATCGCCTTGTCCTCCTGCTGCTGCGCGCCATTGACAACGGGCTCGACCTCCTTCGCGGCGAGGGGCTTCTCCTCCTCGACCTGCTCCTCCTCCGCCGGCGTCGCAGGGATAGTCTGTCCCTCGACGCTGCCGCTCGAGCCGTTCATCGCCTCCGCAGCGAGCGCAGGCTTGTCCTCCTCGACATCGCCGTTCTGCTCCTTGCCCTCCTCTGCGCCGTCAACCGCCTCATCTTCCTCCCCGCCATCCTCCTCGTCCTCATCGAACTGCTCCTCCTTGCGCTGCAAGCGACCCGAGCGGCGCTCGCCCGGAATGACCGGCTTGCGGCTCGACCTCCTGCTGCCGGCCACACTGTCTCCCGCCTCAGACCCCGCCGCGCTCTCGTCGTACGCATCATCCGCATCCCTGCGCCGCCTCTTCCTCCGTCCCTGTCCCTCCTCGTCGTCCTCAGAGTCGACGTCCGCCGCGCCTGCTCCCTGCGAGTCCTCGTTGTAGTTGACGCGGGACGAGTCGCGCGTGCGAAGGCGGGACGAGCGGGTCGCGAAGCCGGTACCGAGGCGCGAGAGCTGGCGCGCGACGCGGGCATCGCGAGAGGCGAGGCGTTCTTCCGCACGACGCTTGCGGTCCTCGAGGGCTTCCATGTACTGCGCCGTGCGAGCGAGTCAGCATCGGTTGGCCGTGCAAGAAGAACGCAAAAGCGATCGTACCTCCTGGTACTCGAGGATCTCGGGCAAGTCCGCCTCGAGTCGGGCCCTTGTGATCCTCTCCTCCCTCTTCTTGTCCTCCTTCTCCGGCGCGCCCTTGCCCTTCGCTTTCCTGCCCACCAAATGCGCAGCCTTCGCAAACGGACCCCTCAAAGCTTGCATCTTCCTATCCGCCTTGGTGGGCGCCGAAAGAGTCTTGAGGAACGCCTTGTAGCCTGCGAGAGTGGACGAGACGGCGATCCAGGGGGAGTTGTCGGTGTATGGGTTGCCGGAGGCGTAGATGCGAGGGGAGGAGTCGATATGGTAAAGAGTGACGTGCGAGAGGGTGCGGCCGATGGGGAGGATGACGAGGCCGTTCGAGTCGGGGTCGCGCTTGGCGATCCGCTGGTTGCCGCTGTGGACCAGAGTCGACGTGAGCGAGCGGAGGAGACGGATTCGAGCGACTGCACGCACAGGTCGTAGTTCTCCTTGATCATCTCGCGGATCTTGGGCGTGCTGGTGAGCTGGAAGTCCACCATGACGCGCATAAGGTGGATCTGCGAGGGCGAGGCATCGATCCACAATCAGCATACCGTCTTCACGACAGACACAGCCGAATCGAGCGAAACCTGCGCCCACCTTGTCCTCCCAGCGCAAGAGCCAAAAGTTCTTCTCGTTCTCCTGTCCGGGCTTCTTCCCGCGCGTCCTCAACAAGTTCGTCTGCCACCGCAACCCACCGCGCCAGTACGGGTCGGCGTTGAACCGGTTCGTGACAAAGTTGATGAGAAAGTGGAACCAGGTCTTCTTGCCGTGGTAGTCGGTCAGCTCTTTCAGGTCCGAGAGGTTGTCGATAAAGACGTCGAGGATGTCGCGGACGATCTGAGACGAGGGAGGGACGGGCGTGTCTTCGGACAGGACGGGAGGGACGGGGTCGACGGCATCGGCGCGGGCGTTCATGACGGCGTCACGAGCAGCCTTGAGCTCGTCGTCGTCCTCGTCCGAGTCGGTGACCGAGCTGAGCGAGTCAGCAGGCGAGTCGGCGCGCTTCTTGCCGTTGCCGTTGGCGGCGGTGCGGAAAGAGACGGCAGTGAGAGGCTTCTTGTTCTTGCGGAGCGAGGTGCGGGGTGGCGGGGCGGGCGAGCAGTCGAGGAGGGCTTGCTCGAACGACATGACGTCCGGCATGACGGGGGTTTGCTCCTCGAAGTCGACGAGGCTGGTGAAGCGGCGAACAAACGCCCAGACGTACTGTCGGCCGGGGAGTGAGCGAGGTCAGCGGTGCTCCCGGTGGCTGTTGCACATTCTGGAGGGCGCCAATCCACTGCACAAAGACGAGCACCCCCAGCGCGAGTGCCCGTCCGTGAGCGTGGCCGAGCTATCTCGCGCAAACCGACGAGGTCCAACCCTGCTGGCCGTAGCTGCCCACGACAACCCTCCGGCCAGATACGCCCGGTCCCATTGAGAGGCTCCCATCTAGTACTGCTCGTAGCAGCGCAACACGTCCCATCCCAAGCGATGCGGCGGTTGTTCCAGCGAACGCGTCTCTTGCTCGACGCGATTGCCGTCGAGTCGAGATGGCAGCGTCCAGGAGCTCAAGCTGCTTTGGATGGAGTATCTTAGACTCACAGCAACCTCCCAATTCGCCGCAGGACCCTCAGTCACCTCGTCCTCCAAGTCTGCCGTCGACGCATCCTTCATCAGCTCCTCCGGGTCGACGGGGGCTTCCTTCGCCTTGGGAGCAGCGGCGGGGGCGGGACTGGCTTTGGCGCTGGTCGACGCAGAGGCAGCGGGTGCCATTTTGTGCGGGAAAAGCGGAGAGAGACGAGGTGGTGAAAGGGGAGAGGTCGAAGGGGCGAACGACGAGCTCGACCAAACACGTTCGTCGAGCGAGTCGTGAAGCGTGCTTGCCTGCTCACCAGCTCGCCAGTAAGATTAAGAGACGCTGCCTCGCGTAGGAAGCCAAACGAACCGGAAGAAAGACCAATGATGCAGCGACAAAACGGTGGTATCGAGACTCCTTCCCTTCCTGCTCTATCCCGCGCACGACCATGCTCCTGAGCGCCTTCCTCGCCTTGTGTAGTGTCCTTAGGCCGTCACGGCGGGCGCAAATCGCGAGGCAGCGTCGTCGAAGAGCGAAGACTTGGCTTCGAGATCGGCGACGAGCGGGTGCGACGCGTCGGCTGCTCGCAGTTGTCTGTGCAAGAGTCGTCGAAGGTCAGCTTCGAGCACGTTGATTACAAGAAAGCTGTCTGAGCCAGCCGGAGCTAGCTCGGTCGGCCTCCATCGATGCATAGAGCTGAGAGGAACGCACGCGATGATCTCGTCGGCGGCAGCGGCCGTCTTGCCCGTGTGGAGCGCGAGGGCGGCAGAGTTGGCGAGCGAAGTCGGGTGCGTCGGGTTCTGTGTACAGAGGTTGGTGTCAGACAGACTCCATTCGAAAAAGCGGAACAATCATCCGGGCAAGACCGCTGCGCAAGATCAGGATGCGGACTGACCATCTCCAACGCCTCGTTCGTCGCATCCCTCGCCTCCTCCCACCGTCCCAACGCAGCCTGCGCCACCGCCACACCCGCCAACACACCCTCTCCCCTTCCCCCCTGCATACCCTTGATCTCCTCAAACACGTAGTACGCGTCTTGATACTTGTTTGCCGGACCGGTGGCGAGGTTCGAGCGTGCGACGAGGAGCTGGGAGAGGAGAGAGTCGGAGGTGAAGGCTGTGACGGAGGGAGAGGAGAGGAGCGCGGAGGAGAGGTGAGGGAGGTTGAGCGAGATGTAGAGGTGCGACAAGATGCCGAGGCTGTGCGTCATTCAGCGCCAGAAAAGAAGGCCCGTCAGCTCGCGCCGCAAGCTTAGGTAGACCCATAAGAGGCATCGCACGCACCATTCCTGATCCTTGCCCAACTCGACCGCCTCCCTCAAGATCTCAATCCCCTCCTCCCTCCGTTCCTCGCCCTCAAGCACCCAAACAGTCCCAATCACGCCCCTCACGAACCTACCCTCCGTCTCATCCCCCTCCTCAAGTCCCTGGTCCCCCAAATCCGCCAACAACTCCTCCAAGTCTCCGACGGCCGACTCGGTCTCGCCTTGGAGGTAGTGCGCGAGAGAGGTGATTGCTCGGATGTCGAGTGTTTTAGGGAGGGAGGAGAGGAGCGAGAGGGCGGGTTTGACGGCGGGAGGGGTCAGGGCGAGGTGGGCGCGGGCAGCGTAGAGTGAGAGGAGGGGAGAGGGGGATGAGAGCTCTTGATAGGCGGCAATGGCGGCGCGGTAGGAGCCTGTTGGTATCGCGAACTGGTCAGTACGGCTGTTTGTGCGAATGAGGCGTGAGTTGCTGCTCGACGAGGAGGACGTAAGGCGACACCTCGACCACCTGCGCCGTGAGACTCGGTAGAATGGCTCCTTAGCTCCAGCAGCATCTCCACCTTCCCGCAAGCGCTCCTTCGCACGCGCCGAGCCCAACTCCTCCTCATCAATCCGCACCACCTCGACGACGCGTCCACACCGCTCCTGATCGCCTGCCAGCCTGGTACGACTCCGCCAGCTCCTCTGAGCACTCTTGCATCTCCTGCACCCGCGTCCAACTCCTCCAGCTCGTGGCCCGCCGCACGCCCCACCGCGCACGTCGCGCCCCTTGAACCGGTCTGAGGTGGAGAACTCGCCTTGCTGGAAGAGCTGTACGATGTAGTACGAGTCGGAGTCCATCGTCTACAGCGGTTGCGAGTCTAGCGAAGCGGCTTGGAGCGAGAGCGGTGGAAGGTGCGGAGGAAGAGGGCCGCTGGATGGAGGAGAAGGAAGAGTAGGGAGTGCATCGCTTTCCAGAGCCTGTACTCTCAAGACGCTGCTCGTGATAGATGGAAAGAGTACATTTCAAGCCGGACGAGGCAAGCGACGAAGGAGTGGAAAGTAGAGCGGGAAACTCGAAAGGCGAAGGTAGCGAAAGTCGGCATGAGTGACTGGCGGCGCAAACGATGCAGCCTCGTGTGTCGGCGAAACGCTGGCGTCGAGGAAACGGAGAAGCAGGCAGGCCTCGCTCAGTCCGAGCGGCGCAATGAGCCTGCCCTCGTCCTGTTCTTCGCACGCTCGTCGCGCAACTTGTCCGTGAGGTCGCGTCGACCCTTGACGGCGGCGAGAATGGCTTCACACAGGTGAGCGTCGGGCTCGTCGAGGTGCTTGGTCGCTTGGAAGTACTCAAAGTCGGCGATGACGAGGTCGTCGAACTCGAGAAGTCTAAACATGCTCATCGCGAGACTCCGGACGCGGTCGAGAAAAGCGAGGCCATTCTCGTTGTGCAGGAGGCTGTGGCGCGTCGAATCGTTGATGGCCCACCAGGCGCAGCAGACCACCGCTAGCTCTGCGACGTGGCCCCAGGAAAGGATACGCGTCGATCCCCCTACAAGGAGGACGACGAAGACGATGATTCGACGCAGAATGAGGCCCATCAGGCTGGTGTAGGTCTCGACTCTCCTTCTGAGATCGCGCTGCACGTACTTGAGAATGCGAGTCGCGCGCACCTGGTCGTCTCCAGGTGCAGCGCCGGTCTTGATACGGTGCTGCACGTCGACCTCGTTCACCAACAGAGCGATGTCAAGGAACTCGGCGATGAGCCGCAAGTCGAGCTGCGACAGGTCGGTGAAGCCCTCCCACAAGGTCCTGAGAGGTTCGACTTTGGAAGCGTACAGAACTGCCAGAGCCTCGGGGCTGGCATTAAGCGGGAACGTCCGCATGACTTCGCAGAACTTTGCGCATGAGCGATGCATTGAAGGCTCGGCGGCGCGCACAGCAGCCAAAGTAACGAGCAGCTCGTCAACGGCGTGCGAGAGTCTCAGTCGGAGGGACCTGAGGACGCGTTCAGCTGTCAGCACTGGTTGGTTCAGGCGTGACTGTGACGCACCTTGAGCTGTGCCGGCCACTCTTGAGCGCGACGCAGGTCGACCTGATCCAGTTACGGAACGGTAATTTGCCCCGATAGACGGCCCGAGGTGAGACGAACGCGCCTGCGAAGATAAAAGATGAGATTGTCTGTAATCTACGCCGTATTGTGGAGCTTGCACACCTCTGCAGAGGCCTTCGAAGGGAAGCGAGGAAGAAACGAGTCTGTACGAGACGCGACGCCCGATGGTCGTCCAGGACAGGACGACATACACCGCAATAGCGTAGAAAACAAAGACGAGACCCGCCACGAAGATTGCGCTCTTCGTCTTCGTGATCTCGGCAGTCCAGCGGTCGATGGCGCGGTCGGCTTGGAGGACCCTCTCCCATCCGCTGGCGAGTGCCGCCAGCCAGGCGACGAGCACAGTGAGCCAGGTTGTCATCTAGCTTGTCTTGAGCGCGATTGAGCGGGGTAGCCAGCAAGCGAGTGAAGGGAAGGAGGGAAAGAGGCGAACGCGCCGCTTCGACTTCGACGGTGACGCTCTTCTTCTTTTGGGCCAGCGACGTCGTGAGCAGCTTTGAACGAGTCTCATTGAAGCCTACGCACCATAATAGGCCCGGTAGCGAGCCGTCGCCGCCTTGTCGCCGCCTGTGACGCTCCCCGACACCCTCACACCATTTCCACACGCTTTCTCCCGCTCTCTCCCCGCTGTTGTGCTGCTTCGACCGACTCGCTAGACCTACAGACACTCTTTACACGACCAGACACCCTCGCCATGTGAGTCTGAGCTGTTGTCGCCGCTCGTGTGCCCTCATCTCTTCCCCACCTCGACCAGGACAAACTCGTTCAGAGCGGCGCAGGAAGCTGACCAGAGACGCTTGCGCGCACGCAGGACGACACCAGTCTCGCTTCCATTGACCGCGACCCTTCCAGCGCCCGGCACCGCCGTCCTGCCGCCCAGCGTAGCCCACGCACTCCCTTCTCACCTCCCTCCCTCGCACGGACACCACCGTTCCGCCTCGTCCATCTCGTCCATGAACGCCTTTGTCCCCGGCCACCACCCGCACCAGTCTTCCCTGTCCGGCCAAAACCCCTTTGTCCCCGCTCCCCCCGCCGCTTCGACTTCGCAGTCGCAGACAAACCAGACCCGTATCCTTCTCCTCGAGAACTTTTCAGCGACGTTGAAGACGAAGGACTTGCAGGAGCTGTTCAGCTTGTGGCAGGACCAGCCGGGAGGATTGAAGGTCAAGTGGCGCGACGACACGAGCGCGTGGGTCGTCTTTGGCGATGCGGGCGTCGGTGCGTAGCCTCTCTTCCTTATGTTCGTCAGCAAATGAGCTGACCTGCGATTCGACCGGCAGCCAAGCGCGCCTTCCTCTCGCTCATCGCCAACCCTCCCCTCGCCCTCTCGCCCCTGACAACCAACACCTACTCACCCTGCATCACTCCCTACAACGGCCCAGACGTACAACAGATCCTCCAAGCCGTTCAGAACCGTCCTCGCTCGCGCTCGATCGCTGGCGGGTCGGGTCACCAGCGGAAGAGCAGCGTGATGGGAAGCGGAGGGGGAGCGGCGCTTGCTGGGATCGGGCTCGGGCAGCCGCAACAGCCTCAGAGCTCGGGAGGAGGAGCGCCGACGGGCGCGGGTCATCACCGCACGGCATCCTGGACTCGCCAGTCGATCGACCGGCGCATGCGCGAATCACTCGGCTCCTCGCCCCCCTCGCATGGCGCACACCTCCCCACCGACTCCACCTCTCCGATCGACGAGCAATCAGGCGGCGCACCGTGGCGCGCGGCGGGAGAGAGGGGACATGATGGATGGAAGGCGGATGGAGGTTGGAGGACGGCGAGTCCGGAGACGCCTGGCGGACCGGGTGGAATCGTTGCGGGCGAGGCGCCGAGGAGGTTCGGGGGAGCGGGGGTCGCGCATGAGAGGACGGGTGCGTCGGTCGCTTCTTTCGCTTGAATTCGCGACAGCGTCGCTTTTGGGGCGGTTCGCGTAAGCGACTGGAGGTCGGCTGACTCTCTCTCACCTGGACAGAGTCGCGAGGCGGGGCTGCTGGACCGACTTTCAACGAGTGAACCCCTTGCATGCCGTCTCAACCGGCGCTTCCCGTCGCATCAGCCACCTTACCGCTTCTCATCCCTCCTCATACCGCCTTGTACGCGCTTTTTCACCATGTCACCTCCTTTCGCACTTCCGCGACGCACTCGCGCCTCTCCTACCCGCTCTCTCCCGACTCTGTTCATACCCTCTTCCCCTTGACCTGTCTCGACTCTCGCCTTGTCGCCTTGTACACGCAATCGCAACATCCGTTTCAACTCGCATGTGCACGTCATCTTCCGGCAGGACTCTGAGGCGGGCTGAGAAGCGGATGTTGAGGTCGACCTGGACTTGCGAAGGTCGACCATCCCGGTTCTCCCGCTTCTCCTACGACCGTTTCCCTCAACTCCACGACGGCGATAAGGCTCATGAGGTTGCTGAAAAGCTCTCCAGACTGCTCCGGCGACGTTCTGCCCTCAGCTCGATGCATGCGCTCGACGGCGGGACATCGCTCTCTCCTCCTCGCTTCTCTCCCTCCTTCTCCTCACTCGTTCTCGCTTAGACTGGGTCCAACACCGCTCAAACGACGCCAGAAGCCCTCCGACGACGCCCCTCATGCTCCCCACGCTCCTCGCCCTCCTCGCCGCCTCCTCCGGCCTGCTCATCGCCAATGCCCAACAAGTCAACACCCCCGCCTCCCTCACGACCTGCCAGCCCTCTCAGCTCGTCATCGAAGGCGGAACGGCGCCCTACTTTGTGCAGAGTGCGTCCGGCTTTCCTCCCTCTCTTGCCTCTCCTTCTCCGCTGACGACGCGGACTGCGCAGTTCTGCCCGGAGGACAGCCCAGCGCGAAAGCTATCGAGACCCTTCCGACGGTTTACAAGTCCGGACCGCTCACTTGGCTCGTCGACGTTCCCGCTGGTCCGTTCACCTCCTTCTCTTCCTTCAAACGGAGCTGACGAGTTGAGGTGGACAGGAACGAGCATCACGCTCTCCGTGACGGACTCTACGGGCGCTATCAACTACTCGAGCCCGATAACGGTCCAGCAGGGAACTTCGAGCGATTGGTGAGTGCTGCGTCGCTGCTTTCCCCGCTTTGCTCAGCCTCGAGCGGGCTTCGCGTCTTCCATCGCTCCGTGGGCTTCACACGACTGACGAAATCGACGTTGCGCAGCCTCGGCAAGAACGCTCAAGTCTCCGCCGCCGCGTCCTCCCCGTCCGGTTCCTCCTCGACTTCCGCTTCCTCCTCGTCCTCCGTCGCAGTCGCCTCGCCATCCTCCACCACTGACGACGACTCGAGCTCGTACTTCCGCTCTCCTGCCTTTTCTCACTGACGAGATTGACGAACCCTGCGCTCTCGCAGCTCGAGTCCGACTTCGATCAAGCAGGAGACGAAGCAGCTTCTCCCGTCCACTACCGCCGCCTCGTCGACGACCGTCGTCCTTGCTGCTACGCCGACGCAGTCAGCTCAGGGAAGCAGTGACGGAGCGGGAAAGAACGAGGGAAGGAGGTGCGTTTCCTTTTCTCCGTTCCGGCTATAAGCACTTCTCGCAGGCAGCAAGCGTGGTGGCTGATCATGATGGAGTGTCGTCGCACAGATTCGCTCTTGTCGGAGGAGCCGGCCTCGCGCTCCTCCTCGCTTTCGCATAGTCAAATTCCCTTCGCCTTTCTGCGCCTCCTCCGCCGTCTCCGTCCTCCACATCCTTCCAGACTTGCTCATCAAGACAAGGACAAGACAAGATCAGACGGACTCGTTTTGCATTTCTTCTGCTCCGCTTCGTCTCCCTTCCATTTCCTCGCATCTTCCCTTCTCGCGTGTCGTAGTTCGCTTTCTGCCGCTTAGCTCGTACATACTGCAAGGCTCGTCGTCATGAAAGTCGTCCGCTCGCACGCTTTCTCGCGGAAGCCCTGTCCGAAACGCTTCGCTCTCCTCCTTCTCGCACTTTCGGATTTGAGCGAGACTTTGTCGTCTTGCATGGAAGGTACATCGAGCGGAAATGTCTCCGTGAGTGAGAGCAGGAAGCGCCTGAGAGAGTCGAGTCGTCGGAACTGTCGCAAAGCCTGAATAGTCGATAGGAAGGCACGAAAACGCAGAGCCAGAGGTGCAGGCCTCGCTCAAGCTGAGCGGCGCAACGAGCCAGCACCAAGCTCGACGTCGTGCTCGCATCCGCGGTCAAAGTCGAAGAAGGCGTGGCGCAGCTCGACCGTCCTGCGCTCGAGTTCGCGGTGGAGGAGGATCGTCGAGAGGATGGCATCGTGCAACGCGGCTTCGCCTCGCGCGTGTTTGGCTTCGGCGTTGTGCAAGTCGTAGACGGCGATAGCGAGCTTGTCGAATTCGAAGCGGGAGAACTCGGTTGCTGCGAGGTGCTGGACGGCGCGGACGAGGCGGTCGACTTGGTCGTCGTACGGCGTCAGGCGACCGGCCTTCTCGAAGCGGCGTGCTTCTTGGAGGATATACCTACACGGGAAGGCGAAGAAGACATACAACAGACCGCACAGTGCCACCAGGGAGCATGGCGTTTATGACGAAGATGAACGACGGTCCGCCGTAGAAGTGGGCGCGAAGGACGATTGCGGAACCATCCCACTCGACTCGCCTCGAGCTATCCTGTACTTTTCCGCGCATAGACTGCCGAATCGTGAGGAGAAGACGGCGTGAGCTGACGTCCGACCATTGACCGTCGGAGCGTGCATGCTCTGCTTCCGCCGCTGTAACCTCACGAAGAGGATGGCGGCGAATGAATTCTTCGCAAACACAGTGCAGCTTCGGTGCGGGAAGGCTCAAGACGTCGCGCCACAACCGGACAAGCTGAAAGAGGGCGTGTAGGCCCGCTTCAGCCCTCGCCTGTGCAGCCGAGAGCGTTCCCAGGTAGGTCGACGCGAGTTTGATGTGCTGCCCGCTGATTAGGTCGACGTTGGCCTCAGCCGCAGCGAGAGCGGCGGAGGACGATGCAAGGTCGATAGAGCTTTTTGCCGCGACGTCGAGGAGTGCGCTGCGAGACGCGCAGGTCAGCAGCCATCCCGATGTGAGGATACAGGTTACTCACGACTGCACTTGCTTGAGTCGCTGGCATCGCCAAGCTGCTGCAAGTTGCCTTCGACTGTGCGGACGCATCCCGCAAGTGCGCCACATCCGCTGGCCCAGCGCGATGACCACGATGAGACCTGCGCAGTGAACCGTCAGCGCTCCGGAATGAGGCTTTACGCGAGCAGACTCACCGTTGACGCCCTCGAGAACGAATCCAGCGATGTTGACCAACGTCCTGACCGCCAGTCTCCGCAAGCCGGTTTCCGGGCCGCGCATGATCAGCAGAAACCAGAACCACCCGAGTGGGAACGGCCACAACAGCCAGATCTCCGCCAGCATCCACCGCGGTAGCTCTCGAGGAGGGTTCGGTGATGATTGGTCCATGGACGCGGGAAGACCTGCTGAGGCGGGAGAACAGTCTGCAGCGGGGGAACAGAGGGACGAAAGCTGCTCGCGCTCTCTCAGCGGCAATCTGAGCGGGTGTAGCGAGAGCGATGTGAGCGGGCGGAAGGGATGAAGAGGTATATGGGGAGCTCGAGGAGCCACTCTCTCCCTTCGCGGGACTGGCAGGCGCATTCAATATGCTTGACAGCTCGCAAGGTCTGCATGGGCGGCTCTTCCAAGCCATGCAAAGCGGGAGAGCGGACGCTTGTCTTTCGCGTCTCTCGTCTGCTTTGCGTTCTCCGTCGCTCTCACCCCAAGGCTTCGAGCGATACTGAGTCGCATTGCAGCGAGAAGTCTCGTGATGCGAGCACGACGTTCGGAGAGCAAAGGAAGCTCGGAGAGGGAAGGAAGCGAGGGAGAATGTCGAAAGATGTCGCAAGGTCGCAAAGCTGAGTAGTCCAGTCGATAGAGGGGCGCGAAAGGAACGGCACAGAGGCAGGCCTCGCTCAGTCAGAGCGGCGCAATAAGCCTGCCTCGCGCTTGTAGTTGCGCAGCTCGCGTAGCCGCTGCTTCAACTCGTTGCGGGCGACGACGGCGTATAGGATCGCGTCGTGAAGGTCCGCCGCTGCCAAGTCGGCCGCAAGGACGACAGCGCGACATCGGATGAGCCCGATGATTGCGGCGCTAACGTCTACCGCCGCAAGGTGAGGGTCGAGGATGGCGGCCAATGACGCTGCGAGGAAGCAGATGCCGTGCGGTTCGACCGTTGGGTCCAGGGCGAAGTACGAGGCCGGCTGTGTGTGCTTGAAAAGCGCGAACACAACAACTTCCCAGATTGGCCAGCTGAAGGTGCTGCCGATGAAGATCCTGCGGGCGAGGCAAACGACGAGCGACAGCAGGATGAGCGCCGCCGTGGCTTTCGCGCGACTGATTGGGTAGCCGCAGAGCCGCTTCGGCAATGCGACGATCCGCCAGCGCTCCTCAAGCAGATTCTGCGCTTCGAGGACCAGGCTGTGCAGCATCAGTCCCCACCCGTCTCGCAGACCTAAGCCCGGCGGAGGGCTGCCGGACAAGGGTCCGCGTTGTATGCGATACCGCAAGAGCGAGTATGCTTGCGCGAGATCGTTTTGCGACGAATGAAGAAAGTCCCTCCATGCAGACGCCACGAGGTCGAGCGTCTCGAAGGCGTTCGAGAGCTCCGCAGGATGGTCGAAGTTGATGCCGGCGCCTCCAGCCTTCATGACATCGGCGAAATCTCCAAGTCGCTCCAAAAAGAGCTCTTCGGCAGTTTCGGACGAGAGCGAGCACTGGAAGAGGCGGAAAATGTGAAAGTCGAGTTCCGAGTCGAGTTTACTGCATGGGCGAGACGTCAGTCCCGGTGCGTTTGTGACCAGCAGCCTCTACGTACGCAAGTACGTGCTCAAGCTTCGGGCTCGTCAGAAGGAACGCAAAACGCTTTCTCCTCCAGACGAACTGAAGACGGCGCAACTTGGATGTGCTCCGGATCTGGAGAGCGCGCAGGTAGTTCAGGCGGTCTGTGGGTGTTAAATCAGCGTTCGGACATTGCCTTAAGCCGTATCACACGCCGACGCACCTTTGAGAGCGATCCTCAACTTCATCTCCTTGCGAGCCGTCCACGATGGCAACCACTGCACGTTCGAGTGGACGGGATCGACCCAGGACCAGACAGCTCCGAAGCTGCTCGTGACGGCGACCGTTAACGAGTAAAGCCAGACACGCCTTTGGCCCGTGGCAAGGATGTGGTCCCAGTAAGCGATCAACCAGGCGAACAGGACCAGCAGCTGCAGCGGGTCGTCAGTGACAAGGCGTGGAACCAGCTCAGCCAGTAGAGCCTGCATAGCTGCGCGCTTGAGCCACTTCAGTAGCAGCGAGTGAGCGAAGGAGGTCAAGAGGCGGGACGAGGGAAAGCGATTGGGCATTCTCCTCACTGGGCTATTGAGCGTAAGCGACGTGATTGCAAGAGTACACAACACTGCTAGAATGCGCCGAGATAGAGAATATACGAAGGGAGCGGAAGAAGGAGCGACTTGGGCGCTGAAGACGGGGAAGAAACGACAAGAAATCGCGAGCGAAGGAAAGACGAAGTGTTGTGTGTGTCGGAAAGCGAGTCTAGAAATGCGCGGAGAGGAGAAGAAGGTGCCTCAGTCATCGAGGCTGCCGTCCTCATCTTCGTCCTCGTCGACCGTCGTCTTGCCGGGGCTCTGGCTCTCCCGCCCCGGCGTACCCGTCACCTCGCTCCCCTCCTCCTCGTTCGACTCGAGGTCGCTCGCAGGCATCCCGTTCCTGCGGCCGATGACGCCCTCCAGCCCAACGCGAGCCGTAACCGGCGTCTTCATCGCCTCGATCCGTTCGCGCTCGCGCGCCGCAACGACCATCAGCTCCTCCTCGGCCGAAATCTCCCTCGCGCGAGAGTGGCGACCACCGAGACCGGCGACAGCTGCGAGAGCGCCGCCTGCGTGCGGACCGAGGCCCCCTCGCGCGGGAGTCTCGCCGCCGGCGCCGGTGTAGAGGACGCCTGGACCTGGCGCGGCGGTCAGACCGAGCGTCTTGGAGAACTGCGGATGGGCGGGCGACGAGAAGAGAAAGCTGGAGAAGGCGCCCGGAGGGGAAGAGGTGCGGGAGACCGCATCGACGGCGGCGTTCGTGGCGGTGGTTGGGATGGCGGCAGATGCACCGGCGACGAGGAACGGGTCGTGAGGGTGCGTCGCGTGTCGCGAGATGGCGTCGGCGGAGGACGAGGTGCGCATGGCGGTCGAGCTGCCGACCGGCGCGGGCGTCGCAAGGTGCGAGACGACCGAAGACGACGATCCCGGATGCGGCTGCATCGCAGCATCGAGTTCGCGGAGCGGGTCGTGATGGTGGTGCGTGCGGGGAATCGAAGCGGACGAAGGCGGCTCGAGGTCAAAGTCGCCCAGTTCGGAGGTAAGGCCGACAGGGTGGTGGTGGTGAAGCGGTCGAGGCTGGGACGAGCTGCTCGCCGCTCCTCCACCACTGCTGCTCGACCCTGCCCCACCTCCTCTCCGCCTCCCGCCCTTCTGGCTACTCGGACTGATACTCCTCCCTCTCCTCGGCCTCCTCCCACCGCCACTCGAACTCGTAAACGCATCCTCCGCCTCATCCTCCTCACCCACAATCAAATCACCCTCGCTATCCGCCCCGACCGCCGCACCCGCCGCTCCAAACCTGACAACAGGCGAACTCTCCATCGCGATACGCATCATGTTGCCCGGCGTCGGGGTCGCAACGAGACTCATCTCGTGTCCCCACCCGCGCGAACCCGGGCCCGGGCCCGCAGCGGACGAAGGGAGAGTCGTAGCGTACGCATGGGCCTTCTTGGCCGTCGCGAGGAGCGCATGGGCGGCGGCTGTCGAGCCTTCGCCGGACGAGGTACTGTTGAGGTTTGGCGCGGGCGACTCGGACCGACCCCGCTTGCGAGGGGAGATGGCGGCTGTTGCTGCTGCGGCGGCGGCTGCTGCTGCAGCAGCGGCAGTCGAATGGTGCAACGCCGCACGCCAAGGCGAGGCGGTCCCACTCGCGCTCTGCGCCCTCGAGCGCAACATCAACGCCTGTACCTCCCTCTCGTCCTCCTCGTCGCTCTCCTCCTCGCGCTCGTCTTCGCTGCCCGTCCCGCGTCGCCGGCCAGACTCGGTCCCCCTCACGCTCGAGACCGGACTCTGGACGTGCGAAGGGCCCATCGGACTACTCGGTCCCGCCTTGAGAGCGAGCAAGATGCCCGCCGCGTCTTCCCTGTGCGCAGCAGGCTGCCTCGCATGGATCGGCTCCTTGCCCTTCCCGTTCGTCCCAGTCCGACGCAACTTGACTGGACTTTCGAGCCCGTTCGTCAACGCCTCGGTCTTTTCCCGCGGCGCAGGGATGCCCGCTGCGATACCCGACACGCCACCGTTCAAGTTCGTGGTCAACAACCTCGCTGGGGACTGACGGCGCGCGAAGTAGGGTAAGGCGACTGGCGCAGGTTGGCCGGCTGTGATGACGTGCGGCTGGGAGTTGGGTCGTCTCGGCTGCGCGGCAGAGAGGAGCGAAGGGTTCAATCGACGATGCGGGTCGTCCAAATCCTCCGCCTCGTCTTCCTCTTCGTCAACCCCCCGCGGGTGATGCAAGATCGGATACCCGGAAGCCGGATGAGGCTGTTCCTGCGCGACGAGCTGCGACTGAAACGGCTGGGAATACGGGTTGGTCGCGGCGGAAGTCGAGGCGCCTTGTTGGTAGAGAAGGTGGGCGCTGGCGGACCCGCCGTAGTGTTGCGGAAGGTGGAGGGCTTCGGTCGCGCCGTCGACGACGTCCGGTGATGGGTAGCCCGGTGGCATGCTCGAAGTCGAGCGGAGAGGAGGGCGAGAGGCGAGGTAGGGATCGATGAGGCCCGAGCCGGGGACGGGAACCGCAGACTTGGTCGGCGTGCGGCCGTAGATACTTGGGCCTGCCGTAGTCGGATAGAACGGGTTCGAGGCGACGGCGTAGGGATGGTGTTGCTGCTGATGGTGGTGGAAGACAGGTACGCTTCCCCCCCTGACGCCCTCAGCCCACTCGCCGCTCATCTCAAAGCTCGAATCCGCCTCGTCCGGTCCGTCCTCCTCCTCTCCCTCACTCGCCGGCGTCCCAACCGACCCGCCATTCAAGCTCCCCTCGGCAGCGGAAGGGACACTGAAGATCCCTGACTCGGCTTTGGGCTTGACGTCGCCCCCGCCGGCACGGTGCTTGCGCGCCCAGCGACGCTTCGAGTCGAGTGTTCGCGCGCGCTTCTCTTCTTCGGATTTCGGGCGGTTGGCGTCTGCGCGAGCGCGAGCGAGATTGGAGTCAGCATGGCGTTCGGCATGCGAAGGTTCCGCTTGAAGAGTCCTCGCTCTTCTCCCGATCCCGCCAGACCGCCCTACGCGTCCAGTCTGCCTCATATCGTCTCGACGGCACCCTCTACAGCGCATCCTCCGCCCGCCAAACAATCCACCTCGCGACTCGACGCGTCCCCTCTCAAGAGCCCAAACCCAGGACTCACCATTATCCCACCTCGTCCGTCTCGGCTGCGCACTCAGCGGAATCCCATGTTTATCCTGCAAGTGCCTCCTCCAGATACTCCTCGCGTGTTTGCCCCTATACTTCTTGTCGCAATGGGGGCACTCAAAGTCGATGTCTGCGTTTGAGGCGGGACCGGCGGGGTTGAGGGTGTAGGATGGAGCGAGGAAGGAGGAGGGAGGCTCGGTGGAGGAGGCTTTGGAGGAGGGGGCGCGAGGGGTGGGAGTGGGCTTTGAGGAGGAGGCGGTTGAGGAGGAGGCCTTCTTCGGTTTGGAAGGGGCGGGCGCGGGCTTGGTAGACGACGAGGGGGCGGCTGTGTGCGGTGAAGGGACGTTGGGAGAAGCCGGAGCGAGCGGTTGGCGGAACAAGGAGGGAGAAACACCCGTGTTGCCGGCGGAATGCGAGGACGGGAGGTAGTGGTAGTCGATCGAGTGGACGGGCGCGGCGTGGTAGGCGTACAGTGTGCGTTGAGCGTGTGCGTGCGGCGGCGGAGGAGGCGGAGGCATCGCAGACGCGGGGACGATGAGTGCGGAGAGGGGTTGTTTACCGCGGGAAGAGCGAGGCGGGGGGAGAGTCGCGAGCGGTGGGAGTGGTACAGGCGAGTTTGTGGGTGTACAGCGGTGTCGTACACGATCAAGAAGCGAGGATCAGAGCGAGGGAAGCGAAGAGAGCGAGGTCGACCGTCGGTGAGAGGCGCAGGTCGCGAGACGGCGACGAGAGGACGGCGGAGTGAGCGAACGACGGCGCGCGGGCGAGCGGAGTTGGGTCGAGCATGTTGAGACGAGTGTCAGCGTTCACACTGCGACGCGACTGGCCCTCCCAGTGCGCTGCGAGGCGAGGGAAGGGAGCGGGTACGCACGGTCGAAGTCGTCGTCGTCGCCGTCGAGCTGCCTCGCGCGCTGCGACTTTTTGCGAGTGCGGCCGGATGACCTGCTCGCTGGCGTGCTCGCTGGCATCGCACGCGGTCACTCTGGCGGGTGTCGAGAGCTGGGCGAGTGCGAGGGTCGGGGACGAGAGCGAGAGGCTGGCTCAGCGAGGCGTCCACCACTCGCGATCCGCTGGTTGGGCTGTTCGAGGTGTGCTATGCATTGCTACACTCGCTGGAATCGACTCTACCCAGTCCAACTCCCGCCGCACGCCGTCACTCGCTCGTCTCGCTCGCTCGCTCGACTTGGATCAACTTTCGCTCAACATCGCCCGCACACCGCTCACACGGGGTCCGAGGGCGTGGGACTGCTTTGGCGGGACTTGTGAGATGACTTAGAGACTGGCGCACTGGTCGGCGAGGCGCGGGAGGGACGAGGTCAGCTGGGAGGGTCACGCTTGGGCAGCGGACGAGGTTGAGCGACTCGCATCGCGGCACAGCAGCAGCTCGAGGGGGCGTGTGAGCTGTAGTGAGGGGTTCGGGGAGTGCAGGAGAGCGTCTGGGACGCTGGTTTCGTCTTCTTCGGAGGAGACAGACGGCGAGAGAGTCCCGCTGCCCCTCGTCCCGCTCGTTCGCTTCCTCCCGCTCACCCGATCCAGCTGAAAACAGGCGCAGACAACGCTTGCCATGTCCTACTCCTCCAACCCCGTCCGCTTGATCACCGACGACCCGCTCCGCCTCCTCCCGCTCTTCGCGTGCCTCTTCGCAGCCTGGGACAACCACCTCGCGCTCGACTCGCCGCGCAAGACCTTGTTCTGGACCACGCTTGCCCTTCTGCTCAACTGGTACAACTTGTGGAACTATGTCGACCCTCTGAACGTCTTGTTACAGCGACCCGTGCCGTGGCTTTCGAGGGAGGAGATGAAGCTGAGGCTCGCACTGAGAGGTGCGTGGGGCGGAGTTGTCGCACGCGGGTAGTCGGCAAACAGGCTGACTCGACTCGTACAGCCCGCCTGGACCGCCTGCGCGCCCTGCCAAGACGCTGCATCACCCACCTGCGCATACGCCGGTTCATCTGGACAACCAAACTGGTCGCATCTCTCCCGATGCGCCCGGAGCTCACGCAAGAAGTCGTGTATGGACAGCCCGTTGCCACTGAGCTTGCTGCCGTTGACGTTCTGAATTCTACAGCGATCTCGACTCGATCCTAAACTTTCACGTCCTGCGCCTCTTTGAGCGTTCATCCCCCTTCGAAAGCGCCAAGCGCCTCTACCTGTCAGAGCTCACTGCCTTCTCACGCTCCCTCGCGCGCTTCCCCACCCACTTCGTCGAAGACTCGCAGAGGTTCGCGTCGCTCGAATCGGTCGAAAACGCATGGCTAGGGTTCATCCACTCTTCACGTGACGAACCCGCACAAGCGTACTCTGTTCTACGTTACCGGATTCACCTCGGACCCTCGACCGCTGCTCCCCCCGCAGGACAGGGATTATCTTTGCGCAACGGATGGGCCATGATGCAGCACCAACTGCTCCTCAATGCAGTGGATCACCTCGAGCAGCAGTGGCAGCTCGTCCCGCTCCCTCTGCACCTCTCCCACCTCCGCTTCCGAATCACCCGCTGGCGCGCTACTTGTGCGCTCGTCTTCCTCTCCCTCGCCCTCTGCGTCGCACGCAGAACCCTCATCGGAGAAGGCTACTACTGGCCAATCTGGGAGACCCTGCTCTTCCTTCTCTTCAAGCGTCCCCAACCCGCGCCAGACCTCAACCTCGACTCGACCGTCCAGTTGAAAGGCGATCACTTCTTCGAAACTGCCACGACAGCGATCCTCGATCCTCGACTCGCTCAAGTCGATGTCGGCAACGCAGCGATCCGGTTCATCCGATGGCGCGCAGCGAGCGTGATGATGTGCGAGGCGGAAACGGAACTTCATGAGGAGATCCTTGAGGCGGTCCTTTTGCGTGACGAGTTGAAGCGGTATAGGCGAGAGCTTGGCTTGTTGCGCCGCTTGAGGTGAACGAGGGCTCTGCGCTCTCTCTCTCTCGCGGGTACAGTACTGCGCCTCTCGGAATCGAGGCGTAGGCTGGCTCCTCACTCTTGCGACTTCTCCCGCTGTGCCTCCTCATTGTCACAATGCCCGTCCTCTGTAACGCGTTGAGCTATGTCAGCCTAAAAATGAGGAGCGCGACGAGCGGTAGCGGAAGCGAAAGCGAGTGCAAGAAGAGAAAGGAGAGGTGCGACTGAGAACTGCGTGTTCCGACCAAGAGTGCTGAACTCTTTGAAGGCGTACAGGACATGCGTTTCAGATTTCTGTAACTACGAGCGAAGCCAGCGACCCCTCATCCGCCTGTTCCGACTTGACGATGGGTCCGTTCAATCCGAGTCCCAGCTATACCTGTATTCCCTCTCGTCGTAGGATGCCCAGTCGTTGTAGTAGGCCTCACGGTCCGTCCAACGCCCGTCCGAATCCTCGTCGTACTCCTCCGAATCTTCCTCCTCGTCCGAATCCTCCTCGTCCGGCAAGCCCTCCGCAATCGTCCAGAGCGTTCCGTCATCGCTCTTGGGCATGTCCGCAATCCTGGACGACCCGCGGTTCTCGCTAATGAGCGGTCTCTCGTCCTCCATGTCCGGATCGTCGAGGCAGCGCAGGAAGACCTTCGACATCCCGATCGTCTCCCAGTCGCTGTAGTAGTGCACCGAGACGTCGAACTCGATGCAGATGTTGAGGAGAGTCTTGATGGCTGCTTCGATCCACGGCTTGACCAAGCAACGCGTGCGGACGGTTTTGGGCAGGAAGACTGCCGAGAGGAAGTCGACGGCAATCATGTCGCTGATGCGGTAGATCATCTTGGCGAAGTAGCGAGATTCTGCCTCAAGAACCGACGACGGGATCTTCAACTGGAGGTACTCGGGGGGCTCCTTCGTTTCGTCCCATTCGAAGGTCTCCCTTCCTGCCGACCAGACGAGGAGGATCGCGGTCTCTTCGCCGAAAGGTCCGTCGGGATGGACAAAAGAGTCGGGCAGCATGTCTCCGTACTGCGGCTCGAGCTGGACGGCTTTGAGGCGGCGAAGATCCACATCGTAAGAGGGAAGGTAGTACGCGGGCAGGACCTCGTTCGCGTCCTCCGTGTCCATTAAGTCGGCCAATACGAGTTGTCGTAGCGAGGGGGTGCATTGCTCGAGCAGGAGATTGCGGAAATTCTCTCGCCAGGCGCGAACGCGGACGAGGGAAAGGGTTTCGAGGTTGGGAAGGTGAAGGGTAGGCGGCATGTCGGAGAGTACGTAGTTGTCGAGTGCGAGGGAGCGCAAAGCTGCATACTTCGAGCGTCAGCGCTCGTGATTGAAGGCCTTGAAAAGCTGCGAGGCAAGCCTTGACGCACCGGCGAAGGGAGCCCAAGCCTCCATCGACAGCCTTCCCCTCCCAAAGCCCCTCAAGACTACGCTGCCGACGCTTGGCATCGTCCAACGAATGAGCTGAGCCGGACGCTCATCCTTTTGCTGGCCGATAGGGTCGACTGGCCCGAGTCCCAAGAACTCCTCGACGTGCTTGAAGAGGGCCGGCGCATGGAGCTGTTTGAGCTGGCTGCTACTCGTGAGGCGCAAGTGAGACCACAAGACGGGCTGTACGACGTCCTGGAAGTCCTTGCAGACGAGGCAGAGCGGTGCGAGGCGGGCGTGGTAGGGCCACCAATCTTCGTCGAAGAAGTCGCGCTGGATGTAGGCGCGGACGATGTCGAGGACAAGTTCGAGTGGGAGAGTGGCTGGCATGGCTTAGCGGGCAGTCAGAGCGAGTGTGAGCAAGCGGGGCGAGGGGGAGGAGGACAAGGAGCGACGGTCGGGCCTCGTCGAGTCCCGGCAAGTCCGGCGAGTGAGAATGGCAGAGTATGAGATTCCAGGAGCGCTGTAGGGTCGCTTGCAGCCCGCGGAACCTGCTACTCGCGCGCTCGCAAGGCTTTCGTCGACTTGCGAAGGTCAAGCGGGACAAGGAGGAGGGGTAGCGCGCTCTCTCGTCAACAGCAGCGTCTTGAAGCGTTTGAACGAGCCTTACAAGCTCGTGCGCATCTTGCTGCAGCCTTGCAAGTCCATCGTCGCTTCGCATGCGCCCCTCGAGCCTCTCCCTGTCGAGGTAACGGCGGAACGGTTCCGAGATCGAGGCGTCCGTCTCCTCGTCGGCGTGGTACCATCCGACGTGCTCGACCTTGCACTCCTCAATGACTGCAAGGAGTCGATCGCGACTGGGTAGAAGGTCGGGCTCGAAACTCCTGCCAGACGAAGGACGGAGGTCCAGGGGAAGAAAGACCGCCTTGCGGCCTGCACCTCCTGCGATGGCCGTAGCAAGGCTGTCGAAGATGTTTCAGCGCTTGTTCGACTTGCGAGAACGCTTTGGACGCGGGATAGGCGAGGGAACGGATTGGAGCTGGATGAAGGGGAACTGGCTGTTCACTTCCGAACTCGAGGCGCCGAAAAAGTACTGGTATGGCTCGACGACGAGGAGAGTCGGCACAGTGATGCCGTACTGGATCAGGGACTCGCTCGGGATGGCCTTGGAGTCGTAGACGTTGACTTGGCAGAGCTCGAGGCGCTGGTTGAGCGCGGTGTCGGCCAAGCCTTCGTGGAGGCCGGGCCAAGGCAGCTGGAGCTGGTAGAATCCAAGGCGACGGAGATGAGGGGTCGTTGCGGGGTGCAAGATGTTCTTAAGGAGGTCGATGTCGGGGGCAGTCAGCACGAGTTCCTCGACAGCGATGGGCTCGACCGGGCGAGGGCGGGGCCAGTCGACGGGAGGGATGGTGAAAGAAAGGGTACGGAGAGCTGCAGAACACCGAACGTCAGCTCCAGACGGGCAATAGAGGCGAGGCGGAAGCACTCGGGAAGTTCTTGGCATTGAAGTTGCCAGCGAGTCTGAGGAGAAGAGGAGACGAAGGAGAACGTCTCCAGCGCAACACGCCTCGTCCTTGCCGCCTCAAGCAGTCAGTCCAGCCTCTAGGATGGACAGCGAGAGTAGGGCGAAGAGTTTGCATCCCCAGCGTTGCGAGTCTCCTCGGCAAAAGTCCCGCTCGTGCTCCTCCTCGTCCGACGCCTCCCCATGGCTCACAATGCGCTCCACCGCTGCATCCTAGTCATCAAGCCTATCCAGTTCGTCGTCCCATCCGCCGACGAGAGTAGGATAGCTGTAATCCCGCTCGGTCGTCACGAGTACCAGCATCTCCTCTTCGCTCGACTCGGACTCGATCCTTTCCTCCTCCTCTTCCGAGATGTCGCGTTCGAGATCGAGGTAGTCGGTTGCACGCCGTGAAGGCGGGACCATAGAAGGCTGGCGAGTCGTGCGGAGAGAGTCGAAGGAGGATGACAGGTCGTTTGCGAGAGGTCCGCTGCGATCACCTTGGTGCGAACCAATAGGACCGGGCGGAGCAGACGATAGTACCGCGTTGTAGTCCTCCCAGTCCTCCACGAGCTTCGCCATCTGCGCAAGAAGCTGCTCGTGGTACGCCGCGTCGTGCACCCGCTCGACGTGCGGCAACAACGCCGTTGTAAAGTCGCCTATGGCGTCTCGGTTGGCGTGGTAGAAGACGACAGGTGTGGCGTTGTCTTGACAAGCGAGGAGGAGCGAGAGGAGCGCTTGTCGCTCCGCCCGCTGGGTGAACAAGGTCGTGTCGGCCAATTCAGACGGAAGGAACATCGCCTTGGCTTGCTGTAGTGCGCCAGTATGCGTGAAGTACTGCACATGCCTGTCAATACCGGCAGTCGCGTGCGAGTTGGATTCATTGAAGATGTAGGCGGGCAGCTTGCCGAGCTGGAGGAAGTCGGGTTTGCGGCGCACCAGGTCGAGCGGCGAGCCGACCACGAGAGAATCTGGCGACCATGGGAAGCTCAGAAAGATCGCCTGGTCGAAAGGCAGGACCTGGTACATGGCAAAGGCATCGGAGTAGCCTTCGAGTTGTACCAGCCGGAGGCGGTCAAGAACCGGTGGATGGGGCGTGGATCCGGATTCTGCCGTGATGTCCAGATGGCTCAATGCGAGATGGCGGAGTTGAGCAGTGCATCCAGGGCGGAGGAGGTCGCAGATGGCAGCGAGTTGAGCGTCGCAGTGGGCGAGGGAGAGCGTCTCGAGTTGCGGGAGGGTAAGTCCGGCAGGGGTTGCTTCGAGGCGATAGTAGTGAAGGCTGAGATATCGGAAGTCTGCAGAATTATGTACGATTAGCAGGAGATCAGCCCGTGCAAGGGTAGACGCACTGTCGAAGAGCGCTAGATGTTCCAAAGCCATTCCTCGCGCCCCAAACGAGTCGAGCGAGATTGCCTGCAGTTTTGGCAGGTAGTACCGCAGGAAAGGCACTGCGTCGCCCTGGCGCGAATTCGCGCCGTAAAACTCGGGTCCTCCTCGTAACTCTTCGACGTGCTTGACGAGGTGACGGTTCCTGCCCTCCCTCCCGGCGACCTGGTGAAAGTGCTCTAGCCACTTGACCCGCAGTGTCCTCCACAACACAGGCTGCACCGCATCCCGGAACTCTTTGCAGACGAGGCAGAGTTGGGCGAGTCGCTGCTGATACGTCCGCCAGTCCTCGTCGTAAGCCTCGCGGTCGACGGCGTGGCGCACGATGTGGAGAACGATATCCAGCGGTACGCGTGTAAGCATGCTGAGCGTGGCCTCGGCGGATTCGGCGGTGGTGGACGAGCGAGACCTTTGACTTCATCGCTTGACCTCGTCCGCTCACCTCCCGCACGCGAAGACGGCTGCTACCAGCGCAGAAAGGACGCTAGAGCTGCCTCTGAGAACCGCACACGCTCGTCTGCCGCACTCTATCGTTGCCGGCGCCTCGCTACGGACCCTCTCTCGCTAGACGGAACCTCGACTGCGATGTGGCGAATGGTGGCAGACTGGGTGCTGCATCCCGTGCTGTTGGGATGGCTGTGTGTTTATCTCATCCTGCGCGACCCAGAACTCGAGCGACTGTGGAGGCTCAAGGACCACGTCGTCGAGTCGCTTCTCGGGGGTCACGAGCGTGAGTCTCCCTCGCCTTCCCACTCTTCTCGAGTACTGACCACACTAGCGACAGGTTTCTGGACTCCGAATGTGCGAGGCCAGCTGCTGTGGCGTGTGTTATGGATGCGACCTCGCACTCGGGCGCAACTCGCAGCAGCATGGCGCTTCCAGCGGCTCAACTGGGAACGAGAGTACGTGACATTCAGCTCTCATTGATACGCTCGTGCTAACGTTTCGTTGGCCAGCTTCCTCCTCGCTCGCGCATCGCAGGGCAGGACCAATATCGCCGCCTTGTCCACCGCTGCGCTTGCATTCCGGCGAGTCCTAAGGGATGCGCAGCACGCCCCAAGCTCGTGGAGTTACTTCGCGCGCGCCAAGGTCGCCCCGCTGACCGGCGACGTTGATGACCCGACCCTCCACGCGCTAATCAGCCTATGGCGGGACCTTAAGAGGCTCCCAACGCTCGATCTTGACCACCTTGACAGAGCCTTGGACCGTCGCTACCCTCTCCGTGACGAGCCACCATTCGTGTCTGGTTCCTACTGCTCTCAGGAGCAGCGCACCGACATCCTTGCCCGTCGCTTATTGCGGCGAACTCAACTCTGCATGCGTCGTGAGGTACAGCTCCGCCCCGCGCCCACTGCAAGGAACGAGGCGACTTGCTCACAGCTCGACAGCAGTCACGTCGACAGATATGTCGACCGCATCGTCCAGACCTTCCAAGACCTCGCGGCAGCCCCTTTTCCCAACAGTTGCTGGTTCGAAGACTTCATCCCCCGAGTCTACGAGTGGTACGACGCCGAAGGGGAGTGCGGACAACGCGAAGCAGCCTTGCACGACGCCATCGTCGCCGCCATCCTCCTTCACTATGGACTCGGGCGCAGGTCCGTCGAGTTACGCCACGCCTACTGCGCATTCTGGCGCCAGCGCCGCAACGACTCACAGCATATAGCAATTTCGTTGCGCCGCTCTTGTTGAGTGCGGCCTGCTCTCGAATGCTGTCTATCGCCCTCCGACTTGAGCCCTGGACGCTTTCCGCCTTTCGTTTCGTGCTTTCTTCTTTGTCCTGTCCTCCACTTCCACACCTTCACAAGCTTCGAACCCATGTCGCTCATCCAGGTGCATTTCGTCGACCTCGGATATCCGCGGAGTGCGACGTCCCTTGTTCTCCCTTCCCTCTCGCCTCTTCTCCTCCCGCTTCCTCTCCACCACCCATCATGCCCTCCTTCGCCGTCTCGCCCTACTTGGCGCCGTACGCCCCCTACCTCCGTCCACCAACCTACTACGCCCTCTGGACATTCTACTACCTCTCCTTCCTCCTCTCCCCGATACTCATCACAATCCTCCAGATGCTCACGCTCCTCCTCCCACTCATCGAACGCGCTGTCGAGGCGTATCGAAGGAAAGTTGAGGTCAGCGAGTGGGGGAGAGAGGAGTGGGCTTTTCCCGAAGGTCGAGGAGGAGGGGAGGAAAGCGAGTGGGTAAAGATGGTGAAGGGGTATGTGGATGTTAGGCCGGCGATGGAGGATGCGTGGGCAAAGGTGGTGGAGAAGTTGAGGGGGCTGAGTGCGTCTATGGGATGGGATACGAAGGTTCAGGCGGGAGGAGCGGGAGATGACGGCGCAGGTGCGTCTGCTCCGCTTCTTTTCCCGCCTCGAGCTAACCATAACGTATACCACAGCTACGCAACCTGTCGCCTCCCTCTCGATCGCTCATCGCCCGCCGTCAATTCGCTCCTGCATCCAACCTCCTCCCGCCGCACCCGCATCCGTCGCACCTTCCTCCCGCTCGACCGTCCGCTCAAACCCCTTTTCTCGTCCGCCTACCATCGTCAACGCTGCTTCTGTCGCTCCAGCCGCCTTTGTTCATTCCGGACGAGCACGTCTGACACGAGTAGCTTCGGTTGCTGGCAGTCAAGTTGGTTCGGCTCATGGCGAGCGGAGCGTCCGGTCGCGCAGTGTGTACAACACCTTCTCGCGTTCCTTTTGTCGTGACTGACCACGATACAACCCGCCGCACAGCCAATCCCTTCTCCGCGCACGGCGGCTCGCAAGTCTCGTACCGCCCCTCGCAGCACGGCTCGCTCCACAGCTGGCACGGCTCGATACACGGCGGCCCGGAGGAGTACGACGAGCAGTTCGAGGGCGAGATGGACCGCGGGAGCGTGTGAAGCGGAAAGGAGTGGAAGAAGGCGTGAAGTGCGGGACGAGGTCGACGCTGGGAGGGTCGGCGCCTCGCCTGGAGTCGTTTGAGAAGTTCTAGATGACGTGCAAGGCTGTAACAAGCTGTACGAAGGGCTTGTTGAGGAGAGCTGAGTTGCTCGTCGTCGGGCTGGATCGAAAGGTGTGAGCTTGACCAGCGACCCTCTCCTCTGCTCGCTATCACCCGCTGTAGAGCTTGTGTGACCGGCCAGAATGGTGCGTACAGCTCACTGGAACACGCACAAAGTTGCGCGCTGACTTTCCGTGCCCTCCTCACCGCGCCTGTTCCCTCGCCATCCTCATCACTCGTCGCCTCTCCAGCTCCGCCGACAAGCCCGCCAGCGCCGCGAGTTCCTCTACCAGAAGTCTCTCGAGCAGAAGGAGCAGCAGATATGGCAGCGCAAGCAGGCGGTCAAGGACTTGCTCGCCAAGGGCAAGCAGGTGCCGCGGGGTCACGGTGCGGGCGAGCGGGAGATGCGGATGGACGCGGCGCAAGATGGTGAGTCACGACATTCGGGCTGGGCGGTCAGTTGGAACGTGGCGGGATCATGATGGACCGGCGACTCCTTCGTTGCTCGCTCGAAGTGAAGGTTGTCCGACGCAGGACGGATGATGGAGGATTGGCTTGATCAGCGCACGCCTTGCAATAAGAGCTGACTCGCGTATAACCCCGTTCGCAGCCCCGCTCACCCACATCGACGACGAGTACGCGCAGGCCGGCATTGAGGATCCCCGAGTGCTCATCACAACCTCGCGCGACCCGTCTTCCAAACTCCAGCAGTTCGCAAAGGTACGTTGGGAGATAGATACAGTGAAAGCGCGGACAGCTGACGCCCGTTTGGCCTGCCCTTGCTTCTTCCTTTCGCCCTTGGACAGGAGCTCCGCCTTTGCATCCCTAACTCGACACGCATCAACCGCGGAAACTACGTCATGTCGGAACTTTCAGACGCCTGCCGCGCGAACCAGATGACCGACCTCATCGTCGTTCACGAGCACCGCGGCGTGCCCGACGCGCTCATGCTCTCGCACTTCCCGCACGGTCCGACGGTGTTATTCACGTTGACGGGAGTCGTGTTGCGGCATGACTTGGGCGGGTTGCAGGGGACGACGATCAGCGAGGCGTACCCTCAGTGCGTTCGCTTCACGACTTCAGCTTCTTCAGCCTCGAGCAGCGGTTGCTGATCTACTATGTCGCGGTGGTACAGTCTCATCTTCGAAGGTTTCGGCTCGAAGCTCGGCAAGCGGGTGCAGGATGTCCTCAAGTATATCTTCCCGGTGCCCAAGTTCGTCTCGCTTCGTTTCAACCTTTCTGCGCTTTCGCTAATCCCTACTTTCGCAGAGAGGACTCGAAGCGAACACTCGCATTCGTCAACGAAGGCGACTTCATCTCGTTCCGGCACCACGTCTTCGTCAAGACTTCTCACAAGGAGGTCCAGCTCGCCGAGGTCGGACCGCGGTTCGAGATGCGGCCTTACGAGATCCGGAACGGGACGATCGAGCAACAGGAGGCGGACGTCGAGTGGGTGCTGCGGCCGTACATGCGGACTGGGCGGAAGAGGAACCAGCTATAGATCCCTCTCCTCGTTTCTCCTTCTCTTGTTCTCGCTCGCATCTGCCGCATGTTTACTCTCTTCTCTCGTTGTTGTAACTCTAGCGCGGTTGGACACCAACATTGCACGTCGAGCGTTGGCTGTCCCTTCCTCTGCTTCTTCGCTGCGTTCGCTGGAAGTGAAACCGGTGGACTCGCTTCTTCCTCGGCTTCGGTGCGCCTGTATCTCGTCGAAGACTGCGCGAGCCTCGCTGGGCGGAAGAGCCGGCCGAAGGAGGCTCACGGCGTGAGCTTCGAGGACGACTCGAGGCAAGGTTGGCGAGATGCGGTTGTTGCGGCCTTTCGCGACTCAACAGGCAAGCATCCGGCCCCACGCTGAAGGTGCAGCCGCAAAGCGAGTGCGTGACATAATGGCAATGCAAGAATTGATGCAACGACACAACGAGCTATCACACGAGTGAGGGTATAGGAGCACAGATAAACATCGAGAGATCTCCGGAGAGAACAAGGGCGGCAAAGAACGGGGCACTAGGGTAAAGGTGATGCAAACGTGACGAGTAGAGGAAATCGTCTGGCATGACGAGGGTGAGCAAGAGAGCAGGAGACGGAGGAACAAGACAAAGGAGATGCGGTAACGATGGAGGCGGAAGAGCGTCGTGGAAGAAGGCAGAAGAGGGTGAAGGGTGGAGGAAGGATGAGAGCGGAAGGAGGACGAGGGGAGTGGCGAGGAGAAGGCGGAGGTTGAGGTAGGAATGATGGCGTTGTCTGCAAGGATAAGCGTGAGCTCCAGAGAGCCTGCTGAACCAAGGAGGGAAGAGAGGCAAACCAGTCAAGACACGCGATCGCCTCCTTCGAGTCCTCTCGGTAAGCGGGGAACACCCCATCTTGCCAAGCCTTGTGCCAGAACTCCCAGACTCGCCGCTCCTCGGCCTGGTGTTGCACAATCGTGCGCGGAGGAAGGCGGAGTTGGCCAGGCTGAGGAAGCGGGATGTTCGCCGCGGTGGACTCGACGCGGTCGAGTGTCTGAACTTCGCCGAGAAGCTCCGTCCTACGCTCCTTCGAGAGAACCGAAGCTTTGATGACGTCGCATAGGAGGTCTTGACGTCGCTTGCGGGACAAAGAGGACGGGAAGAATCGCTGGACGGAGGAGTTGAGCGTCGAGCCGGTGGTAGGCGGATGGCCGATCAAGTTTCGCACCGTGCGCGCATCGGGACGGAGGAAGTAGACAATGCTCGATGCGAGGGCAAGTAGCCAGGGAGGGAAGACGAGTCTGTCGAGCGGCTGACTGCGGAGGGCGTGCAAGAGATCACCAACTGCGGACCACTGGGACTGTCAGCGGCAGCGCATAACTCCGAGCAAGCAGACGAAAACGCACGCCTCTGTCCCTGCGGGATCATCAGTTTCTGGCTGTTCATCTTCTTCACGAGTTCTCCTTCAAGACCTGCGACAGCCACCTCGTCAGCTGCAGAGTCGGCAACACAAAAGCGTTGAGCAACGTACCGATTCGCCACAACTTATAGTTCTCTTGACGCGCGAGGATGTACTTGTCGGCAGCGTCGTCGACGAGCGAGCTCAAGTTCTGGTAGCCCATGAGAAGGAAGGGGATGAGGGCGATGAGTTCGCCGGCGTCGGCGCAAAATGGAGGCGAATCCTCCGGCTGAGGTGGCTCGTCTCCGAGAGTCGCGACGATGCAATTGTCGTGGAGGAATGCATGGCGGGTGTGCACGGTCCCAATGTACTGTTGGACGGTCTCTTCAAAGGAAGCCATGTCGCGAGCCTGACACGCGGTCTTGCATTGGTTGTACTCGGTCTCGGGGATGTGCAGAGAGTCGGCGAGAGGGAGGACCGAGGAGGAGGATGGCGAGGTACGGGCTGGGAAGATTGCGAGTTGGCGAAGAGGACGACGAGTCGCTGTCGAAGAGCTGGACTGGGCGCTGTACAAGGAAGGAGAGCGGGCGCAAGTCAGGACCTGGGCAAGAAGAGCGCTCGTGCTCATCATTACAAGCCTGGATTACCCGCCTCCCAAGTCCGCTCGCACTGCGACGAAAAAGCCCCCTCTTCGCTCATCCCTCCGCTCACAGCGCTGCGCAGGACCCGCTCCAGACGATGTCGCCTTATGCTGCCCACAGCCCGTCTCGCATGTAGCAAACAGCATCCCGCGTCGGCGTCGACTCTCCTGCTCCCGCCCCCGCCCCGAACCGGCCCTTCATCTGGCGACGCGGGTCAGGACGCACCTTGAGCTTGGCACTTCTGTCCTCTGTCTCTTCTTCTCGTTCGGGTCCGCCTGGTTCTCGTCTCCGCCGCCCGCGCGCCGCTTCGCTCCAGTCGCAACGCCGGGTCCACGAAGCGCGCGGGAGGTCGAGGGCGCAGACGGCCGGGGCGGTCGACGGTCCATGATGCGACGAGCGAGAAGTAGTCGACCTGTACCTGTTCAGCGGCGGCGTCGAGCGAGAGGAGAGGTGCAGAGGAGCAAGCGAGCGGAAGGTCCAGATGAAGCTGGGAAACGCTCTCTGCTCTCCGCATCGCACCGAACCGCGCTTTAAGCTTCCAGTAATCCCCGCACAGGCTCAAGGCGCGATTGACGATTCACCCAGGCTCACAAGCCGCCTCCGAGGGCGAGGGGTGTCGCTTCTCGCCGCCTGATTTCCTTCAGTGTGGGCAGGACGCTCGCTAAAGGAGGTCGACAGTCGGAAGAGGTCGATATTACTGTCCGCTCGATGCCCAAGCGGACGAAACTCTTCTCGAGCGACGCCGCCGCGCTGGATTCGGACTCGACTTCGCCTCCTCCTGTCCGGCTTCATGCCTCTGCTTCGCCTGAATCGCTCTGTTCCTGACGACCATTGCTTACATGGCGCTCCCTCATCGGCGGCACCGTCGCCAGAAAACCCTCTGCGGACGAGGGCGAATTGCAGGCCGCCGCCCCTTCGCAGAAATCGTCTTGCAATGCCACTGTCGTGCCGAAGGTGGAGGACAGCAATTGTGTACTGCGAGAGGCTCGAAGTGCATGAGAGGAGAGCCGCGAATGAAGTAGTATGACTTGTTGAAGGGAGGCAAGGGAGGGACAGCAGCGAAGGCGTGGAGGAAGGGTCGGCGGGCAAATCCGCTCCGCTTCAAGCGAATCGAGGCGAGCCGGAACGCAGTGGTGTCGATGGGAGAGCACCTCTCCAGGGAGAGATGTGCGCGTCGCAAGGAAAAAGGCCGCTCGATTCCCATTCTCTTGTGCTACTGCGCTTTCTCGTCCACCCCACCTGCCACCGGCGCCGTAGCTGCTCCATCCACACTCGCAACGACCGCCGTCCGTGCCGTAGTGGGACTTGCGGGGCTGGCGGCGGGTGATGAGGCGCGAGGGACGGCGGGTGAGGAGGTCGAGGGGCCGGAGGGAGCGGCCATGCGGCGGTCGAGCGCTTCGAGGGCGAGTTGCCTGTGCGCACAGCAAGCACGTCAGGGATCGCAGCATCGAAAGAGCGAGAGACCGCGGCAGCGACACTCGGGCGCACCTCCTCCGCTCTGCCTCAGCCCGCTGTCCACCCGGTACCTGCGTGTACCCTCCTCCTGCTCCCGCAACGCCCGACTCGATGTCTGCGCCCCAAGGCTGGAGGACCTTGAAGCGGACGGCGAGGTTGAAGAGGTGAGTCGTGCCAATCGTGATGTACTTCCTGCGAGCGAGAACGAGGAGGGTCAGTGATGTCTGCGAGGTCGTACGAGCTGAGTTGAGTGAAGGTGAAGGAGGGAGACGCACTGGGCAAAGGGCGGGAACCAGCTTGCGAACGCGAACGTCTCGCTGCGGTCTCCTCGGAAGTCGCCTCCCTCGTTGTACTTGATGAAGCGCAGATAGAACCACGAGACGAGCCAGCCGAATTGGACCTGTGCGTAGTACAGTTCCCGACAAGTATCAGTGTACGGCTCATGAAGCGAACTGAAGGAAGCCTCGAATCCTGACGCACAAGGATGTAAGGGCTCTGGTAACCGAGGACGCAGACGATGTTGGAGAAGGTGACGTAGAGCATCGGGAGCGACTTGACGCGCATCGTGAAGAGGCCGCCGAAGACTTGCACTTGGTGTTCGGGGATGAGCTGGGTGAAGGCGACGAGGAAGGCGACTTGGAGGGCGGAGAGGCCGTGGTAGGACATGCCGTACCTGCGACGGAAGTCGAATGTCAGCTCCTCGTCAACAAGCGGATTGAGGCGAGGCCTGGACGCACATGAACAGCGCCGAGTCCCCCAGAACGACGCTCTCGAGCACGTTGACGCCGACGGCAATGACGTTCGAGACGACCATCGTCACGAGAACGAACTTGACGAGCTCTTGTGCGCCCCATACTCGTTCGAGATACCGGGCGGCGAGCGGAAGGGTGAGGATGGAGATGAGGAACTGCGAGGAGGACCAGGGTCAGATTCGCCGAACGGTCCTGAACAGCGAGGCTCTCCGCTCCGTTGGTGGTAGAGCCGCGCACGTCAGAAAACGAAGCTGAACGCACCTCTGGAAAGTTGGTCTCGACGAACGCGGCGGTCAACAGCGTCCAGGGTGCCCAGATGACGTTTCCGGGGACGAGTACGAGCCAGGGAAAGGCGAGGCTGGCGTCTCCTGTCGCTCCAAAGATGCCCTTGAGGTCCCGCGGGTTGACCGAGAGGTGGACGAAGAAGTAGAGAACCGAGAGTCCGACGAGCGAGAGGGTGAGGTAGCGCGTTGCGGGCGGCAGCGAGACCGCTGTTGAGAGGATGGCGGGCATGAGTGAGGCTGTCGGAGCGGTCTGCGCGTGCTCCTGAAGTGTCTGGAGCGAGCGAGCGAGACGGTCGAGGACAACCCTTGCGAACGACGACGACGCGAGAGACTTGGTCCCGACGACATCCTTGACACCGCTGGTTGACTTGCTGCAAGCTGCGAGGCTTACAGCACGCTCTAGAGACTTTGCTACGCGACTTGTCCGACTCTCCCAGCTCTCCCTCACCCCGACCCGATTCTCATCACTCAAACGCCTCGACGTCGACACAGCACGCTGTAGCACCTGCCAGACTTCAAGCAGCCCTGCTAGCCTCTCAGCAACGCCTCTCGACCGCGACCGATGTCCGACACTCCCTCTGCCCCCGCCTTCACCTCCGGCGTTGCCTCTCGGTTCGTCTCCTCGAACGCGCTCGAGGAGGCCAAGAAGCGACGTGAGGCAGAGTGGAGAGAGGCGTATGCGCGGATAGGACAGGAGCCGCCGAAGCAGGAGGAGGAGGAGAAGTATGACCCGAGGAGCCTGTTTGAGCGGTTGCAGGAGAACAAGGTGCGTCGCCGTGTGCATACGTCGAGAATGTGCGCTTGTCTGGTCTACTCGACGAGCGCACATGGGTGTAATGCTTGAATTTGACGCGGTCTCTCTCTCTTGCAGACCAAGAAGCAGGAGGCTTTCGAGGAGCAGCTCAAGTTTAGTGCGTTTGCTCTCGCTATGCATCCTTTCAGTTCCTCGCAGTTTTATTCGGACGTCTGACGGCCTCGGCTCCTTCTCTTCGTCACCTTACCGGATCTGCATCGCTCAACCCCTCACCCCGCATCGCCTTCCCGCCAACAGAGAACCACTTCCGCGCCCTCGACGAAGACGAGATCTCCTTCCTCGACTCGATGGTCGAAGACGGGAACGAAGAGGAGAAAGAGCGGAAGAAGCAGATCGAGGAGGAGTTGAGGAGTTTCAGGCAGTGCGTCTCGTTTCTACCCCGTGAGGCTTCGGTCGCCGGTTGTCTTTGTCGGCATACGCAGCCTGCGGATCGATGGAGTAGGACAGATGCTAACAATGTGAGCTGCTCACAGGGCCGTCACGAAGCGCTCTACAGCGCCCGCCCCTCCAGCCATCGCCTCCTCCCTCTCGCCATCCCTCTCACCTTTACTCGCCTCCACCACCGCCTCAACATCCACCTCAACATCCGCAGCACCCGCATCTAAACCCCTCGCTCCTCCAGTCCCGAAGAAGACGGGCGCGGCGGGGAAGAAGAAGAGTTTACCTGGGGTTGTTGTGGCGAAGAAGAAGAAGGCTGCGCCTGCTCCCGCTCCCACGAAAGCGAACGTTGACGACGACACTAAGGAAGGGAAGGGGAAGACAAAGGAGGCGGTTGCTGTAGAGAAGCGACAAGCGGAGCGAGGAGAGCGGCAGGAGGAGAAGGACGGCGACGAGGACGGGGTGAAGCGGCGGAAACTCGAGGCGGACTCGGCTGCGTCGTCCTGACCGTTGTAGGCGTGCTTGCACGTGTTGTAATGCCTCGTATTCGCTGTTCTCGCAACCTTCACTGCATCACCTCCTGCTGTGCACCGCCTCGCACACCTTGACCGCTGTCCAAACTCGCTTCTCACGCTCGAGCTGGTCTGCAACAGCTTGCTACACTCGCTTCTACCCGCATAGACTGTCTGAACAAACCCCGCTACCTCCCACACTCTCGCTACACCTCCCGAGCGCGGACTCCTCCTCGACACCATCAACAAGTGCGCACAGCTCACCTGGCCGTACGAGAGCGTGGCTGACCTTCTTCGAACAGTGGCGCCGAAACGCATGCCCCGGCATATGGCCCCGAGGCGACTCGCCATCGTCGGACTGGGCAACTACACTCATCCCTTGACCCGGCATTCTGTGCGCTCGCTCGCTTTCCTAGGCTACAGACTCTCGCTAACTCGCTTCAATTGCGCAGATCGGCCAGATCCTCTTGCAGAACCTAGCAAAACGAGCCGCCGCCGACCCGCTGTTGAGGTCGGGTTCCTCGACGCTCAAATCCGCCCGCCACGGCATGCGGCACGCCTGGGTCGCCGAGATGGTCCTACACCCACGCCCGGACTCGGAGGACAACAAGCCTCTCGAACTGCGGTTCATCGTGCCCAAGTCGCCGATGAACTTGACGGGACGGACGGCGCTAGGGTTCTTCTGGCAGTGGTTGCCGACTATTGCGCGGAGTCAACCGAAACCGGGTTCGCCTGAGGCGCTCGCGTTGGCGGAGAAGGGCGAGCAGTGGTGGGATGCGGTGGAGGTGGACAAGGAGGTCAACATCGCGGCGGAGGAGCGGAGACTGGCGAAAGAAGAGGCGGAGCAGCCGAAGCGGGTCAAGTCGATGTACCGCCTCCTCACGCTGCAGGATAACCTCGACCTCTTTCCTTCAAAGTACCTCTACCAGCGCGGCGGCGGCAGCAAGGGCCACAACGGATTGCGGAACGTGATTGAGAAGTACCAGACGGAGCGGTTCCACCGGATCTGGGTCGGGATTGGGCGGCCAGAGCGAAGGGAGGACGTTGCGGAATGGGTGCTGGGACCGTTGACGCGGGACGAGGTCGAGGCGTGCGAGTACGACGAGGAGACGAAGCACGAGGGCGAGGTGTTGGCCAAGGCGTACAAGGAGATGATGCGGATAGGCTACGACGAGCCGGCATGACCCTGTACGACTACGTACACTGCAACGACTCGCACGCAACACCATTCCACGGCGATTTCGCAGACTTTGTCAACGTCGAGGAGTTTGCCGGTCCCGAGGCGAGGGTTGCCTTGCTCACCTTTGCACAACTCGCTCTCGTGGCTCTTGCTGCTGTGTGCGACTGCTTCTTTGCTCTGTACTGCACGGTATACACGCACAAGCATGGCCAGCCGCTCGCTCTTCAAGCAGCTCTCGAGGTCCGTCTACCTCGCGGAACCGGCTTCGAGACTCGCCAACGGGGCAGCAGATGCGGCGCGCAAAGGTCCACAGATGGTGCTGATACTGAGCTGGATGGATGTGCGTCCAAGCGGTAGCCCACGGAGCGGGTGTGAGAGAGGCTGACCCTCATTCGCCTTCTCATCGCAGGCGCAGCTGAAACACGTCGAAAAGTACGCCGAGACGTACATGAAGCTCGTGCGTGCTCTCGATGGTGTCACAGCTAGGCTAGCGTACTGATATCTTCGCCGGACAGTACCCCTCCTCGTCCATCCTCGTCGTCCGGTCAAACCAGCGCGACTTTTGGCAGACCGCTGCGTTCGCAAAGACGCTTTCTCCGGCTATCGACGTACTACGAAAAGAGGCGACGTACCCTGCCGGCCCGTCAAGCCGTCTCCTCGTGCACACCTTCAGCAACGGCGGCTGCCTGACCTTGAAGCAGCTGAACGAGCTCCTTCGCTCCTCTCCTTCCTCCGCAAACGGCTCAGCCGACTCCGAACCTCTCCTCAAGAAGTCCTCCACCGGCATACCCGCTCGAGCATTCGTCTTCGACTCCTGCCCCGGCTTGTCGACTCTGTCAAGCACAATGGCCGCCTTCACGGCGCCCATCAAGAGCGCGTTCTTGCGATACCCGGCAATGGCGGTCGTAGCAATGGTGTATGGCGTCTTGCGTTTATACGGAGTGTGCGCACCGTCGTTCCCCCGGCGAAACCTCAGCTCGAGGCTGACGCTCTCTCGCTCAACAGCATCTTCCGCAAGACCCCCGTCCTGCAACGCCTCTCCAACTACTTGAACTCCCCCGCGCTCCCCTCGGTCCCCCGTCTCTACCTCTACTCTCCCGCCGACCTACTAATCCGGCACACCGACGTCGAGAAACACGCTGCTCTCGCTCGCTCCGTCGTCGGGGTGCAAGACGTCCGACTAGAGAAGTTCGAGGGGACGGCTCATGTTGCGCATGCGAGGAAGGAGGGTGAGAGATATTGGAGTGCTGTGCAGCGGATTTGGGACGAGAGCGGGAAGCAGTAGAGTGGCGCTCGAGGGAGGGAATAGATACGAGGAAGGTCTAGGGAGGTAGAACGTTCTCGCGGAAGTATTTGTTGTTGTCGCCGACGATATTGCCTGTGAGTTGAGCGAGTCAGCGGACGGTCGCTTTGAGCTGTGCGAGGGAAGACGACGAACCGGCTGGATAGTACTGTCGTTTGCGTTTGGGGCAACGTCAGCAAAAACTCGGTGTAAGGACAGACGCTCAGACAGACCTCGCAAACCAAGAAACCCTGGGTATACCGCCAGAGTCAGCTTCCGCAGCAGTTGGAGGAGGAATAACGCTGACGCACGCCCAATTGTCCGCTTTGCATGATGCCGTTGCACTTGCCGTAGTAGCACCCGAGCTGAGTTGTCGCTTTCCAGATCGTCTGCGTGAACTGCGAAGCGCCAGCTGTTCAGCGGTGCTGCGAGTCGAGGAAAGGGGAAGCGGGACGAACGTGACCGGTATCGTGCGTAAAACCCGGGTTGTTGTAGTCGTACATCTTCTCCTCGTCGTTCCTGTTGCTAAAGGGGTGAGCAGGAGCGAGAAGCGGTCGAGCAGGAGACGTACCAAGATCCGATTCCGGGTTTTGGGTCCAGTTGAGCGTTCTGATCGACTGGGCCGACCATGAACAGGTTCTCGCCGTACTACACATATCCCCTCGTCAGCAAGGCCTCCAGGAGAGAGAGGTTGAGCTGCACGTACAGGTCCGACCTTGCCACCGCTGTGTTCCCAGACGCAATTCTTCGTCCACTTCTCCGCCGCCGCCGCAAGCGTATCGTTCCAAGTCAACGGATCCGCATGATGAGTCGCGCGGAAATCGTTGTGTGCTGCGAGACAGGCCGAAGCGAAGGGGTCGGTTGAGCCGCCGCTGGAGGAAGGCGAGGGGTTCGAGGCGGAGTTGGAGGAAGAGGGTCTTGCGTTGTTCCCGCCGCCGCTGTTGGTGGGACCGGGTTTGCCGCTTGCGCCGGTTGAACCTGCTGCGCCTGTCAGAGCCGGACGAGAAGGTCGCGAAGCAGGCGAGGAGGAGAAAGAAGCAGTTTGAGAATCCGTCGCGTCGTCAGTAGTGGACAAATCAAACTCTGTCAAGACGCGAGAGCTGTCAGCAAACGAGCGTAGAAGGAAAGACGTCAGACGAACCACCTTGAGGGCTGTCCGTCGAACCTCCGCCTCCTCCCCCTCCCGTTCCACCACCAGGCGGCGTCACTGTAACCGTGACAGGCTGTTGCGATTGTCCATCCGGTCGTTAATTCCTTGACCTGCGTATAAGGCAGAGCTTGACACACCGCTGCTCCACTACTTCCCGCCGCCGAACCCGCTTCTCCTCTAGTCTCCCGCAAAGCGAAGAAGAGCGCCAGCGCGATCGCCGCGATACAAGCGACCGCTAGCAGTATTACCAAGCTTGAATTCTGCCCACCGATATCGTCAGCTTCTTGGAAAAGACAGCTGAGAGGAAGAAGGACGAACCGAAGAGCCCTGTTGAATTGGTTGCGCTTCTCGTCTTCGCCGCCGTCGAGGCTTCTCCTCTTCGTCGCCGTCGCTCGACTCGTCACTCTCATCATTCCCATCAGACGTACTCGAATCGTCCTCATCCCCCCAGCGATGTTTGCCCTCCGAGTACAACGCCTCCTCTTGCGGCCGTAGCAAAGCTGAAGAAGCGGTGTTTGTGGAGCGTGAGCGAGGGCGAGAGGTCATACGAGCGATAGCATGAGGCAGGAGAGGAAGGAGGAGAGGAGCGAGATGGGCGGGGTCGGAGGATCCGCGGATCGTCCGGCGAAGGAGGGAGACGACCTCCGAGCGAGTCCTCGATGTTGAGGCAAGGCGAGAGAAGCTGCACATGCTCGAGAGATCGTTGAGTATACAGGCAGAAGGCGAGAGAACGCGAAGTGGTGTGGAGTCGTCGGACTGAACGCGGTCAAGCAGCGCACCGAAGCAAATCCAGCGACGACGCACCTCGCACGAAGCCCATCGTCTGCTGGACGCGCATATCATACCGTCTACCGCCTCTCTTTCTCGCCTGGCGAGCGAGCGAGTCTACAACTTCCCGTCCTTCGCCTCTCCCTCCTTCCCATCCGTCTCCCCTTTCTCTCCATCTTCCCCGACTCTTACCACCTTCCCATCCTCCTCCTGCCTCAAGCGGCCCTCCACGAACCCCGTCGCGTCCACCCACCCACTCTCTTCCCATCCTCTTCCTTCCCCCTCCGCCTTTCCTCGTGAGTAAGGGGTAGGCGTAGAAGAGGGCCAGTCAGGATCGAGGGCAGAGTCGTAGAGCGTCAAAGGGCCGGTGCAGGACGTGGAGGATGAGTCGGAGGAGTTGTCTATCAGACGGACGCTGCGAGTGGAAGGAGGTGTCAGATCTTCCTCATCCTCGATCGGACCTTTCATCCCCGTTCCGAGAAAAGCTCAAAGATCGGGAGAAGACGTCCGCGCAAGTGAACAGCAGGCTGAACTCACCGCCTGACCAATCCCGGCTTCGCCAACCTACTCACACACTCCGGACTCTTGATCCTGCTCTTCCTGATCGCGTCGGGGTTCGTCACTCGGCCTGTTGTTTTTGCGCGGCGGGCGGCGCGAGCGAGCATGGTTTCTAGGGGGGCGGACTGTGCGAGGCGAACGCAGTGAGCCGAGAGCACGGACCGAAGAGAGGAGGGAGACGAGGGGAGGGAGAGAGTGCGTGACGCACCACAAACAATATCTCGCAATCGTACCCCTTCTCCCTAAACCCCCTCATGAACCCCTCAAACCACTTGCAATCCGTCAAGCTCCCGTCAATCACGAGAGAGCGTTTCTGAGATTTGGCGACTGCGGCACAGATTTCTTGGAGGAGGGAGGCTTCGGGGTGCAGGAGGGATGAGGCGGTTGAGGCGGAGTGGGAGAGGTAGAGAGGTCGTTCGGGGAGGAGGCGGGAGAGGGCGTCGGGGTCGATCCTGTGCGTGACGAGCCGCAGCTGAAGCGTCAGTCTCGATACGAACGAGGTCTGCTGCCGAAGTTCGAGCGTAGCACGCACCAGACGGTGTTGGCGGGCAAGCGTATCCGGCCGGTCTTGAGCATCTCGCGGAGGGTGTGGCCCTTTCCCGCGCCCATTCCGCTGTTCGACGGAGCGCAACTGGATCAGTACTCGATGTCCCCAGACTTGAACCGAGCGCAACAAACGGGGAGCGCCACGACGTACCCAGCCGTGAACAATGCCAACGGTCTCCCTTCCTCTCCGTCCGCCCCCTTCCGCCCCATCTGCTCCTCCCTGACGCCATCAACCCTTCCCTCCCTCTCGCCCTCCTCGAACCCCTCTCTCCGCTCGCTAACCCTACAAGGCTCGTCGTCTCCCGCTTCGGAACACTCCCTCACCCTCGCCTCGAGAACCAACTTGACAATCTGGTCCTGGAGCGCCTGCCGCGCCTTGGTAGGCAAGACATGGTAGCTCCAGTCCAGGGATGCACGCTCGAGCGCATATGCGCCGTAGTGCTTCGGTCGAGGTTTCGAGTCGTCTGTCGGGTCTGGTTCGAGGTGTTCGACCCGTTCGGGGTCCGGTCGTCGCCCTTCCCGCAGTGCTCGCTCCTGCCCTCCTAGTTCCTCCCACGCCGCTTCCAACGCCGCACTGTAGACCTCGCTCGTCGGGACCTCCACCGCCTCGCCCAGAAAGTCGGGCGGTAACTTTGCATCGAGCGAGTCGGGACAAGTCGGTACGGGACCGGTGTATCGATTTGCGGAAGGTGACATGGACGGCGGCGAGGCAGAGGAGGTTGGGCGCGGGAGGAGCGAGGGTTTGAGGCCGAGTTGCGATGAGGAGAGGGAGAAGGAGCGGGCGAGGACGACGGGCGCTCGGAGGGTGAGCCGCGGCAGGCAGAGAGGGACAGCCAGCGTGACGCCTTGGGAACAGCACAGAGCAAGCAACGAGCACAGCGAACGAGCGCGGAGGAGGAGGACACCTTCGTCATGGAAGTGGAGGTAATCAATTGAATACAAACTCGGTTGTAATGAGTCGAATACAAAGCGGTTGTAATCGGTTGAATACAAAGTGGTTGTATTCCTTTGTCATTACCCGGGGGTTGACATCTCGCTCGCCTTCTCAGTCATCGCCACTCCTGACTGGCTCAACTAGACTCGCACTAGACTAACTGTGCCTTGTAGACGCTATACACGCATCCACGAACACACGCCAGCGCTGACGACGCCGTGCGGCTCCCTCGCCCGCCGCTTGCGATTCCTCGCGCTTCCTTCGCCACGCACGCCCTCGACCTCGCTCTTTGACCTTCAGAGGCACCTTTCCACCCTCACACACTCTCCTAGACACCGGCCTTTGCGTCCTCTGCAACCGCGACATCCCGCCATGTCCTCCTCGACTCCCGCTCCAGACGCGAATCCAGGCGGCGAACCCGTCTCGCTGTACATCTACGACCTGTCGAATGGGCTGGCGGCGATGTGGGGACAGGCATTGACGGGCAGACCGGTCGAGGGGATCTGGTGCGTTCGCGCTCTCGCTTCCATCGGTCGAGGTCCTTCCGCGTGAAGGGAAGAAAGCTGATGGGTGAAGGAGCCGCGAGCGCAGGCATACGTCGCTTGTCTTGTACGGCATGGAAGTCTTCTACGGACAGGGCATCTCGATCGTCTCGCCCCCTGGCACGACTCACGTTCGTCTCCTCCCCCGGTCCATATCGCTCTCCTTCGTTCGCTGATGAAAGTACTGCCCGCAGCACGGCGTTCCGAAGAAGGAGCTCCCCTGTGGCGTCACGCATCTCGACAAGGAGACCTTCCTCGAGTACATCGAGGGATTGAGGGAGACCTACACCGCTGACGCATACCACATACTCGAGTTCAACTGTGCGTGCGCGCGCTCCTCCTCTGTCTCTCTGCTCCATTACTCGCGGAAGAATCTGATAGCGGAATTCCCATGAGCACGCAGGCAACACCTTCACGAACGACGTCCTCTCCTTCCTCAACTCCTCCTCAATCCCCTCCTACATCCTCTCCCAACCCTCCGAAATCATGTCGACACCCTTCGGTGCCCAGATGCGCCCGATGATTGAACAGATGTTTGTTGGACGACGGACTGCGAGCGCGGGAAGGGCAGAGATTGGACGACTTACGAGCCAGCTTGGAGGGTTGCCGACTCCTGCGCCGACACCGCCAAGTGCGGAGTCGGTCGCGTCCAATCTACAAATCGTCACCTCTGCCTCATCCCTGCGCTCGACCATCGTCTCCTCCCCCTCGGTGATCGTCCTCTACACCCACCCCTCCTCCGCCTCATTGAACGCGACGAAAAAGACGTTCGAATCTCTCGCGCCCAAGTACGCACGCACAAAGTTTGTGCTCGTCGAGACGCACCTCGCGCACGGCGGGGCAGGCGAGTTCGCTGACCTCGGATTGAAGGAGAACGAGAAGGAGAAGGAGACGCTCGCCTTCTTCGCGCGCGGTCGATGCGTCAAATCCCTTCCCTCTCCGTCACCGTCAGACCTCGAGAACAAGATCGTCTGGCTCGAAGACCGTCTTTGGCCTTCGCACCCTCACGCGGCCGTCGGCCTCACACACCTCGACGCGCTCGTTTCCCGCGCTCGGAAGGGCGAAGGGATGGTCACCTGGAAGGGCATGCCGAAGAGGGAGGGGTTGGAAAGGAAATTGGTTGAGGAGGTTGTTGGAGCTGCGTTTGGCGAGGAGGGGAGGAGGGAGCAAGTGCGTGCGGTGATGCGGGATGCGGTTGGGAGGGTGTTCAAGGCGGTGCAGGGAGGGATGGGAGTCGAGCTGGATGAGCGAGTTTGGAGCGCGGCGATCGAGACGGTTGAGGCGCTCTCCGCGACGGAGAAGCTCGACGCAGCTCTCTTCCCGCTCATCGACCTCCTCCGCCTCGCTTTCTCTCTCCCCACCGCCAGCGTCTCTCCAGTCACTCTCGCATCCCTCCCCCGACTTCTCAACGCCCTCGCAGGCACGCTCGACACCCGCTCCTCCGCTCCTTCGTTCGAAACCGACCTCCTCACCTCCCTCAAACTGATCTCCAACCTCCTCTCCCCCTCCATCCAGTCACCTGCACTCACCGCTCGCATCCTGGCGCCAGACAGCCTCCCCTCCCTCACTCGACTAATCCTACACGCACTCCTCTCCCCTCCCTCGCCAGGCGCATCGAAACTCCCACTCGTCGCCGCGCAAACGGCCTTCAGTCTCGTCGCGCGCGTAGGTGAGGAGAGGATGTATGAGGAGGATGTGGGCGGGGACGAGTGGGAAGTTGAGGTGGCGAGTGCGGTTGTTGAGGCGTTGGGAGGTGCGGAAGATGGGGAGATCCGTGAGTCGATCTCTGCTCGCGTGCTCGGTGCTTTCTCTCGCCGGAGAAGCTGTACTGATGCACCGTGTTCATGCCGGCTCGCAGTCCACCACCTCACCAACTCACTCGGAACCCTCCTCTTCCTTTCTCCGCACTTCTCCTCCGTCCAGTCTTTGCTCGAGGTGCTAGAGACGGAGGCGGTGCTTGCGCGGGTAGAGGAGCGGCTGGCGAAGGAGGAGAGGAACTTGGTTGGGGAGGTGAGGAGGTTGGTTAAGAGTGGAGGAGACGAGTAGAGCGCGGATGGAGGAGCGGACGCAGAAGGTTCGGGGTGGACTCGTGTGTTGATGTACTTTCTCGCTTTGCAAAGCTTCGTACCGCATCGACTCGACTCCATCTCTCGTTCGAGCTGGTGAGGAGCGCGAAGACTGCCAGAGTCGCGCGTTGCATGAGGTATCGCTTCTATCCGGGTATGGTCCGTGTCTTCTTTCTCTCTTGTCGTACGCCGTGCGATCTACTTGCTCTCGTCGAGCGACAAGCCAGCCTCGAAGAAAGCGTCTTCGAGCCGGTCGAGGACGAATCGCGCGGCTTGGTCTTCGTCGCCCGCACCTGAGGAGAAGCCGTCGAGGATCTGCGCAACGTGAGAGCTGTCAGCACTCGTGCAGCGGGTCAAGAGAGGAAAAGGAAAGCGACCCACCGCCTGTCCAAGCCACAACTCCATCTCCATCCCCTCGCTCCTCTCCACCGATCCCCTCACAACCTCCTCCGCAACCTTCATCTGCTCCGCCATGCCACTCTCGACTTTGTCGTCGACTTGGCGGGACATCTCGGCTGCGCCGTCGGCGTCGGAAATGATTGTGGGCTGGAGGAGGGGGTCGTCCCCGTTCTGCGCTTCTTCGCCCGCTTCCCTTTCCGCTCCTTGCTCGCCGTCAACACCCCCTTGTCCCTCTCTCTCGTGACTCGGTACAACTCCAGCCATCCAACTAGCCTTGACTTTGAACGCCTCAGCCCTCCAACGATCCCGCATCTCCCCCCTCAATTGTTCGACCTGTCTCCGCGTCTCCTTGTCGACCTTGTGCGTGAGGAGGGTGGAGGAGAGGGTCGTGAGGCGCGGTACGAGGGGTGAAGTGGGGAGGTGGGTCGTAAGGAGATGAGCGATGGGAGAGGACGAGGAGGGCATGGTGGACAGGGCGGGGGCGTCGGGAGTAGCCGAGATGGACATCGTAGCAGTCTTTGAGCAAGAGAGGCTGTTTCAGTGCGACGTGGCGAGGCGGAGGAGCAAGAGTCGTTGAGGGACGAGGACGAGGAGGTGAAGTGCGCTTCAACTCGCTTCGTGGGCGTAGCTGACTGCACGAGAGCAGTTCAAAGCATGTGATCAGACTGCGGGCAACCAGCCAAGCTCGACCATGCGATGTAGGAACGCGTCTCCTCTCCCTCGAGCAAAGCGACGCCGAAAGTACGCAATAAGATGCCCAGATAATTTACAGACCCCTTCTACCCTTCACAGGCCCTACGCCACCCACCCATACATCCTCCAAGCCCATCCCATCCTGCCCTTCTCCCTCTCCGCGCGGGCAAGATCATCCACCTCGTCGTCCTCCGTCTGGACGTATCGGCCCGAGTCGAGGTCGATTTGTGAGAGCGAGGGCGTGCGGACGCCTTTGAGGAGGCGCCAGAAGAGGTAGAGGCCGGCGAAGATGGGGAGCTCGACTGCGCGCAGGCCAGGGTGAGCGGCGAGTCTCGTGCAGAGCGAGCACGGGAGGGACGCACTGTAGTTGGCCACGAAATCCACCCCGCTGAACGTTCCTCGGAAGACCGTCCAGCCCTGGACGAGGATGATAAAAGTCGTCGCGCCGATGATCACGAGTCCGCCGTAGATGCCAAGCGGGTTCGGGTACCGCAGCTGCTCCGCCGTCCGGCCTTGCTTCTTCCAGGCGAGGCGGAAGCGGAAGGAGGCGACGCCGATGCAGAGCCAGGCGATTTGATTCGAGACCTGCGTGCAACCGGTGTCAGCGACGAACGACAAGAGAGAGGGAGAGCACGCAACTCACGCCAACCAGGTTCTGTGCCCAAGTCCAGATCTGCCCCGCTCCACCAGGCAAGAAGCTCGCGCCGAAGAAGAGAAGCGAGACGCTCGAGATGGCGAGGACCGAAACCCAGGGTACGCCTTGCGCGTTCGTGCGGCGGAAGATGGAGGGTGCCTGCCGGATCACGGCGAGGCCGTATAGGACGCGCGCACCCGCGAACATGGCGTGGTTGCCGGCGGAGAGGACGGAGGTGAGGATCACTGCGAGAGCAGCGGAAGGTCAGCTTGGATCCGAGAAGCGGACGAGAAGAAGGCGAGCGCACCTGCATTCATGAAGCTACCGCCGGCCTCTGTAGGAATGTGGGAGACTGCATCAGTTCTCGCTCAGGCTGGAGGAGAAGTAAGAACGCACTCGACCCGGCCTGCTGGAACACAAGCGTAAACGGCGACGTCGCGGTCGACTTGATGGACAAGTTGGGGTAGTCGTAGGGCACGTTGAAGCCGATGATGATGACGGTCGAGATGTAGAAGATGAGGATGCGCCAGAAGACGCTCCGGGTCACGCGAGGGATGTTGCGGATCGGGTTCTTCGTCTCGCCTGCGGTGACGCCGAGTCTGCGCATGGTGAGCGTCAGTACCCGCATTGTGAGTAATCAAGTCGCGAAATGACGGGAAGGAAGGGCGAGGGAGAGAAGGCGAACAGTCGAAGAAATGAGGACTGAGGGAGGCGAAAGATGCGCAAGGTCGAAAGGCAGACTCACGACTCGGTGCCGCCATACGCGAAAGCCGCGCTCACAAAGAGCTTGGCGAAGCCTCCGAACCCGTCGACGAACGGCGCCGCCCCATGCGTCCAGTACTGCCCCCCGATGTATTTGTGCTCAGTGTTCCCGCCGGCGTTGACCGCGATGCCGAGAAAGAAGAAGATCACGACGCTGAGTACCTTGAGGATGGAGAGCCAGTACTCGAGTTCTCCGTAAAAGTGGACGGGCATGAGGTTGATTCCGAGGAGGAAGAAGAGGAAGAAGAGTGACGGGAGCCAGGTGAGGCGGTCCGTCCAGTACTCCATTAAGACTTGTGCGGCGGTCAAGTCGCCTGCGCAGGAGATGGCGTCGTTGAAGGCGTAGTTCCAGCCGATGGTGAACGAGAAGGCGTGGTCGACGAATCGGCCCGAGTATGTCGTGAACGACCCTGCCTGCGGGTACTCGGTCGCGATTTCGCCCAAGCAGAGCATGACGAGGTAGACGAGGGCGCCGACGATGGAGTAGTTGATCAGGAGCGACGCGGGTCCGCCTGTGTGAAGCGCTCGTCCGGTGCCGAGGAACAGGCCCTGCGCAAGAGCGACTGAGTCAGTTTGCGCGTGCACTAAAGCGACAGTTGAGCAAGCGTACGGTGCCGATTGTTCCACCCTGTGAGATGTCAATGTCGAATGTCAGCAAGGTCTGTGAATGCGAGCAGGACACAGACGCACGATGGCAATCATCGACACCTGCCTCGCCGACAAGTTCCTCTTCAGATGCTCTGGCGCCACCGCATCTCCACCACCAGTGACCTTGACCGGCTTCTGCTCCTCCGTCGGCAGCCCCTTCTCGACGTCGTCCTTGGTCGACAGCGGCGGCGACTGAGCCTTTTCCAAGTCTGGCAGCGTTGCCATGTCCAGTAGCAGGGTCTAGCGAGTGCAGGAGAAGGAGAAAGAGGAACACCGCGTGCCACTCGTTCGAAAAAAGTCTCCTGGATGGCGTGCGAGCGAAGGGGAATGGCTGAATCAGCTGAGACACTGATCAAGGCGAGCAGCGGGTCGAGCAAGGCGTGCTGGCGTCTACTATGGTCAGCCTGCGAGCGGCTCACACGCGGGCAGTCTCGTGGTCGAGTGGGCGAGGAGCGAGGAGGAGGAGGAGGAGGAGGAAGTAGGAAGTGGTCCTCTCCCTCGACCACCACCGCTTAACCCGCCGAGGCCACGCTGAGCATGCTCACACGCGTGCCGCTGGATATTGTGCACCTCGTGATCCGCCACGCCGTCGACCGCGACGCCTACGACGAGGACTGGCCGGCGTACCAGCGACGACTCGCCCAACTCTGCCTCGTCTGCTGCTTCTTTCGCGATGCTGTGCAGCCTGTGCTGTGGAAGACACTGCGCGTCAGAACCCTGGAGCAGTTTCACAAGGTCGCCGGGAGGGATGGGAGGAACCGGCACCTCCTCAAGCACGTCGAGGAGTTCCGAGGAGGACCCGAATTGATGGAGGAGCGCATGCACGATGCGGTGATCTACCTACGACACTATCTGCCGTCTCTTCAGGCACTCTCGCTGAACACGTTCGGGATGCCCGAGATGGGTCTTGGGCGGTTCCTACGCTCCGAAAGTGCGTTGCCTGCTCACGAGTTCTTCTTGAGGTGCGCAGCCAGCTGATTGTATCGTGCTGCAGACTTACGATCCCTGAGCCTCCACAACTACGACCGTCTTCACCCCATGCCGGCCGGCTCTATCCTTCCCAGCCTCGAGACACTCTCCCTGGCCCGGACCAACGCTCTTCTTTCGACGTTCTGCGACATCCTCCGTCCGGAATGTACACCTCGTCTACGACATCTCGCATTGACTCTCGTGAGCGCCGACGACACTTTCCGCCGTCTCCCTCCTCCCCCCGACCTCAGTCGCCTCCGGGTAGTTCAAGTCGAGGGCTGCTCCCGGGCTCCAAGCCTGTACCAGCTCATCAAGTTTGAGCAGGGAACTCTTGTGAGTTTCGCTTGGTCGACAACTTCGCGGGCAATCGGGCGAGCGCTCGACATCCTCGGCCGGAAACCCGACTTTCTTCACCTCAACAAGCTGCCCAAATACTCCGCCATTCGCCTTGCTCCGCCAGCCTACACTGAACTTGACGACCATGTCAAGTACTTCCTCCGCAACGGTATACTCAAGCAAGTCAAGGCGGTCTTCCTGCCGTCCGAACTCGTCAACACGGATCCATTCAACGATTCGACTTGGCGCGGAGGATTCCTCTCCCTTCTAAGTGCCTGCCGCGACAACAAGACTCCCATCATCCTCTACAACGCCGATCGCGACGTTGCGGGAGAGCTCTCAACGGCCTTGCTGCGGCATATCAGACGAATGGACGACACGATCTACAACCAGCGTGGACAAGCGCAGACGGTAAAGCTTGTGCAGGAATGGGAATACTACGGGGCGGAGTCGGCGCCATTGCCGACCATTCCGTCCAGCTTGCAGTGAGGCGACTTGCGCCGACGTCTCGCGACAAGCGCCCCTCCAATAGCAATCCGTTTGCGCCCCTTCACCTGGCCCAAGCGACTTCTCACCGCCTGGTCGAATACGACGACGTTGCGTCGTACGGCTTGCTTGAGGAGGACGAGTGCGAATCGAGCGAAGAAGAGGAGATCTTGGTCGTCGTGTCGACTGACCGGGACTACAGCTAGCCTGGTCCCGTCGGTGGATGGGAGGACGGGCTGGATGGGCTTGACGATTAGGATGGAGCGGTGGAAGGCGTTGGGAGGAGTTAGGAGTCGTCGGACGAGGAGGACCACGAGCGGGAGATCTGCCGAGGAGACTCGCAACGCTGGGGATGCAAACTCTTCGCCTTGCTCTCGCTGTTTGCTGGAGAGGCTGGCCTGCCTACTCGAGGCGGCAAGCGTAAGGCGTGTTGCGCTGTAAAGGTTCTCCTTCGTCTCCTCAAGTCTCCTCGTCTCCTCAAGCTCGCAGATTCAAAGGTGCGTCCCTCTACCCGCTCCATTCTGCTCTTACTCGTGTTCTGGCGCTACACTCCTGTCAGTCCTGCGTCCAGGCGCCGCTCCCTCGTTCACTTCGCTCCTGTCCGCGGACTTCCCGCCTTACCCCTCCTTCCACTCGCTCGCACGCGCTCAACTCTCGCTAGCTAGCTCACAGCCGCTCTCACGACCATGCCAGTCACCCTCCCACTCGAACTTGCGCTCCAGGTCGTTGAGCGCGCCCTCCCTCGCCGCCTCGACGAGAGCAGGTCCGAGCACCTCGCACGCCTCAGGCGTATCGGCCTCGTCTGCAAGGCTTTCAACGAGGCTGTCCGGGATTCGTTGCGCACGGTCAAGGTTACGTTCCGCAGGAGAGGCGCTCCGGCGTCGGCGAAGCGCTTGAAGAAGGCTGAGGCGGAGGGGCGTCCGGTCGAGGTTGTCGTCGTTTCTGGCGAGCACGACGATCCTTGCGAATACCTTTGGATGCACGGCAAAACCATTGTCTCGATCACGTACATCGGCGAGCCTGACTTCGCGTACGGCGCTGGCGACTTCGGCGCCAAGGACTTCCCAGGTGCTTTTGCCTCGCCTCTATTGCCCGTCCGGAGCTGACGTTCGGCGTTCTGCAGCTCTCCGTACCCTTTCTTTCACCATCCCTCCCGTCGACTGGCCCCGCCCTCGCCCGGTCGAGCTCATCGCTGTCCAAGAGCTCGTGCTGGCTTTCCCCAACATCGACCTGCTCAAGGACATCTTGCACCCCGCAACGACCCCTC